TACTAGTCAAAGACAATCTGCCTTCAGTTGCCAGAACCTTTTCAGTGATATCTTGTCCAACGAGTGGCCACAAAAACAAACTTATTCGCAAATTTAGGATGACATATTCAGTGGCTCTATTAAGGTCGGTGCAACTTTTTCGAAATGGTATCTTATGTTAGTTATTCAAACATTTCGTGATTTCATTATGGAACTGATTAGAAGCTAAATTCAGATACATTTTTCGAGAATTTCCTTTTTCTTTTAGTACCAAGACTAACAGGAGGTCTTTGTTACAAACTATGGGAGCCGGAGGAATTTGGAGAAGTCAATGTTAAAACTGAAAAGCGCTGGTATTTCAAATCTGATACTCGCTCGTGCTTACAGTTTGATTACGGAGGTTGTCTCGGAAACGAAAATAGATATGCCACTCTGAAAGACTGCCTAGCGGAGAACAACTGTAAGTATGCACTTCATGGTCGTGTGACATTAGTTTGTTCGAAAGTTTGATCACCATTCTTACTAGATTTTTCCTTAGGAGTGAGAGGTAATTTAATCCCTATGTCTAAATTTTGCCTTTCCTCTATGAGTAGTTTACAGAAGCATGTAGATCTTTGGGTAGATCCTGTCTAACTCTGAAAAAATGTTCTCCGATTGCTTTTATATCATTGCTTCTCGTTCCCACTTTTTCATGGTATGTTGATTATTAGTATGAGAATAGCTTGAGGTGGGGAAAAAGATTCAAATACTCAAATGAAGGTTAAAAGATCACCTAAATCGATTTTTTCAAGAAGTACCAAAAAAAATTCAATAGACGTTATTGCATAACGGCTGTTTCTTATCTTTAAGTATGTACCCACTTTCACGTGCTTATTACTGTAATGTCCTGATTACCGATGCTTTTCCGTCGTTTACAGAAGACATTTATTTCATGAATAATTTGTAAGAGAGGGTGACCTTCATTTTTTTATATGTCCTAATGTAGTTACAACTATGGCCATGCCTTGAAATTATACCTCACTTTTTTATCCTGCTTGATCTTCACAGTAAAAGGATCTATCTTCGGCGATGAAGCCATTGGTGGCTTCAAATTTACAGAACCGATAAAGGGGGCGATAAAGAGTAAGTTTCGAAACATTTTTTTCCTTAACGTCGCGATCATTCCTGGGATCTTTGTAACTCCCAGCAAGGATTGCCATGTAATTACATCCTAAACAATCAGCAAATTATCCTGTAGGCAAGTGCTTAGACTATTAAAACATATCAGCTTATCAATATGACCCATCTAAAATGCTACTCTGAACTCTGGAAGGAGCTCCATCCACATTCTCCCTTCTTTCAACTTTTTCCTAAAGTTAAGGTTATAACGTAACGTCGACTATCTTTTTGCGAATTCTCAGGTTATGCAACTTGCTCAGTGTTTGGAAACGCATACTTCAACACCTTTGATAACGTGACGTATGCCTTTCACGGCAAATGCGATTACACCCTGGTTCAATTGGAGAATAATCCCGACTATTTGAAAGTAGTCTTAAAAAATGATTTTGGCTGCGACCCCACGTTAGCGTGTCAGAAGTCCGTGCTTCTTTTCGCTCACGGCGTCAGCGTTGAACTTGGATCTAAGAAAGGTGGAAAGTTTGATGTCAAAGTTGGAGGCTCTCCAGTCTCATTTCCGTACAGAGATCCGACTGAAGCAGTACACATTCAAGCTCAAGTATGTAGTTATTTATTCGCGATATTTTGACAGGCTCGCCTAGTTCAGCTTAAAACTAGCTTAAATGGGGGCCTGAACACATTGCATACAATCTAAAGGCAAGGCCACAACACCGGTTCCCCACTATCTATTGAAGATGGAGTCTTTGCATCTTTAAGGAAAGAAACTACCATCAAATTCCACATTATTTATTCACTACGCAACAAGCTGCCTGAGATTTGTACGTTAGCTGAAAATACCAGTAAAATTCTGCAAGGGTGGGAAAAATTCATTGATTCAAAAGAATCTGGAATGATTTGATGCTCTCGAGTCAGACTAAAACTTTGCATTCAAGGGTTAATAAAGGCCATGTACTTTCGCTCCCTCGTAGTTTTACCCAAGACAATCATTTCCCATATGGCCGACCGCAAGATTAAAACTCTTTGGTAATCCCCCCGTAAAGTGATAAAAGCTCCTTGAAGGAAGATGAGCGAACTAAATTCCAAGTAGAGAGTACATTTAGGGGGTAAGAGGTAGAGGGACTTTGTCGTAAAGAAGACCATGTTCCTTTGAGATCTTCTTTTGCGTCACATCACCTGACTCAAAATGAGTGATCTCACAGGCTATCCTTAAGATACTGTAGAGTGCACATGCAGGCACATAACATTTTATCAATTTAAAGAAATTTAAACTCGCGCGTGTCGGACACTAACAAGGTTTTATAGCCCACGCGGCGCTGCTCGCCTTCTAGGCATTCCAAGCGGGGAAGAATATCCAGTAATTTCATATTATATTGTACTGTGAATGAATAAGCGAGTGCCAAGAAGAAATAATGGCAACAAGAAAATTAGCTATTTCAAAACTCCCTCAGGAAGAGTAATTTTTTTTCGTTTCTAGTTTCCATTCAAAGGTGCAGAGCATCATATCCTTGTAACCACAAAAGATAGGGTCACAGTCATATGGGACGGAGAAAGGTCAGTAGACATCCGCCTGCCAGAGGCAGTCAGGTCAAAGTGGGACACGTCTGGGCTGTGTGGAAGTTTCAATAACGACGACTCTGACGATCTGAAATCCAATACAAAAAAGTTAATGAAAAAGGTGTACGACTTCGCTAATAGTTTCATATACTCCCCTGGCAACACCCTGTGTAAGTCAGATGAAATTACGATAGGGGACACCTGTGATGAAAACGAGTCTGAGGCGGGGAAGTTGTGCTCAATTCTGGACACTAAAGACTTCGAGGCCTGCCATAGCGTGGTGGATCCTGAAATCTTCAAAAAAATGTGCATATTAGACGTCTGCGCTACTGCCGTCAAAGCACCTCTCTTAGTCGATGAGACAAGATGTGCGATGTTGTCCCTATACAGTCGACAGTGCAGTTGGAATAACACAGAATTGAACTGGAGATCAGAGAACCTCTGTCGTAAGTAAAACGCATTTTGCAAACGCAAATAAGTCAAGCAGTCAGTCATTTGTTCAGCTATTCTTTCCGTCAGATAATGACCAGTTAGTAAGTGAACCGGGTTAGACAATAAGTTGGTGGGTCGCTCGCTCGCAACTCAATCAATTAGTCGCTCAAGACTCAGGTCAGCAACTCAGTGAATCGGTCCTTGAGTTTAATTAACATCCCGACCATGTAGACAGTCAGCCATTTGCTGAGTCAGTCAGTCAGTTGGCTGGTTGGTGACAGCTCAATCAACTAGTTACCCAGGAATTTACAAATAATTCGTTCGCTTAGACGAATAACTGTGCGGTTGCATTTTTAAGCCATCTGAAGAGTGATGTTTTCTTTTGCCACTCAGAAAAAACCTGTCCAGCAACTATGGAGTACAGCGAATGTGCCAGTGGATGTCCTAGAACATGCAAAAATGTGGACATACTAAAATGCTCCGCTAAATGCCTGCCAGGTTGCACTTGTCCCGCTGAGATGTGGCACGACGGAGAGAAGTGCGTGAAGCAGTCTCAATGCTCCTGTTACCACGATAACACACGTTATGAACACGGAGACTTTCGTTACGAAGATTGCGAAGCCTGGTAAGCTGAACAGCTCTAACGCAGCCTATTTGGTTTTGACTTGATTACATAAATAAATATGAAATAATATTCGAAACCGTTTAGCAAGAATTGGAAGCAAACAATCCGCCTTCTTTAACAATAGCTGAACTCGAGTTATGATGACAAACAGTGTAAGCTAGTTATCAGCGGGATTTGACCCGAATGCTAAACCGTCCAAGTATTCTTCGTGATCAAGGGAAAAATCTGATACGTTTAAAAGTTCGTTTCTTAAAATATCAAGCCTAAAAGACAAAAGTCGTTGAGTGGTAGTATTTCAATTAAGACGGAACCATTTTCTAAAACGGAATTTGCAACATCTTATATTCTATAAGAAACATGCAATTTTCAGAAAAAAAGTAAACCATGGCTTCTATCTGAAACTTTACCTTTACGTTATATTCTGGAGACTCAAATTTTGGGCAGCGAAAATATCCATTCCTTTAAGTGAGCGCTGGTATTTCCAACTTCGTAACTTGTGTTATTCCGTTAGTCAAGTTACCTACTCAACATACCACTAAATGTTCTGGTGAGCTGCAATTTCTACAAATAGATGACGTTGTGTTTAATCCGGGAGAGAGGAAACCCTCGTTTCCAAACGCGTTAAAGAATTTCACTTTCCTCTAAACATCTCTTATAAAAGTATTTTCCATTTTCCAGCAAGTGCGAAGGAGGAAAGTGGACTTGTTTTTCCATTCCTTGTAGAGGTGGGTATTATGTCATATTTCCTATGCTTAAGCTCGTTTGTCTCCTTGGTCAAGATTGGAGACTAAAGAACTCAGGCGAAGAGTGGCCGACTGAGAAATCAAAATGATGAATAGGGAATATTATTTGGTAATAAAGTTATTAAATAACAAACTCTTCTTCATTATCAAGACTTGATTAAGTTTGAACTTGTCGTCATTATGGTGTTTTTTCCTTAGCGAAGCTGCCAGTTTTAGTTTCTTTAAGCGGTGTAGGTTAGTTGCCGTTTACTTAGATCCGTCTTTCTCTTCTAAAAGATTATATAGCTTTGTTGAGATATTTTATTGGTTTTTTTTTAGGTCTCAGTTTTGTTTGGTCGGTAGAAGTGATAAAAAACGAGATCGTACTCATTTGACTTGAAACCTAGACAAAAGTAGACAAAAATAAGACAAGAAAAGATAACTAAACTAATGCTACGATGAAATAGCACTTGTAAACTGTTTGAAATGTGGATTTTTTAAAAGGTGAATGTACCATTCTGGGAAGTACCAATATCAAGACGTTTGATGGCCAAAGGTACAGGGTTTTCCCGATGGATTGTGAGTTTCATTTGCTGCGACACTGTCACAACGAACAATCTGAATTTGATATCAGAATAAAAAACACTGATTGCGAGGAAACCATCGTGCGTCCGTTCTGCAATAGCCAAGACATAGATATTATTTTTGGTGAAAATAAAACAGCTATAAAAATTGTCAGGAAACTCAAATCAGATCCCCAAATCTTTGTAACCCACGGTTCCTTGGATGAAGATATGTCCGTGGAAAACGTTGGTGGAAAGAGTGTAGTGTTGTCCACTCGCTATTTTCAAATGACCGCAACCGATCAAAACCTTTTTTTATCCGTGTCTCCTGATCTACAAAATCAGACATGTGGTCTGTGCGGTACATTCAACGGAAACGGTAACGATGATTTCCGCAAACCCGACAAGGGGGAAGCCGCCACACCGAACGAGTTCTTAAAGAAATGGTTGAACTTCTACGATGAAAATTCAGATAAGTGCATGGAAAATCAACTGGGAGACGACCCTGCCCTCGCTAGTCCCACACAGTTGGATTATTGCAGACGGAATTATGAGCTTGAGCCTGCAGCCGAAAAGCACGCCTCTATTCTAATTAACGGAGACAGTCCGTTTCAAGCCTGCTGGTCAGAGGTGCCAAAAGAAGTTTTTTACGAAAATGCCGTAGAAGCTTATTGTAGGCACTCTGTTAGTCTATGCGACGTCATAGCCGGATACGCCAAAGCTTGCGGAGATAAAGGTGTCGTGGTGCTCAAATGGAGGCAACGAAGAGAGGTCATAGATCTATGTCAAGAGCGTAAGTAAATCTTTTATTTTGATTTTTTTATGTTTTCATTCTCGTGTTCAAATGAAGGTCCTACACAGGTAACTTCCAAAGATGTTTTCATTTGAAGAGGAGCGAGATTGTCTCCAACATTAAATTTTTCTCATTTTCCCAAATGGGAAGTTAACAACAACAAGTCTTTGCCAAATACGCCAAAAACCTTGAACTCACTCGAGTGCGATCAAATAATTACTAGCTCTTCCAATATCAGTTTGATAAAGAGTTCAACACAAAGTTTGAATGAAGCACAACCGAGTCAGCTCGTTCAAGTACATGATCTGCTAAAATGGGTTTCTCTGTCCTTCTTTGCTTTCTGCCAGCTTACTGTATTTCTTCTTGCAGCGAGTTGTCCAAGTGATCAAGAGTTCAGATACTGTGATGCAACTTGCCCGCAGACATGTGGGGATCTTAAAAACAAACAAGCTTGCCAGAAGTAAGTCTCACAGCTTTGTAGCTTACAGGTGTTTTAGGTTCGCCCCTAAATAGCAAAGTACAGGCAAGGACTTACCTTTCAAGACCAACCTTGAAATTCAAGCGGGTATAGGGTTGAACACAAAACCAGTTACGAAGGAAAAACGATAATTTGTTAATATTTCATGTTCCTTTTGGGCTATTACATTATACTGCATTGTTTATACCATTAAAAAAAACAAAAAAAACAAAAAAAATCTGAGTGGGGTTGACGGTCTACCGTTCATTGACCAAATATGTAAGATTTTTCAAACAATAAACCAATAAACCCTAGTCAGAGGCCAATTAAGTCGCTTATAGTATCTCAGTTATCTAAAAACCAGCAACGTCAATCAATCCGGCCGATTCAAGCTGACAGATCTGCTAAATAATCTTAAAAATTTGTTAGTTAAATGGATCCAAGGTATGTCATATCCTCACAATTGACATGTCAGCTGCACAAAGCCTATCTGAGCCCTAGTCATCTAATGTACATTTTACGAGTTTGGAACAGCACTGATTACCTTCTGGAAACAAATCTGATGAAGTAAAAGGGTTTTAGCGTACTTGTGAGTGTAAGCCTTTGGTCAGTGTGCATTTACCTTTCATTTAACGGTCATGCTTACTTAGCAGCTCAGAAACAACTTATTTTCCCATAAAGTTGAGGTAGCAATAAATTCGGCAAAGATGTTATACTCAGGCGTTTCTTCTGAGTCACAATGACTGTTTACGGAAATACAAAGTTATACATACTCTCTCACCGCCAATACCATAAAAAGGCTAATCAGGGCGGTGGATAGGTAATCTTCATTTACGGAGAGAAAAGCGATGAACAAAAAGAAGAGGTTACCTATTCAAGTTTTTGTTGTAGCTTCTGGTTTTCACTACGAAAGTTTTAGTCTTATCCTACTTCATAATTTCAGGGAAGGGCTTACTCTGTAAAGCTAGCCAAACCATAACAAGGCTATTAAAAGAAAGTGTACAGTACTTCCGCACAGCTCCTCAAAAAACATGACCTTTTCGTTTATTTTTAGCAAGTAAAAACTGATCGTTTTATTTCCTTTCTTCCTTTTCAGTCGTGGATGCATAGAAGGTTGCTTTTGTAAAAAGAACGGCACGGTTCTGAGGGGAAACGAGTGTATTGAAGAAGATGAATGTGCAGAACATCCGGGTTGGTATATTTTACTTTTAAGCATAGAACGACATCAAAGAAGAAAGATTGTAAAAAATAGGGGACAAAAATCGCTAGGAATGAATATCATTAACACATACAATGCATCGTCACAGGAAATGGCTGTGCATCTAAGTCTCCCGTCTGTGTTTTAAAGCATATAACTTTTTCGATGAAGCTCGAAACCAAATGGTAAATCGTTATTTTTTCTCGTTATCAAAAAGCTTGGTCTTGAGTGTCGAGTTTTCTTTGCCCTGCCTTTGACTTATTTGACAGTTGTTTTAAACGTTGGTCAATTTTTTCTTCTCATAATTTGCGTTACTCTGGTTGTTGGTTATTCCTTGAAAATCATGCGCATAATTTTGGAGCGCTGTTGGCTAAATTCAGTCGATCTGTGCATGCCCGATGTTTGACCGCTATGTTATTCGATTGTTAGATCAAGCCCTTCAGTAGTCACCGTAAACCAAACCCATGCCTTGATTCTAAAACGCAGACTTATGAATTTTAATCATACAGTATTCCCAAAGCACTGAATTTGAAAATGATGCTTTTTACGACATCAATTGACTCATGGAAACAGCAATCGAGCTCAAGGTCTATTGCAAGTTTTTTTAAATCTAACACGAACTCTTTTACATTGTATGAAACCTTCTAGTTGAGTGTGAAGCAGAGGATCAGGTGTACAATTCATTTGGACGTACTTGTTTGGGTTTGGAATATGGCGTTCCGGTGGATAACAAACCTGGATGCCACTGCAAGGATGGTCTTTACTGGAATGAATACAAAAAGAAGTGCGTCCAGAAGGACCAATGTGGATGCATCCACGAAAATGAATATTACGAAAAAGGGGAACCTTCACCATTGGAATGTTCAACGTAAGTACTAGTACGTCAAAGGTAGGATGTAGGTGGTGGGGAAAAAGGAGTAAGGGAGAGTCTAGCTTGTTATTTTCAAGAGGTCTTACTGCGCTTCACCATGTTCTGAATCATTCTAGTGACGAATATAGCAAACTGTTTAAATGGAATAAAATATAAGTAGCGTAACTATTGTGAAATTTGAGTTAAAAGCCTAAGAAAGAACACATTCCAAGGTGATTCTGTTAATCATAACGACTAATCTTGTCTTTTCCTAAAGCAAATGTTCTGGCGCACGAACATGGATTCCTCAGCCTGGTGTTGATCCACTACCTGAATACGAATGCGCTGCGTTCGGTCAGGAGCATTACCGAACATTTGACGGCAGATGGATCAGATTTAGTAGCCTCGAACTCTGCGAATACCAACTCATGCTGATAAAGGGCACCAAAAATACGGTCAGCGTTGCAAACGAGCCATGCGTGGACTCACTAGAGCTGCAAATGTGTAAGAAAGTAGTGATTGAAACAGGAGAAGGATCAATCGAACTCTTTCAGAGGACTATAAAAATCGAAACCGAAGACTCGTCTACACAATATGTACCTGGGACCTACCCTGAACCATGCACGAGAAGTGTGTTAGACAATGCAGAGATTTTCAGCATGGGATTATTTATCATCGTGCGGGTTTTCAACCCGAACGATCCTTTCAAACCCTTGTTTGAGGTTTGTCAAAATTGTTGTAACTTTATTTTCCTGATTAATCACATTTTGCAGAGTTCTCCTTTTAAGCTTTATGTGGAGCAGTACACAGAGGTTTTAATAATAGCCAGTTTCTGCAGGTCATAAGGACTATCATTGCAGTTGGTTTAGATTTATTTGTTTTTATTTCCAGATGTTTTGGCCGTTTCATCGTAACAGCCGCCTTCTTCTATCCTCGGCAGTCAATCATGATTGAAATTCAGAATTCCTGTTTGGTAAAAACTTGAGAACTGGGATTGAAAATTGAAGGTTGAGGCTGACAAACCCTAACCGGTCATCAGCTAGTTATTCGAAAAGATTTGATAAGCTATGGAATGAGAAAATTATGTAGAATTTGAGCATCGTTTTGTTCAATTGCATGAAGGTCTAATATTACCGTTACATCACAACTTTGAATTTGTTTATTCTCCGTCTCTTACTACAGGTGAAATTCGACAAAGGTAACCGAGTCTACATTACCCCCAATTCCAAGTTTAAAAATCAAGATAAACTTGTTGGAATTTGCGGTAACTTTAACGGAAAGGATGGGGATGACGTTATGTTACGGAATTACGAACCCGCGAAAACCCCTAAAGAATTTGGTGATAGTTGGAGGAGTAGCGCTGACCCTGTATGCGAAAATAGTGTAAGCACCAATTATTGGCAAGTGTGTGTAAATAACACTGACCGATTGAGTTGGGCAGTAAAAGGTGAGCTGAATGGGTATTTTATAAAGGAAACTTAACTAGTGTTCACCAGTGTCTTAGTATCCCTAAATTGCTCTAGCTCTCATGTCTGGTGTCCCATGGATCAGGGAGTTGTTTATTACTATGATACAGCCACGATTTTCGAAAGAACAATGACGGCAATGGCAACATAGGTTAATCGAAAAGTTAGGAAACATTGGAAAATATGAAGTAACTCAGAAAGTTTTATATTTATAAATTTCCAAGTTTCCTTAGAGATGTTTACAGAGATGCTCAAAAACAAGTATATAATATCGTAAAAGCAAAACCGAAGTAATCACTACGGGCAATAAATAAGGGAAAATACCCTAAAGAGCCAAACAAAACTCGCCTTATTTTCACTACTGCTCAAGTAGTGTTCATTACTGCGAGGATCGCTTTCATATTCACGTCTTTATCCACAGTTCAAATATATGACTTTCATATATTCACTCTCGTTTAGTAATAACAAAGCGAACTGCCCAAAGTGCAGGAAAACGCGTGCATGTGATTGGTTGAGAAAGTAGTGCAAAGTTTCTGGACGAATTTTAGAGTGGAGTAAAGCAATGCAGTATTACTTTCGACACTCAATTGAAAACTGGTCTTTTTTCTTTGACTATTACTACCCTTTATATCAAAGTTTTTATTACATGTAGTAATCAAAACTATAACAAAATTCTCGAACGTTATTGGTTATCACCAGCCCGATTTGAGCACTCGTAGGACGGTGTACGCGCCATGCTTATAATTGGACAGTGTTATAGGACAGTGAACGCGTCCTGCTTGTAATTGGACAGTGTAACAGTGCAGTTAAAGGGACAATTGACACGTCATACTTGTGTAAGTGGAAGGACCGCGTAATGTGCGCGCGCTGTTGTCTCGCATTTTCCCAGTTAGCTGTTGTTGTTGTTTTTTCCTGAAAACGTATACTCCGTTTCTAGTTTCTTTCTCAAATTTTGTCACAGTTATGATTCATTGGTAACAAGACTTCTTGTCGTCCAATTCTAACTGTAACCATACTCGTGATTAACAAATCGGACTCCCGCTTAGCGGTCGTCCGATTTTGTTAATCACTGGTATGATTACAGACCGAATTGGACTCCTCGGTCCAATTTCCATTATAAATACAAAATTAATCATTGGCCTGTCTCACTTTTCTATGTAGGATGTGGAATGCTCATGTCGGACAAGAACTTTTCCGCCTGTCACGCGGTTGTTCCACCACAGGCATATTATGACGCCTGTATTCACGAAACATGTTTGTGCAACAAAGGAGGCGACTGTGCATGCTACTGTGCGGCTATTGCCACCTATGTGAGAGCTTGTAATCAGCATGGAATCTCAATCACGTGGCGTCGAGAAGGATTTTGTGGTAAGTGCTGGATAGAATGACATTTAAAGATAATTCTGCTATATGATGTTTCTATCCAATCAACTCGCCTCGTTAGAAAACAAAGAAAGATTATTAAACTCCTGAAATATATTTTTTCTCTCCGCTATATTTGAAAATCTGAATGAAATTATGACACTGGTCGTGTCTTAAGGTTCCAAGAGAAAATTGAGATTTATCTTTTTTTATTGTGTTCCTACAAAATCCAACCGTGCACGTAGTCATTTCAAACACCCCCTAGCTATCACCAAGCTCACAGAAGAGCTACACTCGAATCGTTTTCATCAGACTTGAAGAGCGGGCACAATGAAAACAGAAAGACGCATTACCAAAGCAGCGACAATTTTTGGACGCAGTGCTTTGTTTTCTGACATTTGAATTGAGTGGCGGGGTCCGCGTGTTTACTTTTCTAAAGCCAGATATAGATATCAAATGGTCTACTCCCTCTTTTCAAAGTTAGCCTGGGGACATTTTAGCTTGGATGCGTCAACGTTGTCATTTATAAGTCTATGCCATTCTGGAATAGACAGGCTGTCATGTCTTGATGTCGGTCCGCAAAGGGTATGCAGCATTGCAACTCTTAGCTCCACTATTAGTTTAAATCATTGCTTTTGCGAGCTATTGACAGTGTCCTTCGTTCATTAGAGCACCATGGAATGACCAAAATCAATGAAATTCCAACCTTCTAAGATAATGATGAATGAAAAATGAAATGAAGCATTCTACCTGAAGTGTAAGGAAACATTATGGGATAGGATTTCAGCAGTGAACACTGATTTCACGAGGTGTCTCTTTTTGTCTACTGTTTCCAGGTCGAATTGGAATTTACAATGTTCAAAACGTTGGTGAATAGGTCGCAATTGGTTCAGCCTCGCCTCTAATCAACGTAACAATTAGGGTAAATGTACTAAACCAATAATGTGGCAAAAATAGGCAAAATCGGTGCAATCTTGGATTACTTTCAACAATTAATTAAAAATTTCTCTAACAATCAGCATAAATTTGGTCCATATTTTAACAGAGCTTCCTTGTTGCCGACCCTGCGCAAACAGTGGTGGATATGAAGCAAACATTACCATTCCTTCTGCTTGCGAAATAAATGACGAATGTCCTGTAGCGAACGAAAGATGTTGTCGTGGAACAAGAGTTGAGGGTTGTTCATGTCCTAATGGGACATACTTCAATGGAAAGAAATGCGTTGAGCAGAAGGGTGATTGCGACCGGCCTTGTACGTCCACCAGTAGTTCATCTATGTCAAGTACAAGGTTGGTATAGAACCATGTAAGGTACATTACTATATGGGAGGGTAGCCCGGAGGTAAATGATTCTTATTGGCTCAGTTTTATGCCATATGGACTGTTTCCATGCAAACGGTCATGGGCCTTTTATTTTTTGTTCGCGAAAGCCAGAAAATAAACAAGTTTACTTCGACTGTCATATAGTAAACTACTTATTAAAATTGCTACAGCCGTATGTAGAAATATTGCCCTAGGTAGTTTTTGTGCGGTCCTCACTGCGCTCGGTCCGTATTGCCATGACCTTGGGCAATCCTCACGCTCGGTAAGAAAGGGGTTATTATACAATATGAGATGTTGAAACCTATTTGCATCGAGCAGATCACTACATTTTCAAAGAATAGATAAGTTTGGTAATGGAGAAAAACGCCAAAATGTTTAATAAAAGCTGCAAGGAGCTGGCTTGGTTAGGGATTGATAAGATTAACTTAAGGCTGTAATCTTCAACTTCACAATCATCGTGCAAGACGGCAAAGATTTTAAATTAAAAATAACTGTTTTGACTGTTACATTGTTACTTACAAATTTTCTAGAGGTTGCACCACTTCGTTTTCCGATCAATTTTAGTTTGTGACTCCACCTTCTTCACGAATGTTCACTTTATAAATAACCTTGGGTTTGTATATTTAGCAGCTGAAAACTGATTTAGGAAACTGCGACAAATATACCAAATGAGCACTTGATACATATATAAAAAACCATCGAAATACATATGGACAATAAAATCTAAATATCAAATATAAACATATCATATAAATATTAAATATTATATGATTTTTAGAATTAGAAAAAGGTTTAAAAATTAAGATGAGTTAATTCAGAAGCGGAGCAGCAGAAGTAAATACCCTCTATGCCCTCGGCCCATTATACAGTTCTATGTTACCTTCTTTGAGAACTCCAATCAGATGGTTTTTCTCTATCTTTTTTTAAAGCGTATCTACGTCGAGTTCAATTTCCACTTCGTCATCAATATCATTAAGGTAATAAAGTTTGCTGCTTTTCAAAATGTATTTCTTTCGACTGATACATGTGAAAATAATTTTAGTTAGAGGTGAGACTTAATTTTTAAGGTTATACGAATATTCTAATATTCTAATTTCTTTTTTATAATCAACCAACCTGTCTTCACCAACCATGAAATTCTTCCAATAAGTTGTGTTTTCTTTTTCTTTTAAATAGTTCAATCTCCACTTCGTCTTCAATATCATCAAGGTAATAAAATGTGTACACCTAAGGAAACTGGCGAATGCCTATTTCAAATGTCTATCTTTGAAATTTTTACACGGTTGCGTTCTGCAGGGGCGACCAATCCACCATCAGTAAATTTCAGATTAAGAGATATTTTAAAATAATTTTCTCATTCAAAGCTCGCCCTGAAAATCTTTCATTTCAGTGTGTCCACTTCAAGTTCGATTTCGACATCTTCATCAGCATCCTCATCCTCGTCTGTATCAACTTCTTCAAGGTAATACCTTTTTTTTACAATTTTATTTATTTATATTTATTTAAGCTTCAGCTACACAAATTTCACGTACGTTAAAAAAAACATAAACTTGTAAGAAATGGAGAATTACAGGAAATAAGGGAAAAGTTCATGGTCACCAAAAAAGCGAAAGCTGTCGATTTCGCCATTACCATTACCATTACCACAGTAAAATTACAAAGAATTCTAGAATAGAATATAATTACTTAAATTTAGCTAGAAAGAGTATAAAAATAGTGAAATATAACATAAACTTATCTAAAAATTTTGATACTCATATCTGGCAACAGAGGATAATCTGCATATACTATATTTAAATAGATTGAAAGGCATGCATTTAGTCTGAAACGGAATCACTCCTCAAATTTTTTATTCCAGTTTGATTCCAGTATCAGAATTATATACCTCGACATCTCTAATTTAACCACTCCTGTTTGTTTCAAGGCTTCGTGAAGCTTTCCAATGATAATGTTATATCTATGAAAAAAAAAAAAAAAAAAAAAAAAAGGAGACAAGATTGACTCATGATCATATTTTAAAGTTGGTAAATGACAGAAAACAACAAAAAAAAACAACAACAACAAAAAAAACTGCAATTTTATAAGCAACTCACATCTGAGAAGTCTTGTTTGGTTCTTGCTGCGTCGACTTCACCGTCGGTAACGACTTCATCAAGTGTTTCAACACCAACTGCAACAGGGTAGAAGAAGCTCTAATCCAAAATTATACTATGTCCCAGACTGGAAAACGCGCGCTTTACTTTGCTTGGGTTAGAGCGTAATATCGAACATTTTAAACAGCGTTAATAATGTAAATTGGCCATTGTAAAGAGTTTCAAAGCTGACGTTCCGAACGTTAGCCCTTCGCTATTCGCTCTGACGAAGGGCAAAAGTTCGAAACGTTAGATTTGCAACTATTTACGTTGGCCAATTTAGGTTATAAGCTCAGTTTATAATACCAAATTACCCTGTTATATTTTCACACAGCAGCAGTAAAGTTTCTTCAGAAACTTACCCTCTTATTTTAAAACAGCCTTTGAAGGAATCCGATGCTCACAATGAGTTTGTTTCCTTTTAGTGCATCGACTTCAAGTTCTGTTTCCACGTCCTCTTCAGTGTCAACGTCTTCAAGGTACGTGTAACGGTAAATGATTATACTCGATCCAAATTAAGTTACACCAGTTGTCGTCGAGTTCATCGACATCGTCGTCAGTATCGACTGTGAGACATTTCCTTATCATTACAAAACAACGATAGCAAAAATAAAAGCTAAGGTTCCCAAAGATATATCCACTCTTAAATATCTCAATAGCCTTTGGTAAACACCTAAATAAATAGAATAGAAAAGGTCAAAATTCGTGTTACGGTGTATTATCCTAGTTCAATTGCTGGAAGCTCTTTCATAGACAAGGTTGTTTTCAAGTGCCTTATGGATATAGGGCACAAAGGAATCAGAACTATGTTTACTTACATGCTAAAGAAGAGAAGGAAATACGTGAATATGCTAGAGGCAGTATACGTCTCTGTTATGTTTGTTAGCTACCTCCCAAATAATCTTAATAAGTTTATTATTTTCATTTTGTTTATTATACGTTCCAGCAGCCCACAAAGCTCTACATACTCCACATCATCACTTTCCACCAGTGCGTCTTCTACAACTGTCTCCACCTCACTGTCATCAGGAAGTACAAGGTAGAAACAATTTAAAACTCCTTCTCTTTAAGTGAGCAGTGATCGTATATTTTTGTTATTGATAAAAATTACGAAATTGACACCATTATTTGTGTAAACCCCAAGGCCTATTTCTTCCATAGAACATAACAGTTTAACACATCTGTAAAACTGGAATTTGACACTGATGTACATTGCTGATATTGATGATTCTAAGGAGAGAATAAATCACTATTTTTTTCTTTAGCATTTCTTCGTCAAGCCTATCGTCATCAAGGTATGATGATTTTTTTTCCCTATGGGTATCTTATTCCCAACTGCGCATAACTACACCATTGTATTAGTAGTTTAGTCACTATGGTTTTCAAATACCAATTCTGATTAGCAAAGATTTTGAATTTTAAAATGTGCATTATTATGAGTGATGGAAAAACTGACGAGGTGACAATCGATATTTCAGTGTCTCCTCATCATCACCGTCGTCATCAAGTACTTCAATATCGTCATCAGTGTCGACATCTTCGAGTGTGTCAACGTCGTCATCAGTGTCGACATCTTCGAGCTTATCAACCTCGTCATCAGTGTCGACATCTTCGAGTTTATCAACCTCGTCATCAGTGTCGACATCTTCGAGCTTATCAACCTCGTCGTCAGTGTCGACATCTTCGAGTGTATCAACCTCGTCGTCAGTGTCGACATCTTCGAGTTTATCAACCTTGTCATCAGTGTCGACATCTTCGAGTTTATCAACCTCGTCATCAGTGTCGACATCTTCGAGTGTATCAACCTCGTCGTCAGTGTCGACATCTTCGAGTGTATCAACCTCGTCGTCAGTGTCGAAATCTTCGAGTGTATCAACCTCATCGTCAGTGTCGACATCTTCGAGTGTATCAACCTCCTCGTCAGTGTCGACATCTTCGAGTGTATCAACCTCGTCGTCAGTGTCGACATCTTCGAGTGTATCAACCTTGTCAAGGTAATATGGGCATACTTTGACATCAATGCTTCAATGCAATATAGCTATTAAACACTTCTGTGCCTGTATGTTTTCCGACTGATTTTGTTGCTTTCGCAGTTCGATTTGATTTTGTTGTTCACATCTAAAGGGCTTAAAGAACTTTTGCATAGTAGTGTTTTATCAGATATGAAAGTTCGGATAGTTTTTGGAACTAATAAGAGAATAAAAAAATGCACAAAATTTACGTGAGCAATGATTTTTCCTTTTATAGTGTATCCACCTCAAGTCCTCTCTCTACCCAGAAATCTCAGACAGAATCAAAGGTGTCAACGAGGTTTCCCTCAACGTACACTTTTTCGAAACCCTCCGAAACAGTTTTTTCATTGTATTCCAGGTGAGTTCACAAAGCACCTTCTATTCTCACTCAACTCCAATCACAACACGAAAATCATACATTGGAGTCTTTAGTTTATTGTGATTAACGATTGTAAATAATAAGCTTTCATTTTTTTGATTGACTAATTTTTTGAATGATAGTTACGTTCGTAGAAAAAAAAGGGTTTTTCTCTTCAAGGCTGTCAACTTTTTGACAAATATTTAGTAACGAAGATGCATAACTATTGAAATAATTCCACAAATAGTAAAAAAAATTTGAGTGATTGCATGTGGGACATTCTTTTCAATGTTTACGTGTTACTAACTCATGTTTGTATACACGGCTTCTAGCCGTTTTAGTTTTATTTGGAACAAGAAACAATTAAAAGTAAATGTCGTGCGCCAGTTTGCAGGTGCCGGATCCACATACTTTATCTAAATCTGTGCGTTTAACCTGGATCTCAAGGTTTTTAACATTCGACTTGAATATCGCAGAAACTTGAAAAACTATTGCAACAATATAGCGGACTGTTCGAAAAACATCCTGGACTAGATGAACCTTTACAAAAATGGCAATGGTCATAAATCTAACTCTATTTAACTATTTGACTTTATTCCATCGTATTGATGGAAATAGCTTTTCTTTAAACATTTTTACTCAAGGTAACCTGGATGATAATGGAATTCCTAAGAAATATACAGTTACATGAACATCAACTACGCATAGCCAGATTTTTAAGGCCAGGAAGCCTTACAGTTGCAGAAATAACTTTTCCTTTTATCCCTTTACCAAACACTGACCGTCTGTAATGAAATACAAAAAAGAAAGCATCGATTGGAAATCAAATTTTACAGCAATTGGCAAAACATGTAAAGAAAAAAATACGACAATTTGATTTTAAGTTACAGCATAGACTAAATGTCACCGAGAAGACTTATGCACATATGGTCAAAGCGAGGGAAAAAGGTTTTATATCACAATTTGTCAGTCATTATTCTCCACATTTTCTAGGTATTTCACTACAGTCAAGAATTTTTTTCGGAAACTGTTAATCGGTTTATTGTAAAATATGCATGCATTTTATCTTTATCGCACTTCGAAAAATTATTTGGAACAACTACAAAAACCAATTACTATGAGTGTTTATTATAGGCAAAATATTATTTATACCCCCAAAAAAGAATTCCAAAGTAAGCAGTGTTGACGCGTTTATTTTATTAATTGACGGAAAATGAAACATTAAGAGTCGTCTTAAGAAAAAAAGGAAATATTAGTGGAAAAGCTTCTGACCTTATGCATGATCAATTTCCACGACAATGTGAATTTATATTTTTGTACTATATTATGTTATATTGTTTCTTTCACAATTATAACGTTTTTATTTTATCTTAATTATTTTTGCAAGTAATATTAACGATATTACATTTGTTCTGTTAGATGGAATAAACCGTAAAAAAAAAATAAAATAAATAGATATCTCATCCATCAAAACGATTTTTTATTTGGTCGCCAGTTTTTCGGGAATCTCAACAAGCACTTCAACATCGTCATCGGTGTCGACATCATCTAGTGCTTCAACTTCGTCGTCACTTTCTTCCTCGAGCTTTTCAACATCATCATCAGTGTCAACATCATCTAGTGCTTCAACTTCGTCGTCACTTTCTTCCTCAAGCTTTTCAACATCTTCATCAGTATCCACATCATCAAGTGCTTCAACTTCGTCGTCACTTTCTTCCTCAAGCGCTTCATCATCGTCGTCAGTGTCGACATCATCTAGTGCTTCAACTTCGTCGTCACTTTCTTCCTCGAGCTTTTCAACATCGTCATCAGTGTCAACATCATCTAGTGCTTCAACTTCGTCGTCACTTTCCTCCTCAAGCTTTTCAACATCTTCATCAGTATCCACATCATCAAGTGCTTCAACTTCGTCGTCACTTTCTTCCTCAAGCGCTTCTACCTCGTCGTCAGTGTCGACATCATCTAGTGCTTCAACTTCGTCGTCACTTTCCTCCTCAAGCTTTTCAACATCTTCGTCAGTGTCGACATCATCGAGTGCTTCAACTTCGTCGTCACTTTCTTCCTCAAGCTTTTCAACGTCGTCGTCAGTGTCGACATCATCAAGTGTTTCAACCTCGTCGTCAGTGTCAACGTCATCGAGTGTTTCAACTTCATCTTCGATATCTACGTCATCGAGTGTGTCAACATCGTCATCGGCATCAACTTCATCCAGTGCTTCGACATCTTCATCAGTGTCGACGTCGTCGAGTGTGTCCACGCCAACCACAACAAGGTACGATCTGAATATATCATTTACTGTCTTCGAGTTATGCTTTTCTTTACTTAAACGTTGACAATTCAGTATGGTCGTAAGAGATTAGACTAAATTGGTCTGCATACGGGACTAAAAAAGTAGATTTCATGCCTCATTCGTTTCACAAGAGGTGCAAATACGGAGGTACATACAGCCAACCTGCTTCATGATAGAAATGGCTATCATCTACAACCTGGTAATGATTGAATATTACCCCTAGACATTTATAATGAGTTTCCAATATCTTTGTATAATTATATTTGTAGTGAGACTTATACAACGTCCTCGAGTGTGTCAACCTCCTCAAGGTAAGTAGTATGTTGAGAGTAAAATGCATTTTCAGTGTTTTGATCATAAAGTCGCTAGATAAACAATAGTTCTACTTGAACAAAATAACCTGTTGATTGATAATTTACTGATCCTAGATCAAATCCATACTTCATATGCCTTTATCGCAATCGAATCTTTTAATTTTCTTTAAGTGTGTCAACATCAAGTTCAGCATCAACGTCATCGAGTGTGTCGACCTCGTCAAGGTAAGAAATGACGATTGTTTTACATCGCCTTTTTTCATATATACATAGAGTGGTTAGTGGCTTTATCTATATTTGGTTAGGTACATTGCTTTGAACACTTTCTATCATTTTATGTGACGCTTATACACTGCTAAGATATAGCAATTTACATCCTTGTTTTCAGCGTGTCAACGTCTAGTTCTTTGTCATCATCGGCGTCAACGTCCTCGAGTATTTCAACACCAACCACGACCAGGTATAGATTAAACTTTTTTGGACGGGGAGACTTTTTGTTTAAAAACCTCCAGAGATGTCAACATTTCTTTTACAGGAATATATATATCCTAGGCAATGCATTCATCCCTCTGTAAATCATGTTTCATCGTACTTTAGTATTTCTACATCAAATTCTTCGTCCAGATAGTCGTTGATATCTAGTTGAAAACTAAAAATTCATTTCAGTCGTTCAAGAAAAAAATTTTTCAATAGAGACTATCATCGAGTCGTTGATGTGATTATGTATTAGATGTCAGGAAGGTGGCTGTTTTATGCAACAGTAGTTCATCTCTCCATAGTGTCTCTACATCAAGTTCTGTGTCGACGTCATCGAGCATTTCCACATCATCGTCTGTGTCAACATCATCAAGTGCTTCAACCTCGTCGTCATTGTCGACATCATCAAGTGCTTCAACCTCGTCGTCATTGTCGACATCCTCAAGTGCTTCCACATCCTCATCGGCATCGACACCATCAAGTACTTCATCGTCATCGTCAGTGTCGACATCACCAAGTGTTTCAACATCTTCATCAATATCGACGTCATCAAGTATCTCAACATCATCATCGGTATCAACTTCATCCAGTGCTTCGACATCTTCATCAGTGTCGACGTCGTCGAGTGTGTACACGCCAACCACAACAAGGTACGATCTAAATATATCAACTGTTGTCTTTGAGTTATGCTTTTCTTTACTTAAACGTTGACAATGCTACTACTAGCCAATGCATTCATCCCTCTGCAAATCATGTTTCATCGTACTTTGGTATTTCTACATCAAATTCTTGGTCCCAGTTGTCGATGAGATCTAGTTGAAACTAAAAATTCATTTCAGTCGTTCAAGAAAAAAATTTTTCAATAGAGACTATCATCGAGTCGTTGATGTGATTATATATTAGATGTCATGAAGGTTGGTGTTTTATGTAACAGTAGTTGATCTCTCCATAGTGTCTCTACATCAAGTTCTGTGTCGACGTCATCGAGCATTTCCACATCATCGTCTGTGTCAACATCATCAAGTGCTTCAACCTCGTCGTCATTGTCGACATCATCAAGTGCTTCAACCTCGTCGTCATTGTCGACATCCTCAAGTGCTTCAACATCCTCATCGGCATCGACACCATCTAGTACCTCATCATCATCGTCAGTGTCGACATCATCAAGTGTTTCAACATCTTCATCAATATCGACGTCATCAAGTATCTCAACATCATCATCGGCATCAACTTCATCCAGTGCTTCGACATCTTCATCAGTGTCGACGTCGTCGAGTGTGTCAACGCCAACCACAACAAGGTACGATCTGAATATATCAACTATTGTCTTTGAGTTATGCTTTTCTTTACTTAAACGTTGACAATTCAGTATGGTCGTAAGAGATTAGACTAAATTGGTCTGCATACGGGACTAAAAAAGTAGATTTCATGCCTCATTCGTTTCACAAGAGGTGCAAATACGGAGGTATATATAGCCAACCTGCTTCATAATAGAAATGGCTATCATCTACAACCTGGTAATGATTGAATATTACTCATAAACATTTATAATGAGTTTCTAATATCTTTGTATAATTATATTTGTAGTGAGACTTATACAACGTCCTCGAGTGTGTCAACCTCCTCAAGGTAAGTAGTATGTTAAGAGTAAAATGCATTTTCAGTGTTTGATCATAAAGTCACCAGATAAACAATAGTTTTACTTGAACAAAATAACCTGTTGATTGATAATTTACTGATCATAGATCAAATCCATACTTCATATGCCTTTAGCGCAATTGAATCTTTTAATTTTCTTTAAGTGTGTCAACATCAAGTTCAGCATCAACGTCATCGAGTGTGTCGACCTCGTCAAGGTAAGAAATGACGATTGTTTTACATCGCCTTTCTTCATATATACATAGAGTGGTTAGTGGCTTTATCTATATTTGGTTAAGTACATTGCTTTGAACACTTTCTATTATTTTATGTAACGCTTATAAACTGCTATGTTATAGCCATTTACATCCTTGTTTTCAGCGTGTCAACGTCTAGTTCTTTGTCATCATCGGCGTCAACGTCCTCGAGTATTTCAACACCAACCACGACCAGGTATAGATTAAATTTTCTTAGACGGGGAGACTTTTTGTTTAAAAACCTCCAGAGATGTCAACATTTCTTTTACAGGAATATACATATCCTAGCCAATGCATTTATCCCTCTGTAAATCATGTTTCATCGTACTTTAGTATTTCTACATCAAATTCTTGGTCCAGATTGTCATTGATATCTAGTTGAAAACTAAAAATTCATTTCAGTCGTTCAAGAAAAAAATTTTTCAATAGAGACTATCATCGAGTCGTTGATTTGATTATATATTAGATGTCAGGAAGGTTGCTGTTTTATGTAACAGTAGTTGATCTCTCCGTAGTGTCTCTACATCAAGTTCTGTGTCGACGTCATCGAGCATTTCCACATCATCGTCTGTGTCAACATCATCAAGTGCTTCAACCTCGTCGTCATTGTCGACATCATCAAGTGCTTCAACCTCGTCGTCATTGTCGACATCCTCAAGTGCTTCCACATCCTCATCGGCATCGACACCATCAAGTACCTCATCATCATCGTCAGTGTCGACATCATCAAGTGTTTCAACATCTTCATCAATATCGACGTCATCAAGCATCTCAACATCATCATCGGCATCAACTTCATCCAGTGCTTCGACATCTTCATCAGTGTCGACGTCGTCGAGTGTGTCCACGCCAACCACAACAAGGTACGATCTGAATATATCAACTATTGTCTTTGAGTTATACTTTTCTTTACTTAAGCGTTGACAATTCAGTATGGTTGTAAGAAAGCAGACTAAACTGATCTACATACGGGACTAAAAAAGTAGATTTCATGCCTCATTCGTTTCACAAGAGGTGCAAATACAGAGGTTATATTAGCCAACCTGCTTCATGATAGAAATGGCTATCATCTACAACCTAGTAATGATTGAATATTACCCCTAAACATTGATAATGAGTTTCCAATATCTTTATATAATTATATTTGTAGTGAGACTTATACAACGTCCTCGAGTGTGTCAACCTCCTCAAGGTTAGTAGTATATTGAGAGTAAAATGCATTTTCAGTGTTTTTATCATAAAGTTGCTAGATAAACAATAGTCATACTTGAACAAAATAACCTGTTGATTGATAATTTACTGGTCATAGATCAAACACATACTTCATATGCCTTTACCGCAATCGAATCTTTTAATTTTCTTTAAGTGTGTCAACATCAAGTTCAGCATCAACGTCATCGAGTGTGTCGACCTCGTCAAGGTAAGAAATGACGATTGTTTTACATCGCCTTTTTTCATATATACATAGAGTGGTTAGTGGCTTTATCTATATTTGGTTAAGTACATTGCTTTGAACACTTTCTATTATTTTATGTAACGCTTATAAACTGCTATGTTATAGCCATTTACATCCTTGTTTTCAGCGTGTCAACGTCTAGTTCTTTGTCATCATCGGCGTCAACGTCCTCGAGTATTTCAACACCAACCACGACCAGGTATAGATTAAACTTTTTTGGACGGGGAGACTTTTTGTTTAAAAACCTCCAGAGATATCAACATTTCTCTTACAGGAATATCTATATCCTAGGCAATGCATTCATCCCTCTGTAAATCATGTTTCATCGTACTTTAGTATTTCTACATCAAATTCTTCGTCCAGATAGTCGTTGATATCTAGTTGAAAACTAAAAATTCATTTCAGTCGTTCAAGAAAAAAATTTTTCAATAGAGACTATCATCGAGTCGTTGATGTGATTATATATTAGATGTCAGGAGGGTTGCTGTTTTATGTAACAGTAGTTGATCTCTCCGTAGTGTCTCTACATCAAGTTCTGTGTCGACGTCATCGAGCATTTCCACATCATCGTCTGTGTCAACATCATCAAGTGCTTCAACCTCGTCGTCATTGTCGACATCATCAAGTGCTTCAGCCTCGTCGTCATCGTCGACATCATCAAGTGCTTCAACCTCGTCGTCATTGTCGACATCCTCAAGTGCTTCCACATCCTCATCAGCATCGACACCATCAAGTACCTCATCATCATCGTCAGTGTCGACATCATCAAGTGTTTCAACATCTTCATCAATATCGACGTCATCGAGCATTTCCACATCATCGTCTGTGTCAACATCATCAAGTGCTTCAACCTCGTCATCAGTGTCGACATCTTCGAGTTTATCAACCTCGTCGTCAGCGTCGACATCTTCGAGTGTATCAACCTCGTCGTCATTGTCGACATCTTCGAGTGTATCAACCTCATCGTCAGTGTCGACATCTTCGAGTGTATCAACCTCCTCGTCAGTGTCGACATCTTCGAGTTTATCAACCTCCTCGTCAGTGTCGACATCTTCGAGTGTATCAACCTTGTCAAGGTAATATGGGCATACTTTGACATCAATGCTTCAATGCAATATAGCTATTAAACACTTCTATGCTTGTATGTTTTCCGGCTAATTTTGTTGCTTTCGCAGTTCGATTTGATTTTGTTGTTCACATCTAAAGGGCTTAAAGAACTTTTGCATAGAAGTGTTTTATCAGATATGAAAGTTCGGATAGTTTTTGGAACTAATAAGAGAATAAAAAAATGCACAAAATTTACGTGAGTAATGATTTTTCCTTTTATAGTGTATCCACCTCAAGTCCTCTCTCTACCCAGAAATCTCAGACAGAATCAAAGGTGTCAACGAGGTTTCCCTCAACGTACACTTTTTCGAAACCCTCCGAAACAGTTTTTTCATTGTATTCCAGGTGAGTTCACAAAGCACCTTCTATTCTCACTCAACTCCAATCACAACACGAAAATCATACATTAGAGTCTTTAGTTTATTATGATTAACGATTGTAAATAACAAGCTTTCATTTATTTGATTGACTAATTTTTTATATGATAGTTACGTTCGTAGAAAAAAAGAAGGGTTTTTCTCTTCCAGGCTGTCAACTTTTTGACAAATATTTAGTAACGAAGATGCATAACTATAGGAGGGTTGCTGTTTTATGTAACAGTAGTTGATCTCTCCATAGTGTCTCTACATCAAGTTCTGTGTCGACGTCATCGAGCATTTCCACATCATCGTCTGTGTCAACATCATCAAGTGCTTCAACCTCGTCGTCATTATCGACATCATCAAGTGCTTCAACCTCGTCGTCATTGTCGACATCCTCAAGTGCTTCCACATCCTCATCGGCATCGACACCATCAAGTACCTCATCATCATCGTCAGTGTCGACATCATCAAGTGTTTCAACATCTTCATCAAAATCGACGTCATCAAGTATCTCAACATCATCATCGGCATCAACTTCATCCAGTGCTTCGACATCTTCATCAGTGTCGACGTCGTCGAGTGTGTCCACGCCAACCACAACAAGGTACGATCTGAATATATCAACTATTGTCTTTTAGTTATGCTTTTCTTTACTTAAACGTTGACAATTCAGTATGGTCGTAAGCGATTAGACTAAATTGGTCTGCATACGGGACTAAAAAAGTAGATTTTATGCCTCATTCATTTCACAAGAGGTGCAACTACGGAGGTATATACAGCCAACCTGCTTCATGATAGAAATGGCTATCATCTACAACCTGGTAATGATTGAATATTACCCATAAACATTGATAATGAGTTTCCAATATCTTTGTATAATTATATTTGTAGTGAGACTTATACAACGTCCTCGAGTGTGTCAACCTCCTCAAGGTAAGTAGTATGTTAAGAGTAAAATGCATTTTCAGTGTTTGATCATAAAGTCACCAGATAAACAATAGTCATACTTGAACAAAATAACCTGTTGATTGATAATTTACTGATCATAGATCAAATCCATACTTCATATACCTTTAGCGCAATCGAATCTTTTAATTTTCTTTAAGTGTGTCAACATCAAGTTCAGCATCAACGTCATCGAGTGTCTCGACCTCGTCAAGGTAAGAAATGACGATTGTTTTACATCGCCTTTTTTCATATATACATAGAGTGGTTAGTGGCTTTATCTATATTTGGTTAAGTACATTGCTTTGAACACTTTCTATTATTTTACGTAACGCTTATACACTGCTATGTTATAGCCATTCACATCCTTGTTTTCAGCGTGTCAACGTCTAGTTCTTTGTCATCATCGGCGTCAACGTCCTCGAGTATTTCAACACCAACCACGACCGGGTATAGATTAAATTTTCTTAGACGGGGGGACTCTTTTTTTAAAAACCTCCAGAGATGTCAACATTTCTTTTACAGGAATATATATATCCTAGGCAATGCATTCATCCCTCTGTAAATCATGTTTCATCGTACTTTAGTATTTCTACATCAAATTCTTCGTCCAGATAGTCGTTGATATCTAGTTGAAAACTAAAAGTTCATTTCAGTCGTTCAAGAAAAAAATTTTACAAAAGAGACTATCATCGAGTCGTTGATGTGATTATATATTAGATGTCAGGAGGGTTGCTGTTTTATGTAACAGTAGTTGATCTCTCCATAGTGTCTCTACATCAAGTTCTGTGTCGACGTCATCGAGCATTTCCACATCATCGTCTGTGTCAACATCATCAAGTGCTTCAACCTCGTCGTCATTGTCGACGTCATCAAGTGCTTCAACCTCGTCCTCATTGTCGACATCCTCAAGTGCTTCCACATCCTCATCGGCATCGACACCATCAAGTACCTCATTCTCATCGTCCGTGTCGACATCATCAAGTGTTTCAACATCTTCATCAAAATCGACGTCATCAAGTATCTCAACATCATCATCGGCATCAACTTCATCCAGTGCTTCGACATCTTCATCAGTGTCGACGTCGTCGAGTGTGTCCACGCCAACCACAACAAGGTACGATCTGAATATATCAACTATTGTCTTTTAGTTATGCTTTTCTTTACTTAAACGTTGACAATTCAGTATGGTCGTAAGAAAGCAGACTAAATGGATCTACATACGGGACTAAAAAAGTAGATTTTATGCCTCATTCGTTTCACAAGAGGTGCAAATACGGAGGAAAACAGCCAACCTGCTTCATGATGGAAATGGCTATCATCTACAACCTAGTAATGATTGAATATTACCCATAAACATATATAATGAGTTTCCAATATCTTTGTATAATTATATTTGTAGTGAGACTTATACAACGTCCTCGAGTGTGTCAACCTCCTCAAGGTAAGTAGTATGTTAAGAGTAAAATGCATTTTCAGTGTTTGATCATAAAGTCACCAGATAAACAATAGTTTTACTTGAACAAAATAACCTGTTGATTGATAATTTACTGATCATAGATCAAATCCATACTTCATATACCTTTAGCGCAATCGAATCTTTTAATTTTCTTTAAGTGTGTCAACATCAAGTTCAGCATCAACGTCATCGAGTGTGTCGACCTCGTCAAGGTAAGAAGTGACGATTGTTTTACATCGCCTTTTTTCATATATACATAGAGTGGTTAGTGGCTTTATCTGTATTTGGTTAAGTACATTGCTTTGAGCACTTTCTATTATTTTATGTAACGCTTATAAACTGCTATGTTATAGCCATTTACATCCTTGTTTTCAGCGTGTCAACGTCTAGTTCTTTGTCATCATCGGCGTCAACGTCCTCGAGTATTTCAACACCAACCACGACCAGGTATAGATTAAATTTTCTTAGACGGGGAGACTCTTTTTTTAAAAACCTCCAGAGATGTCAACATTTCTTTTACAGGAATATATATATCCTAGGCAATGCATTCATCCCTCTGTAAATCATGTTTCATCGTACTTTAGTATTTCTACATCAAATTCTTAGTCCAGATAGTCGTTGATATCTAGTTGAAAACTAAAAGTTCATTTCAGTCGTTCAAGAAAAAAATTTTACAAAAGAGACTATAATCGAGTCGTTGATGTGATTATATATTAGATGTCAGGAGGGTTGCTGTTTTATGTAACAGTAGTTGATCTCTCCATAGTGTCTCTACATCAAGTTCTGTGTCGACGTCATCGAGCATTTCCACATCATCGTCTGTGTCAACATCATCAAGTGCTTCAACCTCGTCGTCATTGTCGACATCATCAAGTGCTTCAACCTCGTCCTCATTGTCGACATCCTCAAGTGCCTCCACATCCTCATCGGCATCGACACCATCAAGTACCTCATCCTCATCGTCCGTGTCGACATCATCAAGTGTTTCAACATCTTCATCAATATCGACGTCATCAAGTATCTCAACATCATCATCGGCATCAACTTCATCCAGTGCTTCGACATCTTCATCAGTGTCGACGTCGTCGAGTGTGTCCACGCCAACCACAACAAGGTACGATTTGAATATATCAACTATTGTCTTTGAGTTATACTTTTCTTTACTTAAGCGTTGACAATTCAGTATGGTTGAAAGAAAGCAGACTAAACTGATCTACATACGGGACTAAAAAAGTAGATTTTATGCCTCATTCGTTTCACAAGAGGTGCAAATACGGAGGTTATATTAGCCAACCTGCTTCATGATAGAAATGGCTATCATCTACAACCTAGTAATGATTGAATATTACCCATAAACATTTATAATGAGTTTCCAATATCTTTGTATAATTATATTTGTAGTGAGACTTATACAACGTCCTCGAGTGTGTCAACCTCCTCAAGGTAAGTAGTATGTTAAGAGTAAAATGCATTTTCAGTGTTTGATCATAAAGTCTCTAGATAAACAATAGTCATACTTGAACAAAATAACCTGTTGATTGATAATTTACTGATCATAGATCAAACACATACTTCATATACCTTTAGCGCAATCGAATCTTTTAATTTTCTTTAAGTGTGTCAACATCAAGTTCAGCATCAACGTCATCGAGTGTGTCGACCTCGTCAAGGTAAGAAGTGACGATTGTTTTACATCGCCTTTTTTCATATATACATAGAGTGGTTAGTGGCTTTATCTATATTTGGTTAAGTACATTGCTTTGAACACTTTCTATTATTTTATGTAACGCTTATAAACTGCTATGTTATAGCCATTTACATCCTTGTTTTCAGCGTGTCAACGTCTAGTTCTTTGTCATCATCGGCGTCAACGTCCTCGAGTATTTCAACACCAACCACGACCAGGTATAGATTAAATTTTCTTAGACGGGGAGACTCTTTTTTTAAAAACCTCCAGAGATGTCAACATTTCTTTTACAGGAATATATATATCCTAGGCAATGCATTCATCCCTCTGTAAATCATGTTTCATCGTACTTTAGTATTTCTACATCAAATTCTTAGTCCAGATAGTCGTTGATATCTAGTTGAAAACTAAAAATTCATTTATGTCGTTCAAGAAAGAAGTTTTACAAAAAAGACTATCATCGAGTCGTTGATGTGATTATATATTAGATGTCAGGAGGGTTGCTGTTTTATGTAACAGTAGTTGATCTTTCCATAGTGTCTCTACATCAAGTTCTGTGTCGACGTCATCGAGCATTTCCACATCATCATCTGTGTCAACATCATCAAGTGCTTCAACCTCGTCGTCATTGTCGACATCATCAAGTGCTTCAACCTCGTCCTCATTGTCGACATCCTCAAGTGCCTCCACATCCTCATCGGCATCGACACCATCAAGTACCTCATCCTCATCGTCCGTGTCGACATCATCAAGTGTTTCAACATCTTCATCAATATCGACGTCATCAAGTATCTCAACATCATCATCGGCATCAACTTCATCCAGTGCTTCGACATCTTCATCAGTGTCGACGTCGTCGAGTGTGTCCACGCCAACCACAACAAGGTACGATTTGAATATATCAACTATTGTCTTTGAGTTATACTTTTCTTTACTTAAGCGTTGACAATTCAGTATGGTTGTAAGAAAGCAGACTAAATGGATCTACATACGGGACTAAAAAAGTAGATTTCATGCCTCATTCGTTTCACAAGAGGTGCAAATACGGAGGTTATATTAGCCAACCTGCTTCATGATAGAAATGGCTATCATCTACAACCTAGTAATGATTGAATATTACCCATAAACATTTATAATGAGTTTCCAATATCTTTATATAATTATATTTGTAGTGAGACTTATACAACGTCCTCGAGTGTGTCAACCTCCTCAAGGTTAGTAGTATATTGAGAGTAAAATGCATTTTCAGTGTTTTTATCATAAAGTTGCTAGATAAACGATAGTCATACTTGAACAAAATAACCTGTTCATTGATAATTTACTGGTCATAGATCAAACACATACTTCATATGCCTTTACCGCAATCGAATCTTTTAATTTTCTTTAAGTGTGTCAACATCAAGTTCAGCATCAACGTCATCGAGTGTGTCGACCTCGTCAAGGTAAGAAATGACGATTGTTTTACATCGCCTTTTTTCATATATACATAGAGTGGTTAGTGGCTTTATCTATATTTGGTTAGGTACATTGCTTTGAACACTTTCTATTATTTTATGTAACGCTTATAAACTGCTATGTTATAGCCATTTACATCCTTGTTTTCAGCGTGTCAACGTCTAGTTCTTTGTCATCATCGGCGTCAACGTCCTCGAGTATTTCAACACCAACCACGACCAGGTATAGATTAAACTTTTTCGGACGGGGAGACTTTTTGTTTAAAAACCTCCAGAGATGTCAACATTTCTTTTACAAGAATATCTATATCCTAGGCAATGCATTCATCCCTCTGTAAATCATGTTTCATCGTACTTTAGTATTTCTACATCAAATTCTTAGTCCAGATAGTCGTTGATATCTAGTTGAAAACTAAAAGTTCATTTAAGTCGTTCAAGAAAAAAACTTTTCAATAGAGACTATCATCGAGTCGTTGATGTGATTATATATTAGATGTCAGGAGGGTTGCTGTTTTATGTAACAGTAGTTGATCTCTCCGTAGTGTCTCTACATCAAGTTCTGTGTCGACGTCATCGAGCATTTCCACATCATCGTCTGTGTCAACATCATCAAGTGCTTCAACCTCGTCGTCATTGTCGACATCATCAAGTGCTTCAGCCTCGTCGTCATCGTCGACATCATCAAGTGCTTCAACCTCGTCGTCATTGTCGACATCCTCAAGTGCTTCCACATCCTCATCAGCATCGACACCATCAAGTACCTCATCATCATCGTCAGTGTCGACATCATCAAGTGTTTCAACATCTTCATCAATATCGACGTCATCGGGCATTTCCACATCATCGTCTGTGTCAACATCATCAAGTGCTTCAACCTCGTCATCAGTGTCGACATCTTCGAGTTTATCAACCTCGTCGTCAGCGTCGACATCTTCGAGTGTATCAACCTCGTCGTCATTGTCGACATCTTCGAGTGTATCAACCTCATCGTCAGTGTCGACATCTTCGAGTGTATCAACCTCCTCGTCAGTGTCGACATCTTCGAGTGTATCAACCTCCTCGTCAGTGTCGACATCTTCGAGTGTATCAACCTTGTCAAGGTAATATGGGCATACTTTGACATCAATGCTTCAATGCAATATAGCTATTTAAACACTTCTATGCTTGTATGTTTTCCGGCTAATTTTGTTGCTTTCGCAGTTCGATTTGATTTTGTTGTTCACATCTAAAGGGCTTAAAGAACTTTTGCATAGAAGTGTTTTATCAGATATGAAAGTTCGGATAGTTTTTGGAACTAATAAGAGAATAAAAAAATGCACAAAATTTACGTGAGTAATGATTTTTCCTTTTATAGTGTATCCACCTCAAGTCCTCTCTCTACCCAGAAATCTCAGACAGAATCAAAGGTGTCAACGAGGTTTCCCTCAACGTACACTTTTTCGAAACCCTCCGAAACAGTTTTTTCATTGTATTCCAGGTGAGTTCACAAAGCACCTTCTATTCTCACTCAACTCCAATCACAACACGAAAATCATACATTAGAGTCTTTAGTTTATTATGATTAACGATTGTAAATAACAAGCTTTCATTTATTTGATTGACTAATTTTTTATATGATAGTTACGTTCGTAGAAAAAAAGAAGGGTTTTTCTCTTCCAGGCTGTCAACTTTTTGACAAATATTTAGTAACGAAGATGCATAACTATAGGAGGGTTGCTGTTTTATGTAACAGTAGTTGATCTCTCCATAGTGTCTCTACATCAAGTTCTGTGTCGACGTCATCGAGCATTTCCACATCATCGTCTGTGTCAACATCATCAAGTGCTTCAACCTCGTCGTCATTATCGACATCATCAAGTGCTTCAACCTCGTCGTCATTGTCGACATCCTCAAGTGCTTCCACATCCTCATCGGCATCGACACCATCAAGTACCTCATCATCATCGTCAGTGTCGACATCATCAAGTGTTTCAACATCTTCATCAAAATCGACGTCATCAAGTATCTCAACATCATCATCGGCATCAACTTCATCCAGTGCTTCGACATCTTCATCAGTGTCGACGTCGTCGAGTGTGTCCACGCCAACCACAACAAGGTACGATCTGAATATATCAACTATTGTCTTTTAGTTATGCTTTTCTTTACTTAAACGTTGACAATTCGGTATGGTCGTAAGCGATTAGACTAAATTGGTCTGCATACGGGACTAAAAAAGTAGATTTCATGCCTCATTCGTTTCACAAGAGGTGCAAATACGGAGGTATATACAGCCAACCTGCTTCATGATAGAAATGGCTATCATCTACAACCTGGTAATGATTGAATATTACCCATAAACATTGATAATGAGTTTCCAATATCTTTGTATAATTATATTTGTAGTGAGACTTATACAACGTCCTCGAGTGTGTCAACCTCCTCAAGGTAAGTAGTATGTTAAGAGTAAAATGCATTTTCAGTGTTTGATCATAAAGTCACCAGATAAACAATAGTCATACTTGAACAAAATAACCTGTTGATTGATAATTTACTGATCATAGATCAAATCCATACTTCATATACCTTTAGCGCAATCGAATCTTTTAATTTTCTTTAAGTGTGTCAACATCAAGTTCAGCATCAACGTCATCGAGTGTGTCGACCTCGTCAAGGTAAGAAGTGACGATTGTTTTACATCGCCTTTTTTCATATATACATAGAGTGGTTAGTGGCTTTATCTATATTTGGTTAAGTACATTGCTTTGAACACTTTCTATTATTTTATGTAACGCTTATACACTGCTATGTTATAGCCATTCACATCCTTGTTTTCAGCGTGTCAACGTCTAGTTCTTTGTCATCATCGGCGTCAACGTCCTCGAGTATTTCAACACCAACCACGACCAGGTATAGATTAAATTTTCTTAGACGGGGAGACTCTTTTTTTAAAAACCTCCAGAGATGTCAACATTTCTTTTACAGGAATATATATATCCTAGGCAATGCATTCATCCCTCTGTAAATCATGTTTCATCGTACTTTAGTATTTCTACATCAAATTCTTCGTCCAGATAGTCGTTGATATCTAGTTGAAAACTAAAAGTTCATTTCAGTCGTTCAAGAAAAAAATTTTACAAAAGAGACTATCATCGAGTCGTTGATGTGATTATATATTAGATGTCAGGAGGGTTGCTGTTTTATGTAACAGTAGTTGATCTCTCCATAGTGTCTCTACATCAAGTTCTGTGTCGACGTCATCGAGCTTTTCCACATCATCGTCTGTGTCAACATCATCAAGTGCTTCAACCTCGTCGTCATTGTCGACATCATCAAGTGCTTCAACCTCGTCCTCATTGTCGACATCCTCAAGTGCTTCCACATCCTCATCGGCATCGACACCTTCAAGTACCTCATCCTCATCGTCCGTGTCGACATCATCAAGTGTTTCAACATCTTCATCAAAATCGACGTCATCAAGTATCTCAACATCATCATCGGCATCAACTTCATCCAGTGCTTCGACATCTTCATCAGTGTCGACGTCGTCGAGTGTGTCCACGCCAACCACAACAAGGTACGATCTGAATATATCAACTATTGTCTTTTAGTTATGCTTTTCTTTACTTAAACGTTGACAATTCAGTATGGTCGTAAGAAAGCAGACTAAATGGATCTACATACGGGACTAAAAAAGTAGATTTTATGCCTCATTCGTTTCACAAGAGGTGCAAATACGGAGGTTATATTAGCCAACCTGCTTCATGATAGAAATGGCTATCATCTACAACCTAGTAATGATTGAATATTACCCCTAAACATTTATAATGAGTTTCCAATATCTTTGTATAATTATATTTGTAGTGAGACTTATACAACGTCCTCGAGTGTGTCAACCTCCTCAAGGTAAGTAGTATGTTAAGAGTAAAATGCATTTTCAGTGTTTGATCATAAAGTCTCTAGATAAACAATAGTCATACTTGAACAAAATAACCTGTTGATTGATAATTTACTGATCATAGATCAAATCCATACTTCATATACCTTTAGCGCAATCGAATCTTTTAATTTTCTTTAAGTGTGTCAACATCAAGTTCAGCATCAACGTCATCGAGTGTGTCGACCTCGTCAAGGTAAGAAATGACGATTGTTTTACATCGCCTCTTTTCATATATACATAGAGTGGTTAGTGGCTTTATCTATATTTGGTAAAGTACATTGCTTTGAACACTTTCTATTATTTTATGTAACGCTTATACACTGCTATGTTATAGCCATTCACATCCTTGTTTTCAGCGCGTCAACGTCTAGTTCTTTGTCATCATCGGCGTCAACGTCCTCGAGTATTTCAACACCAACCACGACCAGGTATAGATTAAATTTTCTTAGACGGGGAGACTCTTTTTTTAAAAACCTCCAGAGATGTCAACATTTCTTTTACAGGAATATATATATCCTAGGCAATGCATTCATCCCTCTGTAAATCATGTTTCATCGTACTTTAGTATTTCTACATCAAATTCTTAGTCCAGATAGTCGTTGATATCTAGTTGAAAACTAAAAATTCATTTAAGTCGTTCAAGAAAAAAATTTTACAAAAGAGACTATCATCGAGTCGTTGATGTGATTATATATTAGATGTCAGGAGGGTTGCTGTTTTATGTAACAGTAGTTGATCTCTCCATAGTGTCTCTACATCAAGTTCTGTGTCGACGTCATCGAGCATTTCCACATCATCGTCTGTGTCAACATCATCAAGTGCTTCAACCTCGTCGTCATTGTCGACATCATCAAGTGCTTCAACCTCGTCCTCATTGTCGACATCCTCAAGTGCCTCCACATCCTCATCGGCATCGACACCATCAAGTACCTCATCCTCATCGTCCGTGTCGACATCATCAAGTGTTTCAACATCTTCATCAATATCGACGTCATCAAGTATCTCAACATCATCATCGGCATCAACTTCATCCAGTGCTTCGACATCTTCATCAGTGTCAACGTCGTCGAGTGTGTCCACGCCAACCACAACAAGGTACGATCTGAATATATCAACTATTGTCTTTTAGTTATGCTTTTCTTTACTTAAACGTTGACAATTCAGTATGGTCGTAAGAAAGCAGACTAAATGGATCTACATACGGGACTAAAAAAGTAGATTTTATGCCTCATTCGTTTCACAAGAGGTGCAAATACAGAGGTTATATTAGCCAACCTGCTTCATGATAGAAATGGCTATCATCTACAACCTAGTAATGATTGAATATTACCCCTAAACATTTATAATGAGTTTCCAATATCTTTGTATAATTATATTTGTAGTGAGACTTATACAACGTCCTCGAGTGTGTCAACCTCCTCAAGGTAAGTAGTATGTTAAGAGTAAAATGCATTTTCAGTGTTTGATCATAAAGTCTCTAGATAAACAATAGTCATACTTGAACAAAATAACCTGTTGATTGATAATTTACTGATCATAGATCAAATCCATACTTCATATACCTTTAGCGCAATCGAATCTTTTAATTTTCTTTAAGTGTGTCAACATCAAGTTCAGCATCAACGTCATCGAGTGTGTCGACCTCGTCAAGGTAAGAAATGACGATTGTTTTACATCGCCTCTTTTCATATATACATAGAGTGGTTAGTGGCTTTATCTATATTTGGTTAAGTACATTGCTTTGAACACTTTCTATTATTTTATGTAACGCTTATAAACTGCTATGTTATAGCCATTTACATCCTTGTTTTCAGCGTGTCAACGTCTAGTTCTTTGTCATCATCGGCGTCAACGTCCTCGAGTATTTCAACACCAACCACGACCAGGTATAGATTAAATTTTCTTAGACGGGGAGACTCTTTTTTTAAAAACCTCCAGAGATGTCAACATTTCTTTTACAGGAATATATATATCCTAGGCAATGCATTCATCCCTCTGTAAATCATGTTTCATCGTACTTTAGTATTTCTACATCAAATTCTTCGTCCAGATAGTCGTTGATATCTAGTTGAAAACTAAAAGTTCATTTAAGTCGTTCAAGAAAAAAATTTTACAAAAGAGACTATCATCGAGTCGTTGATGTGATTATATATTAGATGTCAGGAGGGTTGCTGTTTTATGTAACAGTAGTTGATCTCTCCATAGTGTCTCTACATCAAGTTCTGTGTCGACGTCATCGAGCATTTCCATATCATCGTCTGTGTCAACATCATCAAGTGCTTCAACCTCGTCGTCATTGTCGACATCATCAAGTGCTTCAACCTCGTCCTCATTGTCGACATCCTCAAGTGCTTCCACATCCTCATCGGCATCGACACCATCAAGTACCTCATCCTCATCGTCCGTGTCGACATCATCAAGTGTTTCAACATCTTCATCAAAATCGACGTCATCAAGTATCTCAACATCATCATCGGCATCAACTTCATCCAGTGCTTCGACATCTTCATCAGTGTCGACGTCGTCGAGTGTGTCCACGCCAACCACAACAAGGTACGATCTGAATATATCAACTATTGTCTTTTAGTTATGCTTTTCTTTACTTAAACGTTGACAATTCAGTATGGTCGTAAGAAAGCAGACTAAATGGATCTACATACGGGACTAAAAAAGTAGATTTTATGCCTCATTCGTTTCACAAGAGGTGCAAATACGGAGGAAAACAGCCAACCTGCTTCATGATAGAAATGGCTATCATCTACAACCTAGTAATGATTGAATATTACCCCTAAACATTTATAATGAGTTTCCAATATCTTTGTATAATTATATTTGTAGTGAGACTTATACAACGTCCTCGAGTGTGTCAACCTCCTCAAGGTAAGTAGTATGTTAAGAGTAAAATGCATTTTCAGTGTTTTGATCATAAATTCACTAGATAAACAATAGTTATACTTGAACAAAATAACCTGTTGATTTATAATTTACTGGTCATAGATCAAGTACATACTTCATATGCCTTTATCGCAATCGAATCTTTTAATTTTCTTTAAGTGTGTCAACATCAAGTTCAGCATCGACATCATCAAGTGTGTCGACCTCGTCAAGGTAAGAAATGACGATTGTTTTCCATTGCTTTTTAAAATATACATAGAGTGGTTAGTGGCTTTATCTATGTTTGGTTAAGTACATCCCTTTGAACTCTTTTTTTATCGTTTTATGTAATGTTTATACACTGCTAAAATATAGCCATTTGTATCATTGTTTTCAGCGTGTCAACGTCTAGTTCTTTGTCATCATCGGCGTCAACGTCCTCCAGTATTTCAACACCAACCACGACCAGGTATATATAAAATTTTTTAGACGGGGAGACTTTTTGTTTAAAAACCTCGAGAGATGTCAACATTTCTTTCACTGAAAAACGTATCCTAGCCAATGCATTTATCTCTCTGTTAATCAAGTTTTATTGTACTGTAGTATTTCTACATCAAATTCTTGGCCCAAATTGTTATAGATATCAAGTTGAAAACTAAAAATTCATTACAGTAGTTAAAAAAAAAAAATTCCATACAAACTATTGTTGAGTTGTTGATGTGATTATGTATCAGATGTCAGGAGAGATGCTGTTTTCTGTAACAGTAATTGATCTCTCCATAGTGTCTCTACATTAAGTTCTGTGTCGACGTCATCGAGCATTTCGACATCATCGTCTGTGTCAACATCATCAAGTGCTTCAACCTCGTCATCAGTGTCGACGTCATCGAGTGCCTCAACATCGTCGTCTGCATCAACATCATCAAGTGCTTCAACATCGTCGTCAGCATCAACATCATCAAGTGCTTCATCATCGTCGTCAGTGTCGACATCATCAAGCGCTTCAACTTCCTCTTCGGTATCGACATCATCTAGCGCTTCAACATCTTCATCAATTTCCACGTCATCAAGTGCTTCAACGTCGTCATCAATTTCGACGTCATCGAGCATTTCGACATCATCATCGGCATCAACATCAAAATCTTCAAGTGCATCAACGTCTTCGTCAGTGTCCACATCATCTTCTGTTTCGACACCAACTACTACCAGGTATTTACTGAATAGTTCCATAATTTGAGACAACTTACCAACAGCTTTGACTGAAAAGTACATGGTCCATTATTATTGAGTTGATACCATATCAACTTCTAAACTATGGGACTTTGATAAGGTTTTAGTCGTGTTACTTAGATACAGGTTAATGTGAGTTATTTATCTCCTCTTTTCCTTTCAATGAAGTGTGTCTACTTCAAGTTCATCAAGTGTATCAACTTCCTCAAGGTATTAAGAATTTGTGTACACGTGACTGCGCATCAGTCACAGCTTTAGATGGTCCTCTTTTCAATTACTAGTTCAGTGGTGTTCTCAGCTGCGAGGAGCTCTTTAATTCGATTCTTCACATTGCAAATATATGAATTTCATATATCTAAAATCATTATTCATCACTTGGATGGTTTATTTGGATCCAACATATTGATCAGCTCCCAATTGGCTCGTTCGCTCAATTGGTAGAGCGCTGCACCGGTATCGCAGAGGTCATGGTTTCAAATCCTGTACGGGCCTGAATTTTTTTCAGGTCCTATTTTCTACTACTAGTTCAGTAGTGTTCTTAGCTGTGAGGAGCTCTTAAAGTTGATATTTCAAGGGCGTTATGAACACAATCCTTTGTTTGCCTTTCCGACGATTAAAATCCTAATTTTTTTCAGTGTGTCGACATCAAGTTCTGCGTCATCTTCGTCAAGTGTGTCAACCTCATCAAGGTAACGAAGAACATTGTGGTTTTGTATTATTTAATTCAGTGCAAATTTAATCAGGGTCCATCGTTCTTATTATCAGTCGTTTCAACACCAACTTGATCATTCCATTCATATTCATTGCAATGCTTATCATAATTAAATGGTGTGAATGTCTTTTTTTTGCCGATGTCATCGAGTGTTTAAACACCATATACGACCAGGTACGAATGACATTTTATTTTAGGGGTAATTTTTTTTCGGCCTTGACTTAGTAATTACGAAATCGATATATTGACTTTTGTCCTTAGTTTTCTCTGAAAGTTTTTTTTTTTCGGTTTTCAGTTTCTCTACAACAAGTTCTGTATCCACATCATCGTCAATTTCAACATCAAAATGAATTTAATGCAACACACAATCTTTTTAAATTTTCATTTTTTAAAGAATATATATGGTTTATTTAAAACCGTTTTGATTTTCAACACAATGAACATAGTAAATATTTGTTTATCTCTACTTGTGTTATCGTTGAGTTAGCTATTGGTTACAGTTATTTTTGCTGCTAATCAGTCACACTTTGGCCTCTCAAACAAGAGTCTCAGTATATTTATTCTATGTTTTCTTATTCGATAGATTTTAAATCAACTAATTATTATTTTCTGAAACATCGCAAAACATATTTCAGTGTCTCTACATCAAGTTCTGCGTCAACGTCATCAAGTGCCTCATCTTCGTCATCCATATCGACATCATCAAGTGTTTCAACATCGTCGTCAATTTCTACATTATCAAGTATTTCAACGTCATCGTCCGCATCAACATCATCAAGCGCTTCAACATCATCGTCAGTGTCAACATCATCATCTGTTTCGACACCAACTACGACGAGGTACTGACTGAATTTATCTAGTTTGGATTACAAAAGATGCGCCCATTTTGTCAGGGTTCAAGAGAGTTGAAAGAAATATTATTCCACCATTGTGCACAATGTTGGCTTTTGGACTACCTGGTTTTTTAGCACACACATTTTAAAATCAAAAACATTTCCTTTTGCAACAGTGGTTAACAAAGTACTTAAAAATACCACTGCTCTTCATTCTTGCTTTCAATAAACCGGACTATCACCGAGAGGGCAACCTTCCCTCGTTTATAACTTTTAAGCAAAACTTAAATTGTGATTCATATATTTGCAATTTTCTATTTCCTCATTAGTGCATCTACTTCAAGTTCTTCAAGCGTGTCAACTTCCTCAAGGTATAAAAAAAAATTCTTCAATTCACAGATAAGGTTAACAAATTAGAATAAACCAGATCATAACTGCAAAGACAACAAATAGAAAATTTCGCTCCAGTTTTTAATTCTACTGAATCTTGCAACTTTCTCTTAGTGTGTCAACAACAAGTTCAGCATCAACATCGTCGAGTGTGTCAACCTCGTCAAGGTAAAGTGGAACCTAGCTTTAAATTTATTTTCAAACTTATCCAAAATGGTCACTTATTTTATCGAAAGCTGGTTAAGTACATTGTTTTGAAAAAAGAGTTTGTTTCTTATCTTTTAATTGTTTACACTGTTACCATAACATCGTAAGAGTGAACATTCTCTTTCATTAATTCTGTCATTTTTAGTGTGTCAACATCTAGTTCTGTGTCAACATCGTCCTCCGTGTCAACGTCATCGAGTATTTCAACACCCACAACGACCAGGTATAAATGATATTTTAAAGGTCATAGGATTCATTGGATATCAGCATTGTCTTAATAAAAGAATCGATTTTATCTTGTAGAGACAGTTATCTCCTAAACAAGTGCAATCATATTTTGGTACCTTTTCTTCCAGATCCACGTCCACGTTTTCTTCGATTTCAACCTTATCCAGTTTGTCGCCTTTGTCGAGTTAATTCATTCATATAAATTTGAAATATAGAATTTTCTTGTTATTCTTTACGAGACTTTTTCCCAAGTTCAGTTGTGGGATGTGGAAATGTGATCCCAAATTGAATTTTACTAATATAATTTTCTCACTAAAATTTATTGATATCGCTCTCTTAAGTGTCTCGACATCCAGTTCTGTTTCAACGTCGTCAAGTATTTCAACATTGTCATCGGTATCAACATCATCAAGTGCTTCAACATCGTCGTCAGTGTCTACATCATCAAGCGTTTCAACATCCTCGTCAGTATCGACATCATCAAGTGCTTCAACATCATCGTCTGGGTCGACCTCAACAAGCGCCTCAACATCATCATCAGTGTCGACATCATCAAGCGCCTCAACCTCATCATCAGCATCGACATCGTCAAGTGCCTCAACTTCGTCGTCAGTATCGACATCATCAAGTATTTCAACATCGTCGTCAATTTCGACGTCATCGAGCATTTCGACATCGTCATCGGTATCAACATCATCAAGCGCTTCGACATCATCGTCAGTGTCGATATCGTCATCTGTTTCGACGCCAACTACAACGAGGTATTTACCGCATATATTCAATTAAGACCTTTTAATTTGTCATAATTTGAACCAAAATTCTCACAATTTGAAGTGAAAATCTTAATGCTTCATTATAATTAAGCTCATACCACACCCACTTTTAAACCAGGTTGTAAGCCTTACTAGTATGACATATGAATGTATTCATATTTCAAATTTTATTGTAATCGACATATGTAAAGAGTATAGAATTATAGATCCCATTGTAAATAGATTTTAGCACTTGAAATAGAAATTATTCATCACGGTTGCAAGCCCCTCTAGTCTATATAAAAATACGTGCCTTATCATAATCGCTGGTAAAAATACCATGGTTTGTTAGGCAAAATTTATGAGACCTCTTTCATGTGACATTTTACAGCTTAGTGTGAAGAGATGGCTGATTTTTTTTGTGTTTCAGTGTGTCTACTTCAAGTTCATCAAGTGTGTCAACCTCCTCAAGGTATGAAGAATTTTTATAAGAATTTTTTTGCATCACACTCTTATCTAATTATAGACAAAAAAGACTGAACTGAAAAACTCTTAACTCCCTTTCTGACGCTTGAAATCTTTTAATTCTCTTTTAGTGCGTCGACGTCAAGCTCTGCGTCAACCTCTTCAAGTGTGTCAACCTCATCAAGGTAACGAAAAGGATGTAATGTAGCTAAGACACTTGTTACATCTCTAGTGCACTCCTTTATTCACCTTGAAGATACAAAGAAAACTAAACGAAATGAATTAGAGCAAATTGAAGCGAAGTAAATCAAATTAAAGCAGTTGCTACAAACAGATCAATTAAAAGTTCTTTCGATTCAGAAATCAAGATTTATCAAAAGAGAAAATAAAGACAAAAGACAGCAAATAAGGTCACTTGTGGTGAGATCAGGAACAATGAAAACTATCAAAACAATCGAATGATTTGAAAGATTGATTTGAATGAATGAAATCAACAGTAGGGAATATCCACCAAACGTATGAACAAATTTATGCAGGAAAAAGTAAAATAATGTCGATGTCAATCATGCGTGCTAAACAAAAGGGCTAAAAGGAGATTTGACAAAGGGAAAAAAGGGCGAATTTTTAATATGATGCGCTACACGAATTTTTTGCGGGAAGAACATCATTGTTTTGAATTAGATTTTTATGTAAACTGTAAATGATCGTTGTTTTTTAATAGTTTTTGAAGGGCTCCTTTGAGTATTGCCTCTTGATTTCAATAGTTTGGTATTTTTAAGTAAATGTGCAAATTTGAGACATTGAATACCGTTCAGTGGCGTTTTAAGACGTAGTATTGATCTGTAAGCATTTTATTTTAATGTTTGCAAGTTTCATACTCTGCAATTTCACTTGAAGTTCGTCTTCAACCTGAGAACTCTCCTTTCAGCTTTGCCTTTCCTTCACCACCCACCCCTTTTTATCCCTTCCCATTTTCTCTCGTTCTTTTCTCTCGTTTAGTGGTTTTGGCAAGCCGCTGAGGGTGGGAACAGCCAAGGTTTTACCTTCCTAAGGCTTAAGGCAGCTCTGTCTGTTCGGGCAGATAACAGATATATGAATTATCATAAGTTAGACTTACTTTGCAAATTTTTATTGGTCAAGAGCATACAGTCAATATACAGTATCGTGTAAAGGTGACATGATAACCCAATATCTGTAGATATTCTGTCATCGTGTCGAGTTCAAAGTTTCCAAGCGCCTCTTCCATGTACTGCTCCTATACTTTCAAAACTCGGAAAGGTGTGATATTCTTAAAAAATGCATCATAAAACAATTATCAAATCCGGTTTTTGTGTGATATCATGGATTATTAAACCTCTAGCATTTTTATCTGCTTCCGCGGCCTTCCGGCTTCGGCAGATAACGCAGGCTTCATGATTATTCATGATATCATACTCAACCTCATTCTATGATTGTCTTTTTCCCCAGTGCTTGGATTATGTTGGTTCATATGTGAATACCACTTCATGGCAGTAAAATATGTTACATCCGTTAGTTATTGATTAACTCTACCCTAATAGTGTAGAGATGTGTACTTGTTTCGTATTCCACAATATCATTTATGGTTCGCCTCAACCTGAGAGCTCGCCTTTGTTTTTTAAACACCCATTGCCGCCCGTGGGCTGTATCAGGGAGACAGCCTCAGTCTTACCTTCCCCTTGCTGCAGCTTTTCTTCTTCTGGCATAAACTGATTCAGCTTTTGTTTTCTTAATACTTCTAACAACATCTCTTGTGTGATTTACATTTCAATCAGCGCTTCAACATCTAGTTCTGCGTCAACATCATCATCGTCGACGTCATCCAGTGTTTCAACACCAACTACAACGAGGTATGAAGGATATTTTTGACACAATGTTTTTGGATTTCTTAACGAGTCAATTTTTTTCACAGCATAACTTAACACTCGGACGTATTTATTTCATCAAGATGATCCTATCTAGTCTAGAGTTAATAGTTGAGAAACACATATATTGTAACTTTGTCTGTTGCTCTCGTTAAATATCGTTTTATTTCTGGTGTTCAGTGTCTCTACATCGACTTCTGCGTCTACGTCATCGTCAATTTCAACATCGTCTAGTGCATCCACTTCTTCAAGGTGTGTGTTGATTTTATTTCAATTTTACTTTAGAAAAATGAAGTATATTATACATATTACCTTTATTTTTTTACGAGAGAAAAAAAAATTTCTGCCATAAAGTATCGTGGCTTTCCTTTTGGTTAGTCTTTAGCTGATAAAAGGTAATTAATTTCCCGTTAATACCCAAAGGCTCCTGTAATCATGGTGACGTTTTCATTCAAAACATTCCTAAAAATTATGAAACATATTATAGTGTCTCGACGTCAAGTTCGGCGTCAACATCATCTAGTGCTTCGACATCGTCGTCAGTTTCAACATCGTCGAGCGCTTCAACATCGTCTTCGGCATCGACGTCGTCTAGTGCTTCAACATCGTCTTCGGCATCGACATCGTCGAGTGCTTCAACATCATCAAGTGCTTCAACATCGTCTTCGGCATCGACGTCGTCAAGTGCTTCAACATCGTCGTCAGCATCGACATCGTCGAGTGCTTCAACATCATCAAGTGCTTCAACATCGTCGTCAGTGTCAACATCATCAAGTGCTTCGACATCGTCTTCGACATCGACGTCGTCGAGCGCTTCAACATCGTCGTCGGCATCGACATCGTCGAGTGCTTCAACATCATCAAGTGCTTCAACATCGTCATCAGCATCTACATCGTCAAGTGCTTCAACATCATCGAGTGCTTCAACATCGTCGTCAGTCTCGACATCATCTAGTGTCTCAACATCCTCGTCAATTTCGACCTCATCAAGCATTTCGACATCATCTTCGGTATCAACTTCATCAAGAACTTCAACATCGTCATCGGTGTCGACCTCATCTTCTGTTTCGACACCAACTACAACAAGGTATTCATTACATAGTTTCATCCCAGGCGCCTTAAAATTGTCTTTAGGTTAAGACAACAGCTTCAATATAACTCACTTTTATTGGCGTGCGTATGTTTCTATCATTTATTACATGGCTTTGGCTTGTGGCCAATGTAACGTGCACTCTGATTGGCTGAGAGCAAGTTGAGAGGAGCATAATACAGCACTAATGCCAAGGGCCGAGTACAGATAATACAAATTAATAAGAGCATAAAATGTCAAACAAGTACCGCAGCGTCTTTTTGTGCATTTTGAAACTGTGAGCCATGAGAACTATGAAGGCAGATAAACTGCCAGAAGAAGTACATTCAATCCTATACAAGTAGTTAAAAGTTTAGAAAAACTGCAAAGGTGTCGTGTTAAATTAACCACGAGATTGCGCTAGAAAGAATAAGGTAAACAAAGGAGAACACATTCAAGCTCGCGACTAAGAAATACAAATATCGTTAATAACTCACATCGGAAAGCTGTCAGTGACATGATGACAATCCACAAAAATTTTTCCTTAATATATCATGTAAAGAAATGGTTTTTGATTTAATGGCTGGTAACCTTGAGGGCACGAGGGAAGGACAATCAAAGTTTGCCGATTCGTAACTAAAGCATGAATCGCTTAGTGAAAACACCATCAGCAGATCTGTCATGGATCCTTAGCAGAACATCCAAAAACTTGTAATTTATCAGATTCCATGAATTCACAACAATTGACTAAAGATCAAAGCTCGTCACACATGGTTTGGTGTTTCTCATCGATAGATTCCCTCGCAAGTAAACGAGTTTTAAATTAGCTGCCAGCAACATCAGACGTAAGCAGCCGAGAGAATATTTGTTGGCAGCAGAATTTCTGATTTAGTTTAGATATTTAAAAGTCTTGTTAAGATCATATATGAATCTCTCAGAAGGTGAAGATATATTATCGAAAGCAAAAGCAAACACTGACAGGGCTGTGCGTTTTAAGACATTTTTATTTCATTTTATCAAGAATCCGTTCGTGTTTGGAGTACTTTGAAGCAATTTTCTTTCATTTATGTTCGCATTAACGTTACCTTAATAATCGCACCAAATTTCTATTTAAATTTGGAACACCTCTATACTAGAATACTTTTTCATGGCTGTGAGAAAATGAATGTGTGTTGTGGAAGGAACATGTAAAGAAGTGGTGTCTTCCACGGGCTTGCGTTGAAAAATTCGACCTGGGGTTTGAGTTCCGTACTGAATAGGTAGATGTGCGCATCGTCAAATGTGAATTGAAGACTGCCTCTCAAATACGTTTTTTGCCTTTTCTGTTTGTAAGTCATATGCTATACATTTTGATAACCTTGACCACTAGCTCATTACTGGAAAATCTCAAACCTCTGCCAAGCCGCGTTGACCGAGTGACAGCGAGGTCAATCTTGCAAAATGTCAAATTGAGATTTTCTTATAATGACCGGTCGAGGTTATTAAGTAGTTGATAATTAGTGGTTCCTACCAAGTTTTTAACTAGGTTGCAAGATATTTCCCTGCAACTAAAGCTACATCATAATCGTCAGTTAGCCCGCAGAAAAATAGATCGTTCATAACTTTTGATAAAATCTAAGTTGTGCTTTGTATTTATAGTTTGAAGTGAGATCCTTATCGATATCTTTATTTCAGTGTGTCTACTTCAAGTTCATCCAGTGTGTCAACTTCTTCAAGGTACTGATTCGCATAATTTGGTTTAGTCAGGGTGCATCAAGCACGTGTGTATGGTTATAGCAACATGTTTTAAAAGCTAATTGATAAACTACATTAGTCTAGACTTGAAACTATGGATGACATCGAAGGTGCGTTCTGATTGGTAACTCAAACTCTAAATATCCTCTGCCATTTACCTCTGAACACCAGAATTCGAACACATTATAATTGTAAAACTTTTTGTTTTGCTACATTATCTTATTGTTCAAGTATATTTTAGAACAACTATTCAACGCAGTGTTGGTGGTTAGCGTTGGATTTTCACTACGAATTTTCGCCGCTCGGTAAATATAACTGCCTCCACTTCGGTGAAAAGTTGTTCAATATCTGCCTTTCCAACACTTGAAATTCTTTCATTTCTCTTCAAGCGTGTCGACCTCAAGTTCTGCGTCAACTTCGTCAAGTGTGTCAACATCGTCAAGGTAGCGAAGAATACGATTGTTTTGCTTCACATTTTTATGATAAATTCGCATGATCCATCTTTTATTTATTAATCGTAAGAATACCGTTTTGACCATCGGCTTTATTTCATTTTATTGTATTTATTGAACTAGGAGATTGTGTCAAGTTCATTTGTGTTTTTATTTTTATCAATCAGTGCGTCAACTTCAAGTTCTGTGTCCACGTCATCATCGGTATCGACATCATCAAGTGTTTCAACACCAACCACGACGAGGTAAAACGATATGTAAGAGGCCTTCTGTCTAGACTTCAAAGCTGTCCAAAGAAAAAATTTCCACGGTTTATCTCTTTCGTTTGAACCACGCCTTAAAATTACTCATCGAGATGGAGGTGTTACCGAGAGCAACTCAAGCTTGATGAGTGCTCTCCAATCTTTTTGAGTGCTTCATATTTCGACGAATGTGCACCTTATCTGGGAAGCCATTGTTTCATAACATTTTCTACACAGTTGATAATGTATTCTTTTTTTATCGAATCAATGTCTTTAAGAAACAAATTAAAAGATGATTCTCCAAGGGCAAGTTCTGCTGAAACTAGGACAGTTAAATAATTACCATAAAAATGCTATGGTTTTAGTCAGATTGTCTTCAACAGAAATCAATATTCTTGGGTATTAGACCTCAAAGTCGATATGCAAATTTTTATTAATCAGCGCGTCAACTTCAAGTTCTGTGTCTACGTCATCATCAGCATCAACATCGTCAAGTGCCTCAACATCGTCGTCATTATCGACATCATCAAGTGCTTCAACGTCGTCGTCAGTATCAACATCATCAAGTGCTTCAACATCATCGTCAGTGTCAACTTCATCAAGTGTCTCTACGTCGTCGTCAATTTCGACTTCATCAAGTATTTCGACATCGTCGTCTGCATCAACTTCATCGAGCGCTTCAACATCATCATCAGTGTCGACATCATCTTCTGTTTCAACACCAACTACGACAAGGTACACACTGCATAAATTTAGTTCATTCTCGTGTAACAGAATGGATTTCAAAATCTCATATCGTAGCATTTTGAGACAATAGCGATACAACTATAACTTTGACAGGTGTGTTTTTGTTTCTGTAATATCTTCTTTCATATCAGACAAGTTCTAAGCTAGGTTGCTAGCCATTTCCCCGTAACCAAAAAATATTTAACGCTTCACCACAATTTCTGAGAAACCCGTTAGACACCCTTAAAATGGGTTTTTAAGCACTTACGTTTAAACTTTAATTGTTCCTGTTGTTATTTTAGTGTGTCTTCTTCAAGTTCATCAAGTGTGTCAACTTCTTCAAGGTATTTAGACTTTTTTTTCCAAGTTAAAGTGCACGAGACACAATTAAATCAACATGTTGTGAAGACTTTATAGATAAAATACTACAGTTGCTTTTACGACGCTTGAAATCTGGTAATTTTCTTGTAGTGTGTCGACATCAAGTTCTGCATCAACCTCATCTAGTGTGTCAACATCGTCGAGGTATTAAAGATCATGTTCTTATGTTGGATCTCCATGTTAACTGAAAATGGTTTATCGCGTCATTTATGAGTCGTAAGAAGATCAGTTGGATCATTGCCAATATTTCAAGTTCAATTTGTTCTGCAAATGATCCATACTTTCAATTACCTTTCGTAAGCGGATTGTTGAAATCGTCGCCTACGTTTTGGTTGTTTTTGGCTTTTTATATGTAAACTATGACAATATTTTGGTATGTTTTATTATCCAATTAGTGCTTCAACTTCAAGCTCAGCATCCACATCATCATCGGTGTCGACCTCGTCTATTGTTTCAACTCCGACAACAACGAGGTATGAATATTATTTTAAAACCTTATTTCCGGACTGTTACATTTATCCATTTTTTTCCTCGACTTAGTTAGGACTAAAAGTAATATAAGTACCCTTGAACTCAGCTCTCTGTAAAAGTTGCCTCGTCGGTTTTCAGTGTCTCTACTTAAAAAAATCATGTGTATTCCGATTAATCTATGCTGCCTTTTTCTCAGGGTATTCACCTCAAAGTCTGTCTCGACGTCATTTAAGCCTCAAACAGAAACAAAGGTATCAACGAGGTTTCCCTCATCGTACACTCTTTCGACAGCCTCCGGAACCGTTTTTACATTGCCTTCTAGGTGAGTTGACGACTTACTTCCGTAGTTAGACATAAATTTGATTACTTAGATTCCAAAAAGTTACCTCCTCAGGACTAAATAGGAATATAACATGTTGACAGGCCCAAAACTCACTAGAATCAATAAAAACGTCTTAGAGCAGCTTTAACTTTGGAATGATTTTGTGGGTGAGCGATAATGTCAAATAGTTTTCTCTTTATTCCCATTTTGAACACATGTTTTCAAGGATTCCCCCCTCGAACATGCAGCTTTGTATCTCTGCTGTTCATTAGCATTGGTGAGTTTTGTTTCCGTCACTCCGGTGATATTGAAATTAAAGTCGTATTCATGCAAAAGGGAAGTCTTAAGACTTTCAAGGTTGTGGTTCAGACCAAGGACATTGTTGTGGAAAATTGATGGGACTCATTCAGTTGTGCCCTTTAACAACTTGATTTTCATTTGCCTTAAACTAAGTGGTAAGAAATACCGACCGGGTATTCTTCTATTGACAGGATTATCATTAGAATTCAAACTATAATCTTAAGCTGTATTTAAAAGGAAACAGAAATAAGTCAAACAAACTACTAAGCATGTCTTGCTCACGTTTAAATTTCAGAAATATCGAGGAGGAATTATTAAATTGGCCATGCATTTTAGCTAAATCTCTTCCACAGCTAAAATATGTTAAGTGTTTGTTTAAATGGAATTTCTTTGGTTTTAGAACTACATTTCATTTAAATGCTACACGTAATGATATTAAGTTCTACTTACCCGCCAAGATACACTAAATCTGCTGGAGAGACAGAAAGTTTTCGCTCTCTCAGCTTGGATAGGTCTTTAAGTGATTAAGACTAATGGGCACCGATGAATTTCTCTCAAGGAGAAGGATTGCATCTCCTATCACTATTTGTAAATATATGCACTGTGCACTGTTTTACAGCCCAAAACAAATGTCGTAATTTGGGCGTCAGGTAACTATAAATCGTAAATTTGTTGGATCACAGGTGAAGAATGATGCCTCAAATCACAGTATTAAGTTGGCAAGCGTTACCTCTTAAAGTTTAAAACACTCCGAGCCATCTTTTTTGAAAATTTGCAAATGATAAGGTGTAGTTGTCTTTGGCCGCCATTGTCGATAGTGGCATTCCGAAATAGAATCCTGTGAGAAATGTCAATGTTTGTGGCCAAGACATCGACTCCAGGGCCAGAGAGCAACTTTCTTGAGCTGGTTTCTCTTCTTTAATCTGTGGTACGCCATCGATCCTGAAGTTGTATTGATAACTACGATGCAGTATTTTACCAACAGCTTTGCTTATCTTGTCTACATTTGATGTTAGCAAAATCTAACCTTTAAGCAACTGTTAAAAGACAAAATTGGCATCGAGCAAGAATTTTCATTATAGGTGATTTTTGACTTATTTGAACGTGAAAATAAATAGAAAAAATATATTAGCACATAAGCCACTTTGTAAAATATTGTAATAAGCCAGTTGATCATTTCTTATTCCTTTTGGCGGTCTCATCTTACAGGTGTAATTTAGCACGCTTGACACCTCTTATACTAAGAGGTGACTTTAGGTGTAAACATGTAGTACTTTTCATCTTCCGCAATGAAGTTGTGATTAGATAACTTATGGGGCTAGCACGTAGCTCTTTCAGGGGTGGTACCTTGGGTGTGCCCTTTCTTCTCCGGGTTTTGTGTTTATTCTGCTGTTATGCAACAGCCTTCAAGGACTATTTTCTCTTGAGACATTATTTCAAGTATGATTTTAATTCTGTTAGTAAGTTTGTTATGATTTTCATTTTGTCAATCTTGTTTTTGTTTTACCCGAACTTGACCGTAAGACTGAGAGATTGAAATTAGAAAGACATTTCATAAAGCGTAAACATCGCAAAGGTGTGATTCGATAGTTAAGTGTAAAGGCATGACAAAGGTTAGAGATTGACAGCTCCGTAAGTGTCACCTTTATAAGCGGTGACCCACACTTTCCCAGAGATCAGAGCTAGTCCCAGTTGTAATAACTTGAGTAATAAAAGAGAGAATAAAAGAAATAGTCAAATAAACGACGACTGTCAGGAAATTATTTCTGAAAAAACGCTGCATGGCCTTGGTATTCAATCAGGTGTTCCATCTTTTTCTTAATGAGTTCAAATTTTGCTCTTAAGTTTCCGAGTCTTCTTCTCAAGTGTTCATTTCATTTTGAAGAGTTTTAACATTTCTGTGTCCTTGTATGCCATATTTGCATAACTGAAGCGTTTTGATAGAATGACAATTTTTTTGCTCAGAAATTCAATTTATAAATACTGAGCGCTCTCTGAAGCGTCTGCTAAGTACAAAATGCTGTTTATAGAAAGTTTGATCCGAAAAATTCATCCATGTTTTTATTTTAGTGCACCTACTTCAAGTTCATCAAGTGTGTCAACTACCTCAAGGTATTTGAAATTTGTTTTGAGGTTGAGGTGCATCGAACTCAAATTTAATTGTATTAAAATGCTGTGAGGATTTTAAAGATTAACTACTTTGTTTCCCTTTCCGACATTTTTAAATTTTGTTGTAGTGTGTCGACATCAAGTTCTGCATCAACATACAAGAATATGATGGTTTTATATCAGATCTTCATGTTAAATAAAAACAGTTGATCGAGTCATTTATCAGTCGTAAGAGGACTAGTTGAATCGTTGCCTCTATTTTTATTTTATTGTAATTCGCAATTGATGCATAGTTTCATTTGCCTGTGGTTAGTGGCTTGTGGCAATTCTTGTTTTTGTTTCAATTTTCTCTCTTTTTTTATTGTATATATAAAATGTGACATATTTTGGTGTGTTTTACTCTCAATTGGTGCTTCAACTTCAAGTTCTGCGTCAACATCATCATCATCGGCGTCAACGTCATCGAGGGTTTCGACTCCAACAACAACCAGGTATGAATGATGATATATTTCAGACTATGTTTCTGGAGGTGTCCATTCTTTTGGTTCTCGACTTAATTTAGACTCTGCGAAAAAGAGATACCCAGACCCTTGTCCTTGTTCTTTAGTAAAAGTAGACTAGTCGGTTTTTAGTGTTTCTACTTCGAGTTCCGCGTCCACATTTTTGTCAGTTTCATCATGTGTATCCACTTCTTCAAGGTAATTTTTGACGATTTTTATATTATTCGAAGAATTCTAATTCGATGCAACACGTTACCTTTTTCTCAAATTTCTTTGTAAGAGAAAAATATTTATTTTAGGATAAATGTCATTCTAAACGTGTGTTGACGCAAGTTTCACTTGTTATTCATTATCTACTGCATTATTCTATATTGATGGCTCCGAAGAAGCTAGAAATTGTTTTAACGTCTATAGTTCCAAGAGAAGCAATTGAAGCTTTGTCTTTGAAAGTGAAGTTTGTTTTGAGAATTTAATTAAACCTTCAACAAAGTGATTGTTTTCTGAAAAAATGATTAATATTTCTTTTTAGTGAGTCTACATCAAGTTCTGCATCAACATCATCAAGTGCTTCAACCTCTTCTTCTGTATCGACATCATCAAGTGTTTCGACTTCGTCCTCAATATCAACTTCATCAAGTGTATCAACATCGTCGTCAGTGTCGACATCATCAAGTGCTTCAACATCGTCGAGCGCTTCAACATCGTCGTCAGCGTCTACTTCATCGAGCGTTTCAACATCGTCGTCAATTTCGACCTCATCGAGCATTTCAACATCAACTTCTTCGTCAGTATCGACATCATCAAGTGCTTCAACTTCGTCGTCAATATCAACTTCATCAAGTGCATCATCTTCTGTCTCGACGCCAACTACAACAAGGTATGCGCTTCATAGACTCACTTCAATCTCGTATGGGACTTAAATGTAATATCGTCAACTCTTTAGGTAATAGCAATGCAACTGAAACTTTGACTGGCATGCTTTTATATCTAATATATTTAGTTGACATCGTACCACTTACAAATAAGGATCCAAGTGTTTCTCAATGTAACCAAAAGAATATCATGTCTTATCAGAATTGCTGAGAAAGACCTTCTGATTATGGTTTGTTTAAGGACATATACAGTTTGATCTGAGATTTTTGTCGATGTTTTTATTTCAGTGTGTCTACTTCAAGTTCATCGAGTGTATCAACTTCCTCAAGGTATTGAAATTTTTTTACGTTAAGATCGATCAGACTCAGATGTAGCTGCAGCTACTTTATTTTAAGCTTCTAAAGATAAACTGCTTATTATAAGAACACTTCAAATCCTTTTATTTTCTTGTAGTGTGTCCACATCCAGTTCTGCGTCAACATCGTCAAGTGTCTCAACGTCGTCAAGGTGAGAAAGAACACGGTGTTTTTACGTTAGCTCATAACTGTAACTGAAAAAGTCGATTTTATCAACGATTATTTAAGAGAGGGCCAGTTGGATCATTGCCTTTATTTTCATATTATTGTGTATTTTAAATGAATCAGTGTCATTTGCCAGTTGTTGGTGAACTTTTATATTTTTTTTTTTGCATTTTGTATGTAAAATTTGACTTATATTTTGGTTTATTAAACTTTCCAATCAGTGCTTCAACCTCAAGTTACGCGACAACATCATCATCGGCGTCTACGTCATCGAGTGTGTCAACACCAACAACAACGAGGTATAAATGATATTTTGAGTCCTTGTTTCTGAACCACTTTAGGAATCCGTTTTGTATTTTCTCGACTCTACTTTGTCATCACATGGTCATAATTTAATACATATATTATTTCAAGGTTGGTGTTGATGTATTTTTAAATTTTCTTTATTATTTGAGATAATTCATTTTTGTACAACATGTTAGTTTTATCTCAAGATTATTTAAGAAGATTAAATATGATTTGTTTCAGATCATTTTTATATGAATTACCTTTTGACGGAGTTGGACAATTTTTTTAGTACAAACTTAGGTTTGTTTGTCAGTACTCACTGTAATTGGCTGACGAAGTAAACATTTCTGGCATGTAGACACAAATGTTTCCTCGCTCCTATAATTTTTTTTATGTCAATGAGTTAAAAAGTAGCAATTTAACCCATGTCATCAATTATTTTTTCCAAATGAAGTTTCTTTTGACACTTAAAATAGATTTTCACTAAAGTTACCGTTCCCCGTAAGTACGTAGCCGTTGAAAAGAAAGTATTTTTTATCAATGGACATATATACTTATTATACTCTATGTTTTTTAAAAGTGTCGGAAGTATAGATATCCAACTTAAAAGCAATTTTAAATGAATATCTCTTCAAGTAGCACAGCAACAACTCGATCAACTCAAGTTGAGGTGCTGCACATATGTATCATTTGTTTTATAATGTTACTTTTTGTCTCTTTTTAAGTGCGTCTACTTCAAGTTCGTCAAGTGTGTCAACTTCATCAAGGTATCAAGACAATATTACTTAATCACTAGATGTAATTATTAAATTAGTTTTACCCCGCGAATAAGTTCGTCAAGTTTGTCAACCTCATCAAGGTATCAAAACAGTATTACCTAATCCATTGACGTAACTTTCAAATTAGTTTTAACCCGTGAACAATCTACATAGCCGAACAAAAAACTATATAACCTGTCTTTCAAAGACAATTAAATATATTTTTTAATGTTTTATCAGTGTGTCGACATCAAGTTCAGCTTCCACCTCGTCAAGTGTCTCAACTTCGTCAAGGTAACGAAAGACGATTGTTTTGCATTACCTCTTACGCTATCTTAAATTCTTTAGTCGTCTTATTTCTAATCTGTTATGGGCATCGTTTTGAGTTCTGTTATCTTTGTCGTTTCTATTTCTCATACTGTCGACATGAAGCCATAAAATGCCAATTTGTTTTTATTGATATTATCGTTTTTAGCGCTTCAACTTCAAGTTCGGTGTCAACATCTTCCTCGGCGTCGACGTCATCGACTGTTTCAACACCAACGACGACCAGGTATCAAAAGTGTCTTAAAGAACTTCTTTATAGACCTCGTTAGAAAAAAGCTTTATCCTCATCTGTTTGTTAAACTACTTTACATGTACTTTATTGTTTCTACATCCAGTTCTGCGTCCACATCATCATCAATCTCTACATCTTCATCAGCGTCCACATCGTCAAGTGCATCAACATCGTCGTCAGCGTCGACGTCATCAAGTGCATCAACCTCATCCTCTGTGTCGACATCATCGAGTGTCTCAACATCGTCGTCAATTTCGACTTCATCGAGCATTTCAACATCGTCTTCGGCATCCACATCATCAAGCGCCTCAACATCATCATCAGTGTCGACATCATCTTCGGTCTCAACACCAACTACAACGAGGTATACACCTCAATGATTCAGATCAATCTCATATGAACATATGAGACTTGAATCTCATATTACCACATTTCGAGACAATAATAGTACAATTATTACGTTGACCGGTATGCTCGTGTTGCTATCATATGTTGGTTGACATCTTACACTTTCTAAATCAGTTTTCTTCCTGTAACCGAACCGTTATTATACTCTATCCTGAAAGACCCCTGAGTACTCCTTATTATAAGTTTTTGAAGGAGTTATTTTTAAACTTTAGTTGTGCTGTGTATACACACGTTGATCTATAACTTTATTCCATGTTTTTATTTCAGCGTTTCCACTTCAAGTTCATCAAGTGTGTCAACTTCCTCAAGGTATTTAGGAGTTGTTGTAAATTTTGTTGTATCAGACACATAAGTAGTTTTATTAACATGTCCTAAAGGTTCAACCATAAACTACTTTATTTGCCTTCTCGACAATTACAATCTGTAATTTTCTTGCAGTGTGTCCACATCAAGTTCTGCGTCAACTTCGTCAAGTGTCTCAACATCGTCTAGGTAACAAAGGACATGATGGCTTTACGTTAGATCTTTATGTCAACTGAACACAGTCAATCATGTCATTTATCAGTCGTAAGAGGAGTAGTTGAATCATTGCCTCTTTTATTTTATTGTGTTTTGCAAATGATCCTTAGTTTCATTTATCTGTGGTTAGTGGCTTGTGGCAATTCTTGCTTTTGTTTTAATTTTTCTTCTTTTGTATTATGTATGTAAAGTGTGACATATATTTTGGTGTGTTGCATTTTTTTAATCAGCGCTTCCACTTCAAGCTCTGCGTCAACATCATCATCGGCGTCAACGTCATCGAGTGTTTCGACTCCAACAACAACCAGGTATGAATGATATACTTCCGACCATGATTCTGGAGGTGTCTATTCATTTTGTTCTAGACTTTACTTAGACTCTGCAAAAAAAGATACCTGGATCCTTGTCCTTATTCTTTAGTAAAAGTATACTTGTTGGTTTTTTAGTGTTTCTACTTCAAGTTCCGCGTCCACATCATCGTCGATTTCATCATCATCTAGTGTATCCACTTCTTCTAGGTAATTTTTGACGATTTCTATATTATTCGAGGAAGTCTAATTCGATGCAACACGTTATCTTTTTCTCAAATTTCTTTGTAAGAGAAAAAATGTTTATTTTAGGATAAATATCATTTTAAACGATTTTTGAGGCAAGTTTCACTCATTATTCATTGTCTCCTGCATTATTCTATATTGCTGGCTCCAAAGAAGCTGGAAATTGTTCTAACGTCTATAGTTTAAAACAAGCAATTTAAGCTTTGTCTCTAAAAATGAAGTTTGTTTTAAGAATTTAATTAAACTTTCAATAAAGTGATTGTTTTTTTAATATAATTATTAATATTTCTTTGTAGTGTGTCTACATCAAGTTCTGCATCAACATCATCAAGTGCTTCGACCTCGTCGTCAGTGTCGACATCATCAAGTGCTTCGACGTCATCGTCAATATCAACTTCATCAAGTGTATCAACATCGTCGTCAGTGTCGACATCATCAAGTGCTTCAACATCGTCGTCATTGTCAACATCGTCGAGCGCTTCAACATCATCGTCAGTGTCTACTTCATCGAGTGTGTCAACATCGTCGTCAATTTCGACCTCATCGAGCATTTCAACATCGTCGTCTGCATCAACTTCATCCAGTGCTTCAACATCATCATCAGTGTCGACATCATCTTCTGTCTCGACGCCAAGTACAACAAGGTATGTGCTTTATAAATTCACTTCAGTCTCGTATGGGACTCTAATCCCACCCAGGGTCCCAGGTTGGGATGGTGGGATCCCGCCTTAGGTGGTGGGATCCCACCTTTCTCACCTGGGATTAAAATTTGATCCCATTTGGGATCCTACATTTAATGCGGGATTCCTGCATCCCATCCGGGATCTTAGATGGGATTTCTGCATTCCACCCGGGAGTTTAGGCGGGCGTTATGCATTCTACCTGGGATCCTACTCGGGATTTACGTATCCCACCTTGGATTCTTTATCCCAACTAAGAAAATATTGTTTTGCTGTTTTTATTCTTACAAAACATTTTTGTGAGAGTTCCAATACTTATGGATCATCCACACACTCCGCAAAGATTTGGCCTGCGGACAAGACAGAGGTGGTCACTGTTCCCTTCGAGAAAATACACCTTTTAAATGACTTCTTCAATTTGCTTTATTTGGAACTCTGATCTGAAATTGTTTTTAAAAAAAGTCTTGTAGTGAGAAGCACAAACCGAGTTTCTTTTCATAACTTAATTTCTTAAATGTTCCAATCACTGGACCTCCTAAAAAATATTAGATCTTTATGTTTTTGGTGCAAAATAGAAGTCCTTCTTTACATACAAATGAAAAGTGCAAGTCACAGTTCAATAATAACAGCTCTAAAGTTTAATTGTTGTTCTTCTCTGAGTCGTCAAAATTGTTCTATTCCTTGTAAGTCTGGTATAAAATTTTATTAGTAGTATAAAATGACAACCTTGTATCTTCTCTCCACCCCTTTCCAAGCTTGGGAACGCTTCGGACTATGCATAACCATTTGTAGACGGGAATTCCAATGCACCTTTGTAATCACATATAGTTGCTTCTGCCTCTCTTGCAAATTTTTCTCCGTTACGAGACGCACTTTACTCTGTTGGCACCACTGCTAGTTCAGTGGAAAGACCGACTGAGGAATCGAGATGGCTAGCTTTGTTGGAACGAGTTGCTGAACGCTTGTTACGGTCAAGCCTTGTTGATTTGGGTACTGGTACACTGGGATCATCTAGGTATCTCTTATACTTTCTAATGTGGTATCCTTCTTTTATAAAAATGAGGGCAAAACACAATTTGTCATCACATTCAAAATTGTGTTTGGCTTGTGTTGTTTCTCACCTTTGCCGTGAACGTTACTGAAGTGAGCTTTTATTCTTTCTTTCCTCGACAACTTTCGGCCACAAATCGTGCATTCTTGTCGATTATTTCTACCTAGAGTGAATTCACATCATTATTTATATCATCGCCAAAACATGGATCCAAGGTATCCACAATCCAAAAGCAGAGAACTGGTCAGAAAAGACAGAATAATTTTGGGCTTCTCTTGAGACTGCAATCAATCAAGCCAGCGGATTCTCTTTGCTGAAAGATCCACGTGATCATGCCCGTGATGGGAAACGAAGAAAACTCCATTTAGCGCTCATCTTTGAACGTACTCTTCATCGGTTAATCGCTCTTGCTTCAAGTTGTTTCTTTTCTCAACTGTTGTGATTAATATAACACTTCTAAAGATGGGTTTTATTATGGTTCAATGGGAAAACGAGAGCAGCGTGAGTGTTGTAAATGAAAAGAAAGTCGTTGGCGCCGTGGAATTAAAAGAAGGGACAATTAGGGACATTTCGACTGGTACAAACAACGAACCATTTATAAGGCTAGGATTTTGAAAGTTTGTGGTGAGTACAAACTGCGATATTCGTTACGTGATCAAAATCTTACCAAAGAATAGATATAACGGCCTGAATTAAGCTTACCTAACGTTCGGCGCAACTGAAACTCGAATAATTCCGAGAATCGAATTGGTCACTTGCATGAGGCAGTTTCCTAAGCTCACACTTTAAAATGATATAAATCTACCAGTAAGGTTTCAATATTACTTTAGTCATGTTTGGGAACATTCTGACCTTGCTTTGCTTTGAAAAATTCGACTAAAGAGAGTGCAGAATTTAAATCACTACCTTCTTTGTCAAATTTTTGATAACATGAATTATTGAGGTGTTGTCTTTTTTCTACTCTTTGATAGACAACAGCCAATTTTTTTGAACGTTGAGCCATATTACACTGTAAATGGCTGCATAAATAATGAAGAAAAAGTAATATGCTGAGTTGTGTTGTTATTCTTTAAAAAATGTTCGGCTAAGAAATTTGTTAATGAAACAACGTCAAACACATGCTGGTTCATTGCAAATAAATTATGAGATCTTTATCACACATAGTCTGTGTATTCATGTACTGTTTGAATCATTTATGATCAACAGCTTGGGTAAGATAATGGGATCCCATTGGAGGTGTTAGTATGTTCTCTAGCTTGTTGGAAAGTTTTGAACCCTCAGTGGATTGATGGGGTCTGTATAGCTCACCTAGAAAATGTTATCCTCTTAATTTTAAAGATAAGGTTACCAAAGGGATTGATAAGATATCCCATCTAGTACATTTCATAGATCTGTGGTCTCCAGTGTTAGACAGGACCCCTCTAAGGATTTTTCTTAAAGTGGGAAGCCATCTGAAATTTTATGCAGGGTCTAGTCTGGGATTGGCAGGATTTCAGGTGTGATCCCGCCTGGGATATGATTTCCCAGGTGGGAAACTATCTGAAATTTGAGGTAGGATCCCAAGAGGGATTGGTAGGATTCCAGGTTTTATCCCGCCTGGGATGTGCTAACCTGGGTGGGATGCTACTAGGAATTTAAGGTGGAATCCCAACCTCAATCAGTGGGACCTCTTGTGGGATCCCATGCGGAATGTTCCATAATCCCAGGTGGGATCCCACTTGGGATCACACCTGAAAAAGGCAGGATCCCAACTGGGACACACCTGGGATCTCAGGTGGGATCTGCGGGATCCCACCTTATATTTTTACCTGGGTTTGACCGGTATGCTTTTGTCTCCAACATATTTAGTTGACATCATACTATTTCTCAATCAAGCGTTTCTCCATGTAACCAAAAGAATGTTATGTCTTATCATAATTGCTGAGAAACCCCGCACACCTTCTGGTTATGGTTTATTTAAAGAATTAATATTGTTCAGATTATAGTAGATGCGACCATTTGTGACCCCGCCATACGATTTCAGGGAGAAAGGTCATAAAACGCTAACAACACTTTATCACAACACGCTTAGTGTGTCTAGTAAGCGCATATATTATTTTTAACCAATGAAAGACACTATGGTTTGTTTCGGTCAAGTTAGCACGCTTTGTCTTTTATTTGGGTAAGCGTGATCGGTGTCACGCTTAGCGAGTAATTTAACACAGTTTAACACACGAAAACGAAATATATTGCTAAATATGCTATTGGTTTATCCAAATCTTTTTCTTTAGAACTAGATTGCACTCAAATGTGATGGGTAAGCTAAAATATTGCTTAACAGATGAGTGAGAGAAATGAATTTTAACGCTGTATAATTCCAAGGATCGTTATGGTTTTCCTTATTTGTAAATTGCATTGATTGAATGGAGGTTAAAGCACGTGACCGAGCGCGTGACTAAGCGCGTGACTATCATCCGCTTGAGTTTTCAAAATACGAAACCAACATTGTTTCTCACTTTAGGTCTCGTTGACCATCCCCTTGAAATCGCCATGGTTATTAGAGGGAATATACTTTAACACAGATGTTTTGGCCGTTTACGGCTCTCTGTTATGGCAACTTTTGAGTATCTTATGTAAGTTAAGTTGTTTCCGCGATCCTGGCAAACTTGTCGTTTTTGCAATGGGTTAGATTTTGTTCTTCAACATGCTACTAAAAATAGAGAGTCACTTCTCCACATAAAAAAGTAAGAAGTGTCTGCCTTAAATTCTTGAAACTTGTTCGTGGCCAAATGTTTCAACTTTGTTTATTTTCTGATCAGAGAGTCGATAATTATAAAACACCAATACGAGCTTCAGTCAATTGACCTAGTAATATTACTGCAAGAATTAGAGTACTTTGACTGTATAATGATTACTTCAGCTTTACGTTCAGTTAACATGCAGGCGGCACACTTGGTTACACACCAGCGTGCTGTGTTTGTTCACATGCTAACTTTTGTAATCAAAGGTTAACACGCTTTGCGTGTTAGCTTCCTCACGCTTCAATGTTTAATTTTTGTTTCCCGAAGAGCTGGGTTAACTACAGCCACACTTAGCTTACGGTTAAAAAGGTTTTTGATCTAAACTTCCTCTCTTAATGTATTACTCATCAATGAAAGTAGTCCCATTAGTAGTAACGGCCTTTATTTCCATACTGAAGAAACTTTGGCAAATAGGTAAATACGTTCACATGGGATTATACTTTGTACAGGACCATATATATGATGTTGAAACTAAAACATTGTTAATAAAAATCAAAAGTAGCCATTTAAAAGAAAGTATTTTTATCAATGGACTTATATACTTATTATACTCTAAGTTTTTTAAAAGTGCCGGAAGTATAGATATCCAACTTAAAAGCAATTTTAAATGGATTTCTCTTCAAGTAGCACAGCAACAACTCGATCAACTCAAGTTGAGGTGCTGTACGTATGTATCATTTGTTTTATAATGTTACTTTTTGTCTCTTTTTAAGTGCGTCTACTTCAAGTTCGTCAAGTGTGTCAACTTCATCAAGGTATCAAAACAATATTACTTAATCACTAGATGTAATTATCATATTAGTTTTACCCCGTGAACAAGTTCGTCAAGTTTGTCAACCTCATCAAGGTATCAAAACAGTATTACCTAATCCCTTCATGTAATTTTCAAATTATTTTTAACCCGTGAACAATCTACATAGCCTTTCAAAGACCGTTAAATATATTTTTAAATGTTTTATCAGTGTGTCGACATCAAGTTCAGCTTCCACCTCGTCAAGTGTCTCAACTTCGTCAAGGTAACGAAAGACGATTGTTTTGCATTACCTCTTATGCTATCTTAAATTCTTTAGTCGTCTTATTTCTAATCTGTTATGGGCATCGTTTTGAGTTCTGTTATCTTTATCGTTTCTATTTCTCATACTGTCGACATGAAGCCATAAAATGCCAATTTGTTTTTATTGATATTATCGTTTTTAGCGCTTCAACTTCAAGTTCGGTGTCAACATCTTCCTCGGCGTCGACGTCATCGACTGTTTCAACACCAACGACGACCAGGTATCAAAAGTGTCTTAAAGAACTTCTTTATAGACCTCGTTAGAAAAAAGCTTTATCCTCATCTGTTTGTTAAACTACTTTACATGTACTTTATTGTTTCTACATCCAGTTCTGCGTCCACATCATCATCAATCTCTACATCTTCATCAGCGTCCACATCGTCAAGTGCATCAACATCGTCGTCAGCGTCGACGTCATCAAGTGCATCAACCTCATCCTCTGTGTCGACATCATCGAGTGTCTCAACATCGTCGTCAATTTCGACTTCATCGAGCATTTCAACATCGTCTTCGGCATCCACATCATCAAGCGCCTCAACATCATCATCAGTGTCGACATCATCTTCGGTCTCAACACCAACTACAACGAGGTATACACCTCAATGATTCAGATCAATCTCATATGAACATATGAGACTTGAATCTCATATTACCACATTTCGAGACAATAATAGTACAATTATTACGTTGACCGGTATGCTCGTGTTGCTATCATATGTTGGTTGACATCTTACACTTTCTAAATCAGTTTTCTTCCTGTAACCGAACCGTTATTATACTCTATCCTGAAAGACCCCTGAGTACTCCTTATTATAAGTTTTTGAAGGAGTTATTTTTAAATGCTGTGTATACACACGTTGATCTATAACTTTATTCCATGTTTTTATTTCAGCGTTTCCACTTCAAGTTCATCAAGTGTGTCAACTTCCTCAAGGTATTTAGGAGTTGTTGTAAATTTTGTTGTATCAGACACATAAGTAGTTTTATTAACATGTCCTAAAGGTTCAACCATAAACTACTTTATTTGCCTTCTCGACAATTACAATCTGTAATTTTTCTTGCAGTGTGTCCACATCAAGTTCTGCATCAACTTCGTCAAGTGTCTCAACATCGTCTAGGTAACAAGGGACATGATGGCTTTACGTTAGATCTTTATGTCAACTGAACACAGTCAATCATGTCATTTATCAGTCGTAAGAGGAGTAGTTGAATCATTGCCTCTTATATTTTATTGTGTTTTGCAAATGATCCTTAGTTTCATTTATCTGTGGTTTGTGGCTTGTGGCAATTCTTGCTTTTGTTTTAATTTTTCTTCTTTTGTATTATGTATGTAAAGTGTGACATATATTTTGGTGTGTTGCATTTTTTAATCAGCGCTTCCACTTCAAGCTCTGCGTCAACATCATCATCGGCGTCAACGTCATCGAGTGTTTCGACTCCAACAACAACCAGGTATGAATGATATACTTCCGACCATGATTCTGGAGGTGTCCATTCATTTTGTTCTAGACTTTACTTAGACTCTGCAAAAAAAGATGCCTAGATCCTTGTCCTTATTCTTCAGTAAAAGTATACTTGTTGGTTTTTAGTGTTTCTTCTTCGAGTTCCGCGTCCACATCATCGTCGATTTCATCATCATCTAGTGTATCCACTTCTTCTAGGTAATTTTTGACGATTTCTATATTATTTGAGGAAGTCTAATTCGATGCAACACGTTACCTTTTCTTTGTAAGAGAAAAAATGTTTATTTTAGGATAAATATCATTTTAAACGATTTTTGAGGCAAGTTTCACTCATTATTCATTGTCTCCTGCATTATTCTATATTGCTGGCTTCAAAGAAGCTAGAAATTGTTCTAGCGTCTATAGTTTAAAACAAGCAATTTAAGCTTTGTCTCTAAAAATGAAGTTTGTTTTAAGAATTTAATTAAACTTTCAATTAAGTGATTGTTTTTTTAATATAATGATTAATATTTCTTTTTAGTGTGTCTACATCAAGTTCTGCATCAACATCATCAAGTGCTTCGACCTCGTCGTCAGTGTCGACATCATCAAGTGCTTCGACGTCATCGTCAATATCAACTTCATCAAGTGTATCAACATCGTCGTCAGTGTCGACATCATCAAGTGCTTCAACATCGTCGTCATTGCCAACATCGTCGAGTGCTTCAACATCATCGTCAGTGTCTACTTCATCGAGTGTGTCAACATCGTCGTCAATTTCGACCTCATCGAGCATTTCAACATCGTCGTCTGCATCAACTTCATCCAGTGCTTCAACATCATCATCAGTGTCAACATCATCAAGTGCCTCCACATCATCGTCAGTGTCGACATCATCTTCTGCTTCGACACCAACTACGACGAGGTAAGGACTTAATCGTGTTTAGTTTTTAATAGACGCGACTATTTTAGTTGTCTGAGCTAAGGAAAGCCTTTATGAGAAATACTACTCCTGAAATGCTTGGTTCATTACATCCATACTGAGCTCACAATTGAAACGATTTTGATCTAAACCTTGTTTCCTAATGTAGTAGTCATTAATAATAGCAGTCCCATAAGTATTATCGGTCTTCATTTCCATACTGAATAAACTTTGTCAAATAGGTAAATACGTTCACACAGGATAAAAATCTTATTTTTTTTCTTATCTCTTTTAGAAGAACATATATATGATATTGAAACTAAACCATTGATCGAAAAAATTAAAAGTAGGCATTTCCAATAAAGGAATTTTAGCAATGGAGTTAAATACTTATTACACTCTAAGGCTTTTAAAACTTCCAGAAGTATAGACATCTAACTAAAAAGAAATTTTAAATGGATAACTCTACAGGTGGGTTAATGGAATGAAAAGAAATCGGACTTGTTGGTAGCACAGCAAGAACTCAATTAACTCGTGCTGTGGTACTGTACTTATATTGCAGTTGTTTTCTCATGGTGGTTTTTATTTCTCTTTAAAGTGTGTCTACTTCAAGTTCGTCAAGTGTGTCAACTTCATCAAGGTATCAAAACAATATTACAAGATCTTCAGATGTAATTATCAAATCAGAATTACCCCATAAACAAAACCACAAAGGCAATCAGAGAAACTATATAAGCGGCTTTTCTAACGCCATGATATATATTTATATAATATTTTATTAGTGTGTCGACATCAAGTTCAGCTTCCACCTCGTCAAGTGTCTCAACTTCGTCAAGGTAACGATAGATGATCGTTTCAGATTACCTCTTATACTTACTTTAATGTTTGATCGTTTCAGTTTGTTAAGGGCATCGTTTTCAATTCTGTTATCTTTGTTCGTTTTTATTTCTCATACCGTCGACATAAAATCATTAAAATACCAATTTCTTTTTATTTATATTATCGTTTTTAGTGCTTCAACTTCAAGTTCGGTGTCAACATCTTCCTCGGTGTCGACGTCATCGAGTGTTTCAACACCAACGACGACCAGGTATAAAAATTGTTTCAAAGAACTCCTTTATAGACCTCGTTAGAAGAAAACTTTATCCTCACTTGTTTGTTAAACAACTTTATTTGTATTTTAGTGTTTCTACATCAAGTTCTGCGTCCACATCATCATCATCAATTTCAACATCATCATCAGCGTCCACATCGTCAAGTGCCTCAACGTCGTCGTCAGCGTCGACGTCATCAAGTGCTTCAACATCGTCGTCAGTGTCGACATCATCGAGTGTCTCAACATCGTCGTCAGTCTCGACTTCATCGAGTGTCTCAACGTCGTCGTCTGCATCAACTTCATCGTCTGCATCAACTTCATCGTCTGCATCAACTTCATCGTCTGCATCAACTTCATCAAGCGCCTCAACATCATCATCATCAGTGTCGACATCATCTTCGGTCTCAACACCAACTACAACGAGGTATATACTGCAATGTTTGTTCAAGAACGTAAAATGATATGAGACTCAAATCTGATATTGCCACTTTTCGAGATAATAATGATAGAATTATTACCTTGACCGGTATGCTCTTGTTTCCATCATATGTTGGTTGATATCGTACACTTTCTAAATCAGATTTCTCCCTGTAACCAAAACGTTATTATACTCTATTGCTGAAAGACCCTTGTGAACTCCCAATCATGAGTTTTTGAAGGAATTATGTTTAGACTTTAGTTGTGCTGTGTATACTCAGTCTTATCGATAATTTTATTCCATTTTTTAATTTTAGTGTGTCAACTTCAACTTCATCAAGTGTGTCAACTTCCTCAAGGTATTTAAGAGTCGTTTTTAAATGGTGCATCAGAAAAATATGTAATTGTATTAGCATTTCTTAAAGATTCAATTAACAATTAACTACTCTATTTGGCTATAGGACAATTCACATCTGTAAATTTTCTTGTAGTGTGTCCACATCAAGTTCTGCATCAACCTCCTCAAGTGTCTCAACATCGTCAAGGTAAGAAAGAATACGATGGTTTTACATTAGATATTTATTCGAACTGAAGTAGGCGATTGTGTCAATGATTATTTGTAAGAGGACCGGTTTGATGATTGTGTTTATTGTCAGTTTATTGTGTATTGCAAATGCATCATCGTGTAAATTGCCAGTTGTTGGTGAACTTTTGTAATCACTGCCTTCATTTTCATTTTTTTTCATTTTTTATGTAAAATATGACATATATTTCGGTGTATTAAACTTTCCAATCAGTGCTTCAACCTCAAGTTCAGCGTCAACATCATCATCGGCGTCTACGTCATCGAGTGTTTCAACACCAACAACAACGAGGTATAAATGATATTTTTGAGTTCTTGTATTTTGTCGACTCTACTTTGTCATTACATCATTATTTAATACATCCACTTCTCCAAGGATACTGTTGATGTTTTTTTCCTTTTTCTGATATGATTTGAGAGAATTCATTTTAATACTGCATGTTACTTTCTTCTCAAATCTTTTTTCATAAGTATAAACATGTTTTGTTTCAGATCATTTTCATTTCAATACCTTTTGACAAAAATTGACAACTTTTTTAGTACATACTAATGTCTAAGTACCCATATAATGTTTTGGTGTCAATGACTTAAAAAAGTAGCAATTTAACCCATGTCATCATTAATTCTGTGTAAATGAAGTTTTTTTCGACACTTTACATATATTTTTAATAAAGTTACTGTTTCCTGTAATATTGTGTAATATCTCTTGATAGTGTCTCTACATCAAGTTCTGCATCAACATCATCTAGCGCTTCTACATCGTCGTCAGTGTCTACATCATCAAGTGTCTCGACATTTTCATCAATCTCGACCTCATCGAGCATTTCCACATCGTCGTCGGCATCAACATCATCCAGCGCTTCAACGTCGCCCTCAGTTTCGACTTCATCAAGTGTATCAACATCGTCATCAGCGTCGACCTCATCAAGTGTGTCAACTTCGTCGTCAATTTCGACCTCATCGAGCATTTCAACATCATCGTCGGCATCAACTTCATCAAGCGCTTCTACATCGACGTCAGTGTCGACATCATCAAGTGTCTCGACATCTTCGTCAATTTCGACCTCATCGAGCATTTCCACATCGTCGTCGGCATCAACATCATCGAGCGCTTCAACCTCATCGTCAGTGTCAACATCATCAAGTGCTTCAACTTCATCATCAGTTTCCACGTCCTCTAGCGCTTCAACATCGTCCTCATTTTCGACTTCATCGAGCATTTCGACATCATCGTCAGTGTCTACATCATCTTCTATTTCGACACCAGCTACAACGAGGTAAGGATTTAATCTTGTTTAGTTTTTAATAGAGTCGATCACTTTGTCTGACCTTTGGAATGCATTTATGAGAAATATTTCTACCTAAGAGTTGGGCTCACTACCTCCACACCTTGCTTACAACTTGAATGATTTTGATCTAAGCCTTGTTTGTAATGTAGTAGTCATTAATAAAAATAGTCCCAAAAGTATCCTCAGCCTTCATTTCCATTCTGAACAAACTTTGGCAAATATGTTCACTTTGGCTTAAAATAGACTCTTTTTCCTAGCCTTTTTACAAGAAACATATATATGGTATTGAAACTAAAACATTGATCGCAAAAATTAAAAGTAGGTATTTACATGAAAAAGTTTTATCCATGGCCTTAAATACTTATTATACTCTAAGTTTTTCAAAAGTGCCGGAAGTATAGATATCCAACTTACAAGCAATTTTAAATGAATAACTCTTTCAGTAGCTTAAAGGAGTGAAAAGAAACTGGAATTTCTGATAGCAAAGCGAAAACTCGATGAAATCAAGTTGAGGGACTGTACATATGTTGCAGTCGTTTTCTCATGTTACTTTTTATTTCTCTTTAAAGTGTGTCTACTTCAAGTTCGTCGAGTGTGTCAACTTCATCAAGGTATCAAAACCGTATTACTTCATCCCCAGATGTAATCATTAAATTAGAATTACCCCGTGAATAAAACTGCAAAGCCGATCAAAGAAACTATGAAAGCTTCCTTTCTAACGCAATTCAATTTGTAATTTTTTTTATTAGTGTGTCAACATCAAGTTCAGCTTCCACCTCGTCAAGTGTCTCAACTTCGTCAAGGTAATGAAAGACGATTGCTTTACATTACCTCCTATGCTTACTCAAATTCGTTAATCGTTTTCTTTTCTATATATATAGCATCGTTTTGAGTTCTGTTATCTTTGTTCCTTTATATTTCTCAAACTGTAGATATAAAGCCATAAGATGCCAATTTTTTTTTTTTTTTTTTTTTATATTATCGTTTTCAGTGCTTCAACTTCAAGTTCGGTGTCAACATCTTCCTCGGTGTCGACGTCATCTAGTGTTTCAACACCAACGACGACCAGGTATAAAAATTGTTTCAAAGAACTTCTCTTATGAACCTCTTTTAAAATAAACTTTATCCTCATCTGTTTGTTAAAATACTTTACTTGTATTTTAGTGTTTCTACATCCAGTTCTGCGTCCACATCATCATCAATCTCAACATCTTCATCTGTGTCCACATCGTCAAGTGCCTCAACATCTTCGTCGGTGTCAACATCATCCTCAGCATCGACGTCATCAAGTGCCTCGACGTCTTCGTCAGCATCAACATCATCAAGTGCTTCAACTTCTTCATCAGCGTCGACATCTTCAAGTGCTTCAACATCTTCGTCAGTGTCGACATCATCTAGTGCTTCAACATCATCATCAGTGTCGACTTCATCAAGTGTCTCAACATCATCGTCAATTTCGACTTCATCAAGCATTTCGACATCGTCGTCTGCATCAACTTCATCAAGCGCTTCAACTTCATCATCAGTGTCGACATCATCTTCGGTCTCAACACCAACTACAACGAGGTATATACTGCAATGTTTGAATTAAAGAACGTAGGACGATCTGGGACTCAAATCAGATATTGCCACTTTCCGAGACAATAACGATGCAATTATTAATTTGAGATTTATGCTCTTGTTTCCATCATATGTTGGATGATATTGTACACTTTCTAGACCAGATCTCTCCCTGTAATCAAAACGATATTATACTCTATTGCTGAAAGACCCTTGTGAATTCCCCGCCATTGGTTTTTGAAGGACTTATGTTTAAACTTTAGTTGCGCTTTGTATACACAGTTTTATCGATAGTTTTATTCCGTGTTTTAATTTTAGTGTGTCTACTTCAAGTTCATCAAGTGTGTCAACTTCCTCAAGGTATTTAAGAGTTGTTTTTAAATTTTGGTGCATCAGACACATATAATTTTTTTAACCATGTTCAAACGGTTAACTATTTAATTTGCCTTTTCGGCAGCTTAACTCCGATAATTTTCTTGCAGTGTGTCCACATCAAGTTCAGCATCAACCTCTTCAAGTGTCTCAACATCGTCAAGGTAAAGAAAATAATGGTTTTATGTTAGATCTTTATGCTAACTGAAAACAGTCAATCGTGTCATTTATCAGTCGTTAGAGGACCAGTTTAATCATTGCCTCTTTTTTATTTTGTGTTTCGCAAATGATCCTTAGTTATTTGTCTGTGGTTAGTGGCTTGTTGCAATTCTTGCTTTTGTTTCAACTTTTCCTGTTTGTATTGTGTAAATGTGACCTATATTCTGGTGTTTTATTTTGTAATCAGCGCTTCCACTTCAAGTTCAGCGTCAACATCATCATCGTCATCCAGTGTTTCAACTCCAACAACAACAAGGTATGAATGATATACTTCAGACCATGTTTCTGAGGGTGTCCAATTTTTTTGTTCTCGACTTGACTTGGACTGAAAAAGGAAAAAAGATACATAGACTCTTCTCCTTATTCTTTTGTGAAAGTAGACTTGTTGGGTTTTAGTGTATCTACTTTGAGTTCCACGTCCACATCATTGTCGCTATCATCATTATCTAGTGTATCAACTTCCTCAAGGTGATTTTTCTGTTGATTTATTCATCATTCAAGAGTCTAATTCAATGCAACATGTCACCTTTTTCCTTGTCAAAGAAAAAATGTTTATTTTGAGATGTGCCATTTAAACGTGTGTTGACACAAGTTTCACTCTTGTCCACTGCACTATTCTATCTGGCTTAAAAGAAGGTAGAAATTGTTTTAACATTTATAGTTCGAAAAGAAGCAATTTAAACTTTGTCTCTGGAAAGTGAAGTTTGTGTTGATTATGAAACTGATGTTTCAAGAAAGTGACTGTTTTCTAAAATAATGATTAACATCTCTTTGTAGTGTCTCTACATCAAGTTCTGTAACAACATCATCAAGTGCTTCAACGTCGTCGTCAGTATCGACATCGTCAAGTGTATCAACATCGTCGTCAGTATCGACATCATCAAGTGCTTCAACATCATCGTCGGCATCAACTTCATCTAGCACTTCAACATCATCATCAGTGTCGACATCATCTTCTGTCTCAACACCAACTACAACGAGGTATGCGCTTCATAGACTCACCTCAATCTCGTATGGGACTCAAATCTAATATTGTCGTCTTTTTAGGTTGTAGCAATACAATTGAAACTTTGACCGGTATGCTTTTGTTTCTATCATATTTAGTTGACACCATACCATCTCTGAATCAGGATGCAAGCGTTTCTAAATGCAACCAAAAGAATATTATGTCTTATCATAATTGCTAAGGAAACCCTAAGACTTTCTGATGTATGATTTTAAATATGTTTCCATTTTAGTGTGTCTACTTCAAGTTCATCAAGTGTGTCAACTTCCTCAAGGTATTTAAGAGTTGTTTTTAAATTTTGGTGCATCACACACGTAATTTTTTAAAACAGGTTCAAAAGGTTTAATGATTAATTACTTTATTTGCCTATTCGACAATTAAAATCTGTTAATTTTGGTGCGTTCGACACGTGTAATTGTATTAACTTGCCTTATAGATTCAATTAACGATTAATTACTTTATTTGCCTATTCAGCGATTAAAATCTGTCAATTTACTTGTAGTGTGTCCACATCAAGTTCTGCATCAACCTCGTCAAGCGTCCCAACATCTTCAAGGTAAGAAAGAACATGGTGGTTTTACGTGAGATCTTTATTATAACTGAAATAGTCAACCGTGTCAATGATTATTTGTAAGAGGACCGGTTGGATGATTGCGTTTATTTTCATTTTATTGTGTATTGCAAATGATCATAGTGTCATCTGGCAGATGTTGGTGAACTGTTGTAATCATTGCCTTTGTATTAATATTTTTTTCATTTTGTGTGTAAAATATGACATATATTTGGTGTATTAAACTTTCAAATCAGTGCTTCAACCTCAAGTTCAGCGTCAACATCATCATCGGCGTCCACGTCATCGAGTGTTTCAACACCAACAACAACGAGGTATAAAAGATATTTTTCAGTCCTTGTTTCTGGACCACTCTAGGAACTCCTTTTGTATTTTCGCGAGTCTGCTAAGTCATTATATTATCATAACTTAATGCATCCACTTCTCCAAGGTTACTGTTGATGATATTTTCCCTTTTCTGATATGACTTGAGGGAATTCGTTTTAATACTGCGTGTTACTTTCTTCTTAAATCTTTTATTATAAGAATAAACATGTTTTGTTTCAGGTCATTTTGATTTCAATACCTGTTTACAAAAATTGACAACTTTTTTAGTACATACTCAAGTTGGTATGTCACCAGTGGCTGGCGAAGTGAACTTTTCTGGTTTGTAGACAAAAATGTTTAAGTACCCCTATGTTGTTTTGATGTCAGTTTGACTTAAAAAGCAGCAATCTAACCCATGTCATCATTTATTCTGTGTAAATGAAGTTTGTTTTGACTTTACATAAATTTTCAATAAAGTTACTGTTTCCTGTAATATTATGTAGTGTCTCTACATCAAGTTCTGCATCGACATCATCATCTAGTGCTTCTACATCGTCGTCAGTGTCGACATCATCAAGTGTCTCGACATCTTCGTCAATTTCGACCTCATCGAGCATTTCCACGTCGTCTTCGGCATCAACATCATCGAGCGCTTCAACCTCGTCGTCAGTGTCAACATCATCAAGTGTATCAACATCGTCATCAGCGTCGACATCATCAAGTGCTTCTACATCATCGTCAGTGTCGACTTCATCAAGTGTGTCAACCTCATCGTCAATCTCGACTTCATCGAGTATTTCGACATCATCATCAGCATCAACTTCATCAAGCGCCTCAACATCATCGTCAGTGTCGACATCATCTTCTGTTTCGACACCAACTACGACGAGGTAAGGACTTAATTTTGTTCAGTTTTTAATAGATTTGACCACTTCAGTTGTCTGAGCCAAGGAAAACGTTCATGAGAAATGTTACATCGAAAAGCTGGGTTCACTTTATCCATACTGAGCTCACAACAGAAACGATTTTGATCTAATCCTTGTTTCCTAAAGTAGTAGTCGTAAATAATAGTAGTCCCATAAGTATCATCGGTCTTCATTTCCATACTGAATAAACTTTGTCAAATAAGTAAATACGTTCACATGGTGTTAAAATGGATATTTTTTTCTTGGCCTTTTTACTATAACATTATACTCTTAAGACTTTTTAAAGTGCATAGCACAGTAAAAACTCTATTAACTCATGTTGTGGTACTTTACATATGTTGTAGTTGTTTTCATATGTTACTTTTTATTCCTCTTTAAAGTGTGTCTACTTCAAGTTCGTCAAGTGTGTCAACTTCATCAAGGTATCAAAATACTTTTACCCGACCCCCATATGTAATTATCAAATCAGAATTACTCCGTGAACAAAACTTCAAAGGCAATCAGAGAAACTCTAAAAGCTGCCTTTCTAACGCCATATTATTATTCATTTTTTACAAGTGTGTCGACATCAAGTTCAGCTTCCACCTCCTCAAGTGTCTCAACTTCGTCAAGGTAACGAAAGACGATTGTTTTACATTACCTCTTATGCTTACTTAAAATGTTAAATTGTTTTACTTTTAGTTTGTAAAGAGCATCGTTTTGAGTACTGTAAACCTTTTTCCGTTTTATTTCCTATACCGTCGACATAAAACCGTTAAAATGCCAATTTATTTTAATTAAATTTATCGTTTTCAGCGCTTCAACCTCAAGTTCGGTGTCAACATCTTCCTCGGCGTCGACGTCGTCGAGTGTTTCAACACCAACGACGACCAGGTATAAAAATTGTCTTAAAGAACTTTCAGTATTGACTTTGTTAGAAAACAACTTTATCCTCATCTGTTTGTTACACTACTTTATTTGTGTTGTAGTGTTTCTACATCAAGTTCTGCATCCACATCATCATCAATCTCAACATCTTCATCAGCGTCTACATCATCGAGTGCTTCAACGTCGTCATCAGCCTCGACATCATCCAGTGTCTCAACATTGTCCTCAGTGTCGACATCATCGAGTGTTTCAACATCATCGTCAATTTCGACCTCATCCAGTATTTCAACATCGTCCTCGGCATCAACATCATCAAGCGCCTCGACATCATCAAGCGCCTCGACATCATCGTCAGTCTCAACGTCACCGGTTTCGTCACCAACTAAACCACGGTACTAATTTATGGGAGTCGTGAAAAAGTTATATCGGCCCTCATTTTTACTAAGAGTAAACATGAATAACCCCATGATTGCCACATATTTTGTTTAAAAATATTGAGACTTAAGCTGTGCTTAACACCCTGTATCCATTTTCTGATATGAATCTTTATTTCCCTTCTCAGAGTTTCCACTAGTTCGAGTTTGTCAATTGCGTCAACTTCTTCAACCTTGACATCTACCTTAATGAACTTGCTTTTAGACTTCGTTGGTCTCACTAACAATTTATATATTGTACTCCTTTAAGGACATGACAGTTCTTAAAAAGGATTGGTATTCCGATTAATCTATGCTGCTTTCTTCTTAGTGTATCCACCTCAAAGGTTGTGTCGACCCCATTTAAACCTCAGACAGAAACAAAGGTATCAACGAGGTTTCCCTCATTGTACACTCCTTCGAAATCCTCCGAAGAAGTTTTTTCATTACGATCTAGGTGAGTTGAAAGATTTCCTTCCGTACCTACACATACATTTTATTACTTGAATTCGTATTTACAGCTTTTCGGGCACATCATAGAAAGAGGTGTATTCCAATCCGCATGTACCAGATCAGAAAGAAAACTGTTAAAAGAAAACCGTTAATAGTCTCTCATTTTTAATTTTTTGGCCTTGATATTACCCTTCATGGAGGAAGAATTTTGTTGTTCTAAAAAGATGTCTCAACTCAATCCACATTGCCTGGAGGGCTTCATTAAAGGTCTTCTCTTAAAAACAAAGTTAAGAGATTCATCAATGAACATTCTTACGCGCCTCCTTTCGCCAGTGGTTTTTGATCATATTCGAATATGTAGCTAGGTATCGTTGCTGGACATTTCTCTTAATTAGCATTAAAGATTTTTGTTTCTGTTATTCTGATTGTAACCAAACTATTATTATAGTCTATCATAAAGCTTGAAAGACCCCTAGGAACCCCCCTGGATGGGTTTTTAAAGGACTTATGTCTAAAGTTGAGTTGTGTGTATACATTCTGAGCCATAATCTTATTCCATGTTTTCATTTTAGTGTGTCTACTTCAAGTTCGTCGAGTGTATCAACCTCCTCAAGGTATTTAGAAGTTGTGTTTAAGTTAAGGCGCATTAGACACAGATTCAATTGTGGTAACATCTTTAAAATATGTAACGATTAACTACCTTTCTTAGCTTTCCAACACATAAATTTTGTTAATTTTCTTGTAGTGTGTCGACATCGAGTTCTGCATCAACTTCGTCAAGTGTCTCAACATCGTCAAGGTAGGAAAGAACATGATGGTTTCACGTGAGATCGTTATGTTAACTGAAAACAATCGATCGTGTCATTTATCATGGTCAGAGAACCAGTTGGATCATTTGCTTTAATTTAATGTTATTGCGTTTCGCAAATGATCCATAGTTTTATTAGCCAATAGTAAGTAGACTGCTGCAGTTGTTGCCTTTTTTTAAATTAGTTTTTGCACCTTATATGTAAAATATTACTTATATCTTGTTGTGTTTTACTCCAACAACAACAAGGTATAAATGATATATTTGAGACCATATATCTAGAGGTGAATATGTTTTTGTTCTCGACTTATCTTAGACATTGAAAAATAGATACATAGATTGTAAGAGTAAATATGTTTTTTGGAGATCATCGTCATTTTTTATATCTCTTTATTATTTACTGAAGTTAAATACTCAGTACTCATTGATGTCTACTGCATTATTCTGGATTTTTGTTTTCGAAGAATCTATAAATATCATAACGTCTATAGTTAAGAAGTAGAAGTAGTTAAAGCCTTGACATCTTTTTCCGTTGACAGGAAGGTTTTTTTAAATTAAACTTTAAAGAAAGAGACTGTTTTCTTAAAGAATGATTGAAATCTCTTTGTAGTGTCTCTACATCAAGTTCTGCATCAACATCATCAAGCACTTCAACATCGTCGTCAGCATCAACATCATCAAGTGCTTCGACATCTTCATCAATATCGACATCATCGAGCGCTTCAACATCTTCCTCATTGTCGACATCATCAAGTGCTTCGACATCATCGTCAGTATCGACTTCATCAAGCATTTCAACGTCGTCGTCAATTTCCACTTCATCGAGCATTTCGACATCGTCATCGGCTTCAACTTCATCGAGCGCTTCAACTTCATCATCAGTGTCGACATCATCTTCTGTGTCGACACCAACTACAACGAGGTATGCGCTACATGCATTCAGTTCAATTTCGTATGAGACTCGCACTAATATTTTCACATTTCGAGGTAGTAGCAATACAATTGAAACTTTGACCTGTATGCTTATGTTTCTAGTATATCTTAAATGATATCATACAACTTCTAGGCAGGTTGAAAGCTTTTTTCACTGTAAACAAAAGAATATTGTGTCTTATCATAATTGCTGAAAAACCCCTCAGATCTCCTGATCGTGGGTTGTTGAAAGACGTACAAGGTTTGATTGAGATTTTAATCCATGATTTTATTTCAGTGTCTCTACCTCAAGTTCATCTCGTGTGTCAACTTCTTCAAGGTATTTACATTTTGTTTTCGAAGTCAAGGTGTATCAGACGCAGATTGTATCAGATTGATTTAGAGATTTTTAAGATAGACTATTTCTACTTACCTTTTCGACCCTTGAAATCTTTTCATTTCCTCGTAGTGTGTCGACATCAAGTTCTGCGTCGACTTCGTCAAGCGTCTCAACATCGTCAAGGTAAGAAGAACAGAAAGAGGTTTAGATCTTTATTTTAGCAAAGAATAATCCATTGCGTCAATCATTATTTGTATGAGGACCCATTGGATCATTGCCTTTATTTTTACGATATTGGGTAATGTTTATGATCCATAGTATCACTTCTCAGTGGTTAATGGACTGTTGTAATATATTTTGGCGAATTTTACTTTCCAATCAGTGCTTCAACTTCAAGTTCTGCGTCCACATCATCTTCGGCGTCTACATCATCGAGTGTTTCAACACCAACAACAACGAGGTATAAATTATATTTTTGCTTCCTGACGTCATCGTTACCCTGTACATCCGCTTCTTAGAGGGTTACTATTAATGTTTTGATACAACCTTCTACTTTTTTCATATTTGTTTTTAAGGATAAACCTTTTTTTGTTTCAAATCACTTTTCTTTTAATACCTGTTGACGAAGTCAACTTTTTTTTTTTATCCTAAGTTGGTGAGTTAGTCCTTTCTCTAATTTTGTGCCTAAGTGTCCATTTCTGGCCTATAGACGTTAATGTTCAGATACCTATATAATGTTTTGATGTCTTCGAGATGAAATGTGGGAGTTTAACCTATTTGTTCTTTTAATCTTTTCAAGTGAAGACTTGCTTGAAAGTTACTGTTTCCTTTAATATTTTCTCGTGGCTTTTTTGAAGTGCTTCTACATCAAGTTCTGTGTCAACATCATCAAGCATTTCAACGTCATCGTCAGCATCAACGTCATCAAGTGCTTCTACATCGTCGTCAGCGTCGACATCATCAAGTATTTCTACATCGTCATCAGCGTCGACATCATCAAGTGCTTCCACATCGTCATCACTGTCGACATCATCTAGTGCTTCAACATCATCATCAGTGTCGACTTCATCAAGCGTGTCCACATCGTCGTCAATTTCGACATCATCAAGCATTTCGACATCGTCGTCTGCATCGACTTCATCAAGCGCTTCAACTTCATCATCAGTGTCGACATCATCTTCGGTCTCAACACCAACTACAACGAGGTATACGCCACTATGATTTAGTTAAATCTCACAGGACGATATGATACTCAAATCTCATATCGCCACATTTCGAGACAATAGCAATACAATTATTACCATAAACAGCTTGCTCTTGTTTCTATGATATGTTGGTTAATATTTTACACTTTCTAAATCAGTTTTTACCTGTAACCAAACTATTATTATAGTCTATCATAACTCTTGAAAGACCCCTAGGAACCCCCCCTGGATGGGTTTTTAAAGGACTTATGTCTAAAGTTGAGTTGTTTGTGTACATTCTGAGCCATAATCTTATTCCATGTTTTTCTTTTTAGTGTGTCTACTTCAAGTTCGTCGAGTGTATCAACTTCCTCAAGGTATTTAGAAGTTGTGTTTAAGTTAAAGCGCATCAAACACAGATTTAATTGTAGTAACATCTTTAAAATATGTTACGATTAACTACCTTTCTTAAATTTACAACACTTCAATTTTGTTAATTTTCTTGTAGTGTGTCGACATCGAGTTCTGCATCAACTTCGTCAAGTGTCTCGACATCGTCAAGGTAGGAAAAACCATGATGGTTTCACGTGAGATCGTTATGTTAACTGCAAATAGTCGATCGTATCATTTATCGATCCATAGTTTGATTAGTGTATAGTTAGTGGACTGCTGTAGATGTTGTCCTTGTTTTAATTTGTTTTTGCACCTTATATGTAAAATATTACCTACATTTTGTTGTGTTTTACTTTCTAATCAGTGCTTCAACTTCAAGTTCTGCGTCAACATCATCCTCGGCGTCGACTTCATCGAGTGTTTCAACTCCAACTACAACAAGGTATAAATGATATATTTGAGACAATATTTCCGGAGGTGAATATGTTTTTGTTCTCAACTTATCTTAGACATTGAAAAATAGATACATAGATTATATCCCTTAACCTCTTGTAAAAGTAAACTTGTTGGTTTTTAGTGTATCTACTTCAAGTTCCGCGTCCACATCATCGTCGATTTCGTCATCATCTAGTGCATCTACTTCTTCAAGGTGATTGTTAATGTTTTTTATATTGTTATACAGAGTCTAATTTAATGCAACATGTCAACTTTTTTCTTTACAACTTCTTTGTAAGAGTAAATATGATTTTTTTGAGATCAACGTCACTTAATATCTCTGTATTATTTACTGAAGTTAAATACTCGGTACTCATTGATGTCTACTGCATTATTCTGGATTTTTGGTTTCCAAGAATCTATAAATTTTCTTTACGTTTATAGTTAAGAAGTAGAAGTAGTTAAAGCCTTGACATCTTTTTTTCTTTGACAGTATGGTTTTTTGAATTAAACTTTTAAGAAAGAGACTTTTCTTAAAGAATGATTAAAATCTCTTTGTAGTGTCTCTACATCAAGTTCTGCATCAACATCATCAAGCGCTTCAACATCGTCGTCGGTATCAACATCATCAAGTGCTTCGACATCTTCATCAATATCGACATCATCGAGCGCTTCAACATCTTCCTCATTGTCGACATCATCAAGTGCTTCGACATCATCGTCAGTATCGACTTCATCAAGCATTTCAACGTCGTCGTCAATTTCCACTTCATCGAGCATTTCGACATCGTCATCGGCTTCAACTTCATCGAGCGCTTCAACTTCATCATCAGTGTCGACATCATCTTCTGTGTCGACACCAACTACAACGAGGTATGCGCTACATGCATTCAGTTCAATCTCGTATGAGACTCGCACTAATATTTTCACATTTCGAGGTAGTAGCAATACAATTGAAACTTTGACCGGTATGCTTTTGTTTCTTGTATATCTTAGATGATACCATATAACTTCTAGGCAGGTTGAAAGCTTTTTTCACTGTAAACAAAAGAACATTATGCCTCATCATAATTGTTGAGAAACCCCTCAGATCTTCTGATCATGGTTTGTTGAAAGACGTACAAGGTTTGATTGAGATTTTAATCCATGATTTTATTTCAGTGTCTCCACTTCAAGTTCATCAAGTGTGTCAACTTCTTCTAGGTATTTTTATTTTGTTTACAAAGTCAAGGAGTATCAGACACAGATTGTATCAGATTGATTTAGAGATTTTTAAGATAGACTATTTCTACTTACCTTTTCGACCCTTGAAATCTTTTCATTTCCTCGTAGTGTGTCGACATCAAGTTCTGCGTCGACTTCGTCAAGCGTCTCAACATCGTCAAGGTAAGAAGAACAGAAAGAGGTTTAGATCTTTATTTTAGCAAAGAATAATCCATTGCGTCAATCATTATTTGTATGAGGACCCATTGGATCATTGCCTTTATTTTTACGATATTGGGTAATGTTTATGATCCATAGTATCACTTCTCAGTGGTTAATGGACTGTTGTAATATATTTTGGCGAATTTTACTTTCCAATCAGTGCTTCAACTTCAAGTTCTGCGTCCACATCATCTTCGGCGTCTACATCATCGAGTGTTTCAACACCAACAACAACGAGGTATAAATTATATTTTTGCTTCCTGACGTCATCGTTACCCTGTACATCCGCTTCTTAGAGGGTTACTATTAATGTTTTGATACAACCTTCTACTTTTTTCATATTTGTTTTTAAGGATAAACCTTTTTTTGTTTCAAATCACTTTTCTTTTAATACCTGTTGACGAAGTCAACTTTTTTTTTTTATCCTAAGTTGGTGAGTTAGTCCTTTCTCTAATTTTGTGCCTAAGTGTCCATTTCTGGCCTATAGACGTTAATGTTCAGATACCTATATAATGTTTTGATGTCTTCGAGATGAAATGTGGGAGTTTAACCTATTTGTTCTTTTAATCTTTTCAAGTGAAGACTTGCTTGAAAGTTACTGTTTCCTTTAATATTTTCTCGTGGCTTTTTTGAAGTGCTTCTACATCAAGTTCTGTGTCAACATCATCAAGCATTTCAACGTCATCGTCAGCATCAACGTCATCAAGTGCTTCTACATCGTCGTCAGCGTCGACATCATCAAGTGTTTCTACATCGTCATCAGCGTCGACATCATCAAGTGTCTCTTCATCGTCATCAGCGTCGACATCATCTAGTGCTTCAACATCATCATCAGTGTCGACTTCATCAAGCGTGTCCACATCGTCGTCAATTTCGACATCATCAAGCATTTCGACATCGTCGTCTGCATCGACTTCATCAAGCGCTTCAACATCATCAGTGTCGACATCATCTTCGGTCTCAACACCAACTACAACGAGGTATACACCATCATGATTTAGTTAAATCTCACAGGACGATATGATACTCAAATCTCATATCGCCACATTTCGAGACAATAGCAATACAATTATTACCATAAACAGCTTGCTCTTGTTTCTATGATATGTTGGTTAATATTTTACACTTTCTAAATCAGTTTTTACCTGTAACCAAACTATTATTATAGTCTATCATAACTCTTGAAAGATCCCTAGGAACCCCCCTGGATGGGTTTTTAAAGGACTTATGTCTAAAGTTGAGTTGTTTGTGTACATTCTGAGCCATAATCTTATTCCATGTTTTTCTTTTTAGTGTGTCTACTTCAAGTTCGTCGAGTGTATCAACTTCCTCAAGGTATTTAGAAGTTGTGTTTAAGTTAAAGCGCATCAAACACAGATTTAATTGTAGTAGCATCTTTAAAATATGTTACGATTAACTACCTTTCTTAAATTTACAACACTTCAATTTTGTTAATTTTCTTGTAGTGTGTCGACATCGAGTTCTGCATCAACTTCGTCAAGTGTCTCGACATCGTCAAGGTAGGAAAAACCATGATGGTTTCACGTGAGATCGTTATGTTAACTGCAAATAGTCGATCGTATCATTTATCGATCCATAGTTTGATTAGTGTATAGTTAGTGGACTGCTGTAGATGTTGTCCTTGTTTTAATTTGTTTTTGCACCTTATATGTAAAATATTACCTACATTTTGTTGTGTTTTACTTTCTAATCAGTGCTTCAACTTCAAGTTCTGCGTCAACATCATCCTCGGCGTCGACTTCATCGAGTGTTTCAACTCCAACTACAACAAGGTATAAATGATATATTTGAGACAATATTTCCGGAGGTGAATATGTTTTTGTTCTCAACTTATCTTAGACATTGAAAAATAGATACATAGATTATATCCCTTAACCTCTTGTAAAAGTAAACTTGTTGGTTTTTAGTGTATCTACTTCAAGTTCCGCGTCCACATCATCGTCGATTTCGTCATCATCTAGTGCATCTACTTCTTCAAGGTGATTGTTGATGTTTTTTATATTGTTATACAGAGTCTAATTTAATGCAACATGTCAACTTTTTTCTTTTCAACTTCTTTGTAAGAGTAAATATGATTTTTTTGAGATCAACGTCACTTTTAATATCTCTGTATTATTTACTGAAGTTAAATACTCGGTACTCATTGATGTCTACTGCATTATTCTGGATCTTTGGTTTCCAAGAATCTATAAATTTTCTTTACGTTTATAGTTAAGAAGTAGAAGTAGTTAAAGCCTAAAACCTTTTTTCTTTGACAGTATGGTTTTTTAAATTAAACTTTTAAGAAAGAGACTTTTCTTAAAGAATGATTAAAATCTCTTTATAGTATCTCTACATCAAGTTCTGCATCAACATCATCAAGCGCTTCAACATCGTCGTCGGTATCAACATCATCAAGTGCTTCGACATCTTCGTCAATATCGACATCATCGAGCGCTTCAACATCTTCCTCATTGTCGACATCATCAAGTGCTTCGACATCATCGTCAGTATCGACTTCATCAAGCATTTCAACGTCGTCGTCAATTTCCACTTCATCGAGCATTTCGACATCGTCATCGGCTTCAACTTCATCGAGCGCTTCAACTTCATCATCAGTGTCGACATCATCTTCTGTGTCGACACCAACTACAACGAGGTATGCGCTGCGTGGATTCAGTTCAATCTCGTATGAGACTCGCACTAATATTTTCACATTTCGAGGTAGTAGCAATACAATTGAAACTTTGACCGGTGTGCTTTTGTTTCTAGTATATCTTAAATGATACCATACAACTTCTAGGCAGGTTGAAAGCTTTTTTCACTGTAACCAAAATGATCATGGTTTGTTGAAAGACGTACAAGGTTTGATTGAAATTTTAATCCGTGATTTTACTTCAGTGTTTCTACTTCAAGTTCATCAAGTGTGTCAACTTCTTCAAGGTATTTAAATTTTTTTTCAAAGTTGAAATGCATCAGACACAGATTGCATCAGGTTCATTTAAAGATTTTAAAGATAGACTATTTCTACTAGCCTTTTCAACACTTGGAATCTTTTCATCTCCCCGTAGTGTGTCGACATCAAGTTCTGCGTCAACTTCGTCAAGTGTCTCAACATCGTCGAGGTAAGAAGAACAGAAAAAACTTTAGATCTTTATTTTAATTGAAAATAGTCCATTGTGTCAATATTAGTATGAGGACCCATTAGACCATTGCCTTTATATATTTTGGTGAATTTTACTTTCCAATCAGTGCTTCATCTTCAAGTTCGGCGTCAACATCATCTTCGGCGTCTACGTCATCGAGTGTTTCAACACCAACAACAACGAGGTATAAATTATACTTTTGCTTCCTTACGTTATCATTACCTTGTACATCCGCTTCTTACAGGTTACTATTAATATTTTGAAGCAACCTTTTACCTTTTTTCATTTAGTTTTTAAGAATAAACCTTTTTTGTTTCAAATCACTTTTATTTTAATATCTGTGGACGAAGTCAACCTTTTTTTTTATTCGTCATTCTTCATTCTAATTTTGTGTCAAAGTGTCTATTTCTGGCCTGTAGACGTTAATGTTCAGATATCTATATAATGTTTTTATGTCTAGAGATAAAATGTAGGAGTTTAACCTATTTGTTCTTTTAATCTTTTCAAGTGAAGCTTTGTTTGAAAGTTACTGTTCCCTTTAATATTTTCTAATGGCTTTTTTGAAGTGCTTCTACATCAAGTTCTGTGTCAACATCATCAAGCGTTTCAACGTCATCGTCAGCATCGACATCATCAAGTGCTTCTACATCGTCGTCAGCGTCGACATCATCAAGTGTCTCAACATCGTCATCAGCGTCGACATCATCAAGTGCTTCCACATCATCATCAGTGTCGACCTCCTCAAGTGTGTCAACATCGTCGTCAATTTCGACTTCATCGAGCATTTCGACATCATCATCGGCATCGACTTCATCGAGCGCTTCAACATCATCGTCAGTGTCGACATCCTCCTCTGTTTCGACACCAACTACGACGAGGTAAGGACTTAATCTTCTTTAGTTTTCAATAATATGATATTATGATATTGAAACTAAAGTTTTGATCGAAAAAATCTAAGTTAGGCATTTAGAATTTAAAACAATTTCATCGATGTGAATAAAATAATTTATATACTTTAAACTTTTTGAAAGTTCTTGAAGTGTAGATATAGTGCGTCCTCTTCTTCGGCAACAACATCATCAAGCACTTCAACATCGTTGTCGATGTCCACATCATCTAGCGTTTCAACATCGTCATCAATTTCGACCTCATTGAGATTCTCGACATCGTCGTCGGCATCAACATCCTCAAGCGCTTCAATATCATAGTCAGTGTCGACATCTTCTGTTTCGCAAGATTTCATTTTATCACAAGTCGAGACCGTACGCTTACACTTTCAAGCAGTAAGCCGAGGGTCTCGTTATTCCTGCAATTGAAAAACTCTTATGCGCCATTCTAATGATTGTAAAACTCCGTACAAAGCAAGTTTTGTTTGTAAAAATTTTGATAAGTTTTCAATGAATTAAGCGTTTACAGTTTACACAAGGAACTGATCGATTTTCTTTTTCAGTGTGTCCACGTCAAGTTCATCAAGTGTGTCAACTTCCTCAAGGTATTGAAGATTGGTCAAAAATTTTCATGTTTATGAAAAACAGATATTATTATATATTTTTCAAAGCCGTATTTATCTGCCTTTCTGACGCCTGAGATCGTTTAATTCTCCTCTAGTGTATCGACTTCAAGTTCTGCATCAACCTCATCAAGTGTGTCAACCTCTTCAAGGTATCAGCAAATTATCCATCATTCTATGGAGGACTATTTTGATCACTGTTACTTTATTCTTTTTTTCGTAATTTATAGTAGATGGTATAAATTTATCGGTGAACGTTGTATTTTTTAATCAGCGCTTCAACTTCAAGTTCTGCGTCAACATCATCATCGGCGTCGACGTCATCGAGTGTTTCGACACCAACAACGACAAGGTATGAATGACATTTTAGTGACCTTTCTCCTGGATCTCTTAAGGTGTTTATTTTATTTTGATTATTCTTTTTACGGCTTGACATAATCATCACGAAGGGGATATATAGACTTTTGTCTCAAACTTTGTATAAAAGTAGCCTTTCTTCACTCCGTCGTGAGTTTCAACATCTTTGTCTTGTTCTTTGTTTGCTAATTCTATGATGAAGTTAAGTTGCCCTTCAGATATATAGTTTCATGAAGCGATAGTTTACTTTTTATTCAAAAGATTTTTAAATAACCAGTCATCATTTTGAATAAATTGTGACACATTTTAGTGTCTCTACATCAAGTTCTGCTTCGACGTCTTCGAGTGTTTCAACTTCGTCGTCGGTGTCAACTTCCAGCTCTGCTTCGACATCGAGCTCAGTGTCGACGTCCAGCTCTGCTTCGACATCCAGCTCAGCTTCGACATCCAGCTCTGCCTCGACATCAAGTTCAGCATCCACATCTAGCTCTGTCTCGACATCGAGCTCAGTGTCGACGTCCAGCTCTGCTTCGACATCCAGCTCAGCTTCGACATCCAGCTCTGCCTCGACATCAAGTTCAGCATCCACATCTAGCTCTGTCTCGACATCAAGTTCTTTGTTGACTTCATCATCAATCTCAAGTTCATCGAGCCTGTCGACCTCGTCAAGGTATGATGATTTCCAAAGCTTGTTTTGGGTGCCCTAGAGTATTATTTTGTTATCGGGAACGAACTTTGTGGTTTAAAATGAACCCGACTGCGATCTTGCTTAAAGGGGAGTAACATATTGAACCTTCACTTTCTCTTCAGTGAGTAATTGCAGGAATTTAACAGAATTCCAGCTGAATATTCGGTGATCTGCGCCATAAGCTTTTGTTGCAACTCAGTAAATGAAAACATTTAAGAAATACGCAGCTTTTGATAATCTTAACTCATTTTTTTTTCTTTCATAAAGTAAAACGCCGACCTCAACTTCTCTCAGTACGTCATCAAGGTACGTTTCATTCTTTCAACCATTGTTACCTGAAACTTATTCAGATTTTTAGTGGTCAAAAACTCACAAACCAAACGTATTCTTAGTTATGCTTTGAAAGAAATAGCTTTTAACAGTTTGATGTAATTGTCTCCTCGCAGCTCGAGTCTTAGCTCCTCAATTTCTTCTTCAATCTCACCGACTACATCCTCGTCAGTTTCGACATCTGTCTCAAGTAGTAAGTGCTTCGAATATTTTAGCAATCGTTAATCTTTATTTAGAGGAATTTTCTTGAGTATCACACTTCCCTTCAAATTCTCCCCCCTCCCACCCCATAAAGCTTAAAGCCCTATGTATGAAAAATTATTCGCGTTAATCAATGGTTTTAAGTAACTTTCGACTTTTTTATTGTGAAAGCTTACTTGTCAGGGCGTTATTTTTTTAGCAACAACACTTGCTGAAATGTTATAAATCTAGATCGAACTAAATGTTTTTCACATCCCATTGTCACGGCATGCCGCCTTAAAAACCCCTTTAGCTACATTTACACTTGTGATTAAAAATTGAAAAGTACCCATACCGAAAAAAGAGGTTCTTTTCTAACCACAACTGACCTTTTTTGAACAAATTAGGAGGTAATTCTCTCAAGGTGTCTAGTTTTTTCGTGTACGCACGTCACAATTTTTGAAATGCAGAATTCCCACGCTTTTTGGAAGTAATTTTGTTTCACTTTTTCTTTGGCTTCCAGGTTCGATCTGTCCGATTTGTGTATACACAAATAGATTCAATGAAACTGAAAAGCATCACGTAAGTTGAGACTGAGATCCCGATCTTTTTATAACTGTTACCACATATTTCTCGCACTTTTGAAAATATTATTTGTTCCTGTATACTCCATGAACCTCCTTGTTAGTCAGGTGGTCATAACATGTGAATCCATGACAACATTCTGATACATAATGCTGATATAAGAGCATCGGGCTCTCGAATACTCAACCAACTTTTGAGCCAAGCGTGACTGAGTCAACCTCTCTCTCCTAAGATCTGATTGTCAATTCTCCTTCTGGCTGCTACTCAGCTACTCATTTCCTTGTTAACTAGTCACAAGAATTTTGTGTTGGATCACGATAAAATCTACTTGATAAGTTTGAGTATTCTTAATACCAAAGTGCTAGGTGATGCATGAATGTTACAGAGAGAAGCAACAAGTTAATGCTTCTGGGAGTTAAAGGGTGAAAGGAGTGAAATCGGTATTATGAGAGGAGTATCAGTCGTTACTTCGTAAAATTGAGATTCTGCTGATCCTTACCCACCAAACTCACACATTAAGAATGTGTGTTATACATTGGTTTCACGACTGACTGTTTTCAAGAATAGCACTTTCTTCAATTTATGATTGCATTGGTAACTTATTTTAAAGCATTTTTCGTTTGCTTATAGGAGGGAGAAACCTGGACGGATGGGCCTTGCAAGACTGTCAAATGTAAAATGGTTTTTAATGATTGCTTTGAAAACAACCAAGTCGCTCAAATAGAAGTCTATATAAAGGAATGTTCTGAGTGTCCTAAGGTAAGTGGATTGCTATTAAAATTAAATGCATTTCTATTTTTTATTTTGTCAAGATAGTTTGTAGATCTGTCGAAATGTTGCCTGGCTAAACACCTAGATAGAGCTTTAATTATTAGCCACCACTAGTCCATTACGACACCCATCAGCGATAATATACAATATTCTTCAAGTATCGGAGCTCGAGATTTTAATTCCTACTCTTTAAAAGTAGTCTCAATTATAGCAGTAGCTGACCGTTGGTTTACTATGGTTACGTCAGTCTATTTCATTCAAAGCCAAGTAAATAGTCACTTTAGTTTGATTTAACAAAGTTAAGCTTTTGATTAGCCGAACCCGGCTCGAATTCATCATCTGAAGCCTCCGATCAACCGGTCTGCGTTCATGTTGTGCTACAGTTGCACCTAACCAAACCACACATATCATTTCTACATAAATGTCTTAATGCTGGTCACTAAGGTAGATATCGCTGGGAGCTAAGTTTTTCAGAGCGCCACATTACGAAAAAGTGTTTCATTGACAAAATTTCGAAAGTCATTCACGTTTGAGAAATGCAGCTTAGAGTAAAAATTTAAAACAAACATTTTCTCCTCTTTGAAGGGATACGAACGACCACCATCAAAGGATCAATGCTGTCCACAATGCGGTTTGTATTTCTATTCTTCATACAATTATTTCTAAGTAGGGGGGGGGAGGAGGGGAAAGGGTGGGATTAACATGATCGGTCGTGTTCCTGGATTTCTCTTTCGAACCAGCAACTCAAAATATAAACCGAATTCACTGTTTTGTTGGCAACGAAGTGCCATTCTCTTTCAAACCTTCCAGTGTAGTATCATTCATAACCTATTAAAACAATCTAGAAATAATCTTTTTTTTTACAGTGGTTTTGCAGGCCTGACGTTTTAAAGGACGCTGATTTAGTTTACAATAATGGCTCATATAAAGACGATATGTTTAATTTATTTTATAGTAAAAACGGAAGACGATGAGAACATCTGCAAACTCCGCCATAGGGCGCCAAGTATCCTTAAATTCCCTGACGGCTGTGAATCAGAATCCGAGGTTAGTCTCACTGAATGCAGAGGTAATTGTGAGTCGAGCACTATCGCAAAAACTCTGCCAGAAGGCTACGGAAGTAAAAACTGCAAGTGTTGCAAGCCGTCTAATAATACCATTGTGACAATCAATTTGATCTGCAAAAATGGAAATGAAATAACGAGAAAAACGGCCGACTTGGATATCATCACGGAATGCGGATGCGGGAGACAGGCATGCGTATCAACACCTTCACACGCAAATGAAGAATTTGTGAACCAAAATGGTGAGATCATGGAAATGAAAAAGAAGCGCCGTCGCCGCGCCTTGTCGCGTCTCTTTGCCCTTCCTCCGTAACGAAAAGTAACAAGGGACATATATTCACTGATAGTGTAGAAAAGAGATAAATTGTGGGCTGAAAAGGAGAAAAAAGGATAACAGAAATGTCAATGGAGTTGAAGGGAACGATGGGATATTTATGTGTACGAGTAATTCTCTAAAGGGACTGGCTTTCTTGAAATAAACTTCACTGAAAGGGATGTAGATTGTGCTTATTCATTTTAGAACTCTGCTTTAGTAAAGAACTTAGTGACAGGTCCGTCAACTCACTAAGGTTCTATTGGATAAATTCTTAGTGGTAACTTTTTATGAATTCACCTTTTGCTCCAATACCACGGCGTAAAGGTTTCATTATTCTAGTCGTGGACAAAGTGTTACCGACTCATTCTCCCGAGCCAATCTTCTGACTATACGAATAACTTTAAAATTAAAAATCAGCTGACGCGAAAATTTCTGCTTGTTCATAAAGTAAATGGCATCTTATTCGATCAAGATTTCGACTTCGTAGCGATCTGGTTTATTCATGCACAATTTATCAAAGTTTACCAAGGTTCAAATAATGAAAGTTGTGACTTTGTCTTTCAATTGTAAGGATTTCAAAATGATGTTCAGCACCCATATCCAAAGCAAAGATCTATCATTCTAACTCTTTTGATCCACTCTTTATTTTGTTGTTTAATAATATATTTACAAAATCTTTTTTCCGTTAGTTTAAACTGTAATCTCCTCAAAACAAGTTTTGACGGTGTCGCTCAAAAGATATGTCCGCCATTTTCGATAACTCGCAAGTCTGTCACTATGCAGTTTCAGAGAGCAGAAACCGTCAGACTGGGTTAGGTCTGATTACCGCTTTCTGATTGGTTAACAGCTAAATTAGGATGGTTGGGCGGCCCGTTCACTCCACCCTACTCCATTCTCTTACACTGGTGCTCATGTATATCCAAGCCTAAACATCTCAAAACAATTGAATATAATAAAAATAACATACCTATATCTCATTTTCCCCCGACATACACCAAACACATTGTATCTCATTTAACCTGCCTGCTTGATGAGTACTTCAGGTAGAATAAAGTGATCTATTCATCAATGTATACTTATGCGATGTTTCAGACAATCAGTTTGATGATGACATCAGACGTCAATGTAATTTCATTAATATGTGCAGGAATTTCCATTATTAGTCGACAATGGAAATAATGTATGCAGGAATGTCCAATACTAATCGATAAAACAAGCCTGGATGATCCCAGACAACTATTCGCTTATAAAGTAAAATACGTTTTGGTAAGTCATCGCGGTAAATAACACTTTCATAAGAGAAATGTAACCGTTTCTCACTATGTGGTCACTTTCGACTGCTAATCTTCTTCAGGCGATGAAGAACTATTCACTCTAAAGTGAAAATCTGTTATGTATTTCTGCAGCATTCAGTTCTTAGGGTTTTGATCCAAAATTATAGTTTTATCTACAATATGCAAATCAACCGTCAAAATTTATTATTTGGTTTACAAGTGGTCTCAGACGTAAGTTCATTTAACCCGTTGCATTTCGTTACCTATGGATTCGATCAGCCTGACCCTGGATTAGTCTAACCTTGGTAAAAATCTTCGCGCACACTTAACGACCCGCGAGATTTTATGCTCAAGATATGATAGTTTGAAGATTCAATCATTTTACAATGGAAGTATTGACGCAAAGTCGTTATTGTTTTCTAAAAGTCTCTGGAATGTGGAAGAGGGCTTTAGCAGTTCCCAATAATTTAAGCTGAATAATTGACGCAGCAAAAGGCACATTGCAAACAAATACTAGTCTCTTGTGTCTTTAATGAACAAACATCGTTTGATATAAAGGTTACTCTTCTGAGTCAACAATATTTTAGACAAGTTTATAAAAATAACTTTGCATTTCTTAAACTATTAACTAATATACACGTATCTGAGGACACTATGTCATATTAAGTACAGAGTCCTGTAAAAATACTTCACCTACACTCGTTCAGTGAAGGAAGAAAATCTATTATCTCTGATTAAAGCCGAGCCGAATACACTGAAAATAATAATATGAATATCCTTTAAAAACTCTAAGATAACCTGGCAAGCACATTGCTGTATAGAAATGGCCAGTCGTAGAAATAACAAAGTGTTGTCAACGTATTGCGTGAGTAGGGGGGGGGAGTTTATATACACAATTATAAACCAAGTATTGATCTCTATGTACAAGATCATTTGTCGAAAAAAATATACTCATAAAAAGTACTTTCCAAACGGAGATAATCATGACCTTTTTCCTTTAATTGCAAGTATAACCTAAAACAAAAGAGAAAAAAAAATTCAGTACAGCTCAGCTTCCTTTGGCCGGCAGCAAATCATCGTGGATGCAGCTTGTGAAAAAGATTTCAGCCACATGATTTTTTCTGCCTTCAGATAGCTTCAATTAATCAGCTGAGTTGTAGCAAGAATTAACGATAGTTATGCAAACACGACCCGCACTCGAGGGTTCGCATATCTGTCACGGGTTTTCCAAACCCCCACGCGACCCACACTCGAGGGTTCGCATATCTGTTACGGGTTTTCCCAACCCCCAGGCCTTTTATAAATGGGCGTGGATTTACGCCTCGCAACAGAGCGACTATTCTCCAATCAAAACAAAGCTATCAACCTAGAAGGGCACACGTTTAATCTCATTAATTTTATAACAAGAAATATCTCAAGACGGGTAACATGATTATGGTCTCACACGACAAATTATTCCAAAAACATAATAACTCGCACAAGCTTAGTGGCTAAAAATGGAAAGAGAGTATTCCGGTTTCCGCAAAATCGCATTGCGAAGAACCTTCCTGGATGGCGTTCGGTTTAATCCCCCCTCCCCTCTTTCCCGCCCTCCAGCAGTTTCGTCAAGTTTCCCGAAAGTTCACCAGTACCCATTGATTATCCTAAGCAAGAGTAGAGGGGTACTGTGCGGGGTACAGTAAGAGCTCAATGTCACGCTCAAGAAAAATAAAAAGGCACAAACGAGGTGGAGTTTAGCGGGGAAATCATTGTCTGCCATCTTTTCCAAGATTTCATAAAGGACAATTAAAGTCAAAACTCACAAACATTGAACATGTTATTCCGGGACGAATTAATTCGTTTCAGCTGCTGCCGCGGCACTGGAGCGAGGACTGGGAATTGCTAGATCCAAGATCCACGTCATGCAGCAGTGGAGGGCCTGAACAAACACAAATAGAGAGGATTAAAAACTATATTTGTTACAGAAATGACAATCCAGTAAGACAATACTTTAGGATAGGTTGGGCTACAACAACATCGATACGAGAGCTGGACAGTCCTCAGCAGTAGTATGTTTAAGTATGCTTAATAGATGTCTTAATGGATGAGGGATATCAAGGATTTCGACATTTTAAAAATTACCCCCATACTTATCAACATATCTGTTGCTGCGGATTTATAAGCGTATTTGTGACAATGCGCTAACGTTACTCAGCACCGTCGACCGCCTTCTTCTTCTTATGCACCTTCCATGTTCAAAATTAGTGACAGCCCTGATCAAGATTTAAACGGTACCTGTTGCCATCTGGAGTTAAGTTCGTCCATCGTCTGTTGTACTGGTTGGAATTCCGACGGTGAACAATACTCTCGCATGGCTTTTCCTTCTTGAAGCAAAGTTTTAAGCTTCGCATAGTTCATATTGATGAGTCTTTGTAAGCCCTGAGAGGGAATAAATGTCAACTTGAGATAAAAACATGGATCATGATGTCTAGTACATTCTTCTCATTGTCAGAAAGCCCGCGTTCGGATTTTTGAAGCTATGCAAGATCTATTATTCAGCAAATGACGTCAAAGTCAGGACGAGCTAATACACAGCTCTGTATGACATTCGGAACCAAGCGTCAGCTCTATGGATATTGTAAGGAGAAGTTACTTGTCAATCACTTCTGGGAGCTAAAGGGTTAACAGAGCCTTAGTACCTTAAGTTTCTCCAGCTGAACTCTTGGTTCCACCTCTGAAGTATAAGGATCGAGGGTAATCAGCTTGAGTTCCGCTTCTGTTAAAAAGCTGTACACCTCTTGACGAAGAACCTCGAATTTCTCCGCTTTATCTGACAACTTGCTGTGGCGGTGGACAAGATTTTCTACGCGACTACGAATCGCTCCCCACCGGCTCTGTATTGACTCCACTCCAAGTCTGATATCGGAAGCAGAAGTAGTATTGGCTTCCAGCTGCAGATATTTACTCCGCTTGATGATACGTTCCAGCTGCGAACGATGAGAGTTTATGTCTTCCAGAAACACCTAGAGGAAAATCAGAGACAGAATTATTTGCGTATCCTAATTTGTCGTAGAAATGATAAGTTTCAAAACAATGGACACTCTAAGTCGGGTCAAAATCTTCCCCCCCAAAAAAAACCGAGCTAAAAAAAAATGGCTGATTATAATCGTGAAGAATAATCAGGATTCCAACTATTAGGTCAGCCTCACCTCAAATCTTTTCAATTTACTCTTTGAGATTTCCAAGTCTGATGACATTGCTGCCTCGGATTTCTTGACAGCGGTTTCCGTCTCGTCAATCCACTCCACAAACTTCTCGTACTCGTTCCAAAACTCTCTGCATAGCACCATTCTTTCTTCCGCTTGCCTTCTCTTCGCTGAGACAGTGCGACGAACATTTATCCAGCGGTTTTCAAAACTCTCCTTAGTCCTTTGCAGACTTTGACGATCCTCTTCTGAAGGGCACGCCATGCGATCCCGGCGAAGTTTCTAGAAATGAATCAGACATACATTTTGTTATAAATCACCGACATTGTTGTTAATTCTTTAATCCCTAACTGTGACTGACTTCTTATTTTTCCTCACAGCATCACCCTCTAATAAAATTTACAGGGCATGAGAATAAAGGAAATGATCCCCAACTTAAGAAGCTCCTGATTGTCAAACACATTCTCTTTGTCATTACCATAGGAAATGTAGAGAAAACAGAGTGGAGAATATGAAATATTATTTAAGGGTGTAAAGGTGAAATGCTGATCCTTGTCATCTTATAGAAATATCTGAACACTTGCGAATGAGTCACGCCGCCGAATAGGCTTCCTGATTAATCGAGTGGATTAGCAAAAATTTACAAATGTAATAGTGGCGACCGAAATTAAATATTCAAGGCCAGAGAAAAATTAACATCAAAACAAGAAAGTACACAGGTGTACTTAAAAAAAGAGCGTAGTAAACTCCATGAGTAACACCGTAGTTTATATGATAAAAGTTATTACTGAATAATAAATGCTTCTTCACTTAGAGAATACCTCGCACAATCGAAGAACCGTTTGTACGTCAACGGCGCGTCGCTCTACATCTGATTCAGTATCCTAGATTCACATAAACAGTTCATTAGCACATCCTTAAGTGAACTTAGATATGTTGGTCAGATTTTAAGCTGACATGTTTCCCTTAAAAGCACAAGTTTACCTTTACACGTACTACACAATAAAGTGGAATTTCATTCAAGCCCCTCAAAAGTTCTATGATAAGTGTGTTGGTCAAGTCACTACGTTTCAACCTGACTTGCCAAGTTTTGGGCAAATTTTGTCCCCTAAAAAACGTTTTTCCGTGACAAGTATTGGTGTTCAAAACTTGGCATGTTCCGCACAAGGTAACAATTGTCGAATAGAAATTTCCCTGCGGTAGTTCCCTCTTTCATATTGCCAAACGAAAACATGCCAAAACAATCAAATTTACAACTGCACTGCGATAGAAAGGTTGCCAAGCGAAAACTTCTTGAAAAGTATGGGAAGGAAAAACTTCTCACAAGTTTTTAAACCGTACCGCCTGCCAAAATTGTACTAGTTCAAATACGACTTCATTTCAGCTTGTTTTCGGAATACAAAGGAGTGAGTATTAAATGAAAGACACAATGAAGTGACGATCAGCAAGAACAGAGAAAAGGTGTGTTCCGACATTTTGATAATTACCTTCATTTCCTTCACTTTCCTTTGAAGCTCAGGAAGAATACACGAGCCCACGACAGAAAACTCCCTCAATTTCGTCTCCACCTCGGCCATCCATGTATTTAGTTGCTTCAGTTGAATCTCCAATAGTTTCAATCCGTATCTAGTTTCCTCTGCCTTCTTGTATGTAATTCCCAACTGCTGACACAAAGCGCGCCAACGGTCATTCAGGTTTTTCTGTTTCTCAGCAACTGCACCTGCGTAAGGCGTACCACCCGCCTTGCTAATGACGTAGTACGCACTTTCGTTCAGAGTCGACCTAGTGTTCTCGTGACCTTCTATGTCAGCTACATAAACCTGCGTGAAAATAAATACGACGGTTAACTTCCATGCGAAGGAAATATGCCACAGTTTCACCATGTTTCTCTTGAAGAGCTTTCCTCAGGTGATTTCTGTGGTGACAAAAAGGTGGATACAGCTCCAAAAGTGTTAATTAAAGCTTTTGGAAATAATATCCCTGCGCAATGAAAAAGTATACCGAATAACATTTTGAAGAAAAATAACTACACAACCACTACATGCATGCAAGTAAATATGTTTCCGACTGGAATCTGCGACATTATCAACGGTGCAGACAAACAGACAAACAAGCCAAACATCTAAAACATCAAACCTGAAAGACAGTATCTCCTTGATCATCCGGGATACTGAGAAACGACTCTTCAAGATCACGTGTTACCGACGACTCAACATTAACCAACCAATCAGAGAGGGATCCATGTAGTTGACTAAACAGTTGGAAATGTCTTATGATCTCAGCCAAGGACTGCATGGAACTTGACAACAGGTGACAAACGCTTCCCCATAGGGTGGTCATGGAGGAAACTTGTTTCTTGATCCGTTCTGAGTCGTATTGGTCCGTTGATTTCGAAAGCTCCTCCGCCCGCCAGGCGATTTTATCCAGCTGAGGTTTCCGTTCATCGATCTCTCCAGCGATAGCCTATGGATGGTAAATAGAATTTTTAACCGCAAACTTATCCTTAACTTATCCTTTAACTCCCAAATAAATATTTATTTATAACTGCTCTTCACAACATCATTTAATCATACAGGATATTATGCAGATTCATCAGCTAAAGCTATCCCGAAGAAACATCAAATTCTCTTGCAAAGAAAAATTTTCGCAACTAGAAGGGGTATTCATCAAACAGATCATAGGACTAACTAAGCTAATAAAGAAATACGTTCATGTCCATCAAGAATCCACCGTCCGCGCTCGGTATTTGTGATACATTATTGATGCAGCCTTTCCTATGACCTTTCTCACCAACAGAGTGTTGGTTTCCCTGACAACCTGCATTTCAAAAAAGGGACAGAGCGAGATAATTTCACCTATCGTTTGAACTGGCACTCGGAGTCTGCGAGGAAGTTTCTTAGTAAGTTATGCGCTGTAAGTAATTTTTTGATAGATAATTTATATTTTGTAATTAATGTATGATGTTGCCAATAAATAAATAAATAATAAATAGATGGAAATTTTCCACACGACTGATATGAGAGATAAGGTTGGTCCAAGAAAACGCTCGATCATTGGTGGAGTATGAGTGGAACTTCCTCCAAGTAATACACTGCTGATAGCATCTACTATTTCCCTCAGTTTGACTGGTCACTGAAATTCATATCTGTTCTTTGTTTTATACAATTAGAAGTACTAGTTCGAAATTCGCTTTCACTGATAGGTGCTGTCAAGATTAAGCTTGTTTTCTTTTCACCAGAGCAAACTGAAAACGCATGTCGAAATACGCATCAACGTTCAATCGAAAAATATAACACTAAGAAGTAAAGTACCTTCATGGTGCCTAGCTCCCTCTCAACGTCACGAACCGTTAGGGCCTTGGACTGAGCTCTAAGTATTTTTTCCTTCTCCCTCAACCACACCATCAGGTTCTCACTGAGTGACGTGTACTCCTGCCAATCTTTTAGTGAAAGCTCCAATTGCTGCTGGTTGCCTGTCACACGATTTGTTATCATTACCCATTGCCTCGTTACCTTGTCGAGTTCACTGGTGGCTTTGTTACCTAAATTTCCTGGTGCTCCTTCGATTATTCGCTGACCAGTAGAGCAGAAGTTGTTGTACTCCGGTCTGTGAGCATGGATCTCTTTTTGGCACATCTAGTAGGAAAAATCAACTATTCCTGGCAAAACTATAACACCCATTTTCTTACTCTCACTTTAAGTGTTAAGAACGATGACGCGCTGAGCCAGCAAACAAGAGTAGAGGGATGGTATCCAGATAGAGTTCACTACTTTTCTCTGACTATGTAAGTTATGCCGCTGATAACTACTTCATGACATATCCAGTAGTTATTTGGCTTCGTGGTTATTTCCATTCAGTATAGGGTAAACATTAAGGGTTGCTAGAACAGAATAGCGCTAGAGAGGTAACGAAATGATCCTCGGAAGTGAAATGCAATTAAAAAAAAATCAGAAATTTCCTTAATTGTAGTTGACCTTAGGGGATAATTTTGTTACCTGTTATCAGCTAAAAGTTAAAATATCAGTCTTATTTTATTTCATTACGATTTATTTGTTTGTGCTGGGAGCAAAAGCCTGAGGGGTATTAAAAAATATGTAAAAAAAAGGGATAAGTGTGGCAAAGTTTGGTATGAATTCCCAATAATGAACTTGAAGATTTGTTTTTCAACATTATTACCTTAACATGTTCAAAGTGGACCTTCATCTGTTGAATGCTCGCAGACGATGGAACTGTGAATCCGCTGTGCGTTTCAATTCCATCCATCCACTTTATCAACGCTGAACTCAGACCTTGAAATTCTTTCAACCTTTCATTCTGCCGACCAACTTGCTCTTTGTGTTCATCTGCTCTCTTCAGCACAGAGCTCCATAATTGACGAACGCGCGACATGTTATCATCTAGGCGTGTCTTGTAATTACTCCCTGTGTGCGCATCTTGATCAAGATCTTCTGACTGACGAAGCAGAGAGTCGAAATCCACACGGTATCTTTCGAAGTTGGATTGGAAATCCTTCACAAAAAGACAAAACAAAGTAAGTAAATAAAAAGTGACGTTCGACTGAAGAAATTCAAATACAAGCAACTGCATGAAGCCTACGATCTTTGCTAACCAGCAAATCATAATGATAACAACAACGACGGCAAAAACCACAATAAAACTAAACAATAAAACAAGAATAAAAAAACAATAAACCAAAACGGAAAAGGGATTAAAACTTGAAAACTCGGAGAATATCCTGAACTTGCTTCCAATACTGGGACAAGCGAACATAAACGTCTGAATCAACGGAAATATTAATTATAAATAGCAATAACAATAACAACGACGACAGCAGCAGTAGCAGAATATGGACAGATAAAATACCCACCTCTACACGATCATGATTCACAGCCACATCTGTCTGATCAAGGCTCGAATTCTCCGTTCCTTGCAGGACATTTTGTAGGACTGCACAAATTTTCTGGTGTTCTTGATCAAATTCCACTTGTCTCCTGATCGCCCGTTTGTTATCTTCAATAGAAGACGAGAGTTTCCTTCTGAATTGATCCCAGCGTTCTTCAAGCTGTGCTACCTGATCTTTCATCTCTTGAAATTCTTTCTGGTGAGTTCCATTTATCATATCATCGATGCCGTTGTTCAAGGACTCCAGTCTATGATTCGATTCGTCGAGATCTTTCAAAAGTTCCTAATCAAACCAAGAAAATTAAAAAAGTTCAGATTTGTAAGTACATCTCTGTATTTTCTTTTTTGTAGCTCAAAAGACTATAATGACATAGGCCCCTTTCATTAGTAAAGGATCAGTATTATTTTACTTATTCTAAGACCTTGAAATAAGGCGAATTCTACATTTGAAACATTGAAATATTATTTTGGTAGCTGTCAACAACCCACACACACGGGTATCATAGAAGTTCAACTTCTTCCCTTTTCCTTATTTTATTGCTTTTTCCTGGTTTCTTAAATTATTCAAGAAGTGGAATTAAAAGAAATTTGTGAGATCAGAGAGTTTTTGAGCAGGAGTAAGGCAATCTCACCTCTTGTAGCTCCAGTTTCTCAGAATTTTCCAAATCTCTCTCGTTTACGGCTCTTGTTTCAGCGTCATCAAGCCAAGTGATAACGCTGTTAACCGACTCTTGTAGTTGCGTGAAGCTGCGCGTGGCTAACGCAATCCTGTGAATGGGATCGAAAGAAGAGTGATGAATATTTACTGAATAAAATCTGACGTAGATAAAGTATGGATAAAAAAGGAACATTCCTCAGACCTTGTTTTAGTGAGCGTACATGGAGGGGGAGGGGGAGGAGCAACTGGATATATAAGAACAGAGAAGATGTGACCGTATGTGGCTTAGGTTCATCTGGTTGTCGTCCTTACTTAAACGGTTTATCGCCGTGTTTTTCGATCTTGTAAACGCATTTGCTGATTTATTTTGTTATCATTGCACTAGTAATAATCAAGCTTTTTTCTTAAGATAGAAAAGTAGAAGTGGCATTTAGAAATAATAGTCATAACATAAAAATAGTAAAAATGATAATAATAATAATAATAATAATAATAATAGTAATAATAATACGCACTGCTCGTGTTTGGTTCGAAGCTGTTCTTCAAACGAGGAAAATGACTGATTGACTTCGTTCCTAAGCGGGGTGATGTGATTGGCTCCAGAATGGATCCTTTCTTTCAGTGAGTCTGCCATTGTGTTAATCGATGTCAGCCAATCACGGTGAAGTTCCAAATCCTGCTGCACTTGCTAAAATCAATCAAGGGCATAGGAAACATTAGTTCTATGTAAAATTAACTCTTTCTATGAAAGACAGATTGTTTGTTTGTTTGTTGGCGTTGATTGGCCAAGGCTAACTTCGTGCGCCAACGTAAAGGTATGAAGAACAGGCCATCGAAGGTGAAGGAAGCCTCCCCAGAACATTTGAGAAAGGAAAAAAAAATCGAATGCACTGAAGACTTAAGGAAATTATTTTCTCATGGAGCATTGCATTTGTGAAAGTCAATTTTCTTGACTCCTTTTTTCTGTTTCACAGAGAGGGGAGTTTACCTTAGCGGGGGTTTTCTTTGTTTTAAAGTATCATTCACTAGGCTTAATTGTTTGCATTTATTTGCATTATCAATCTCGAGAGCTTAAAAGGTTATTCCAAAAATAAGTTGAATTTTCCCTACTTGACAAATAGCCAGCTGTTCTAACTGTTCGGTGAGTGACACGTCTACTGTAACAGACTCATTCAGCACAGCTGTTTGACTCTCGATCCATGCAAGGATGTCCGCGCACGATGTCTCAAACCTCTGCCACTTCAACAAAATATCTTCCAGTTCCTTTTCTTTCTTGATAAGACGAGAAGAGACTGAGCCATGACGATCTGTCAGAGACGTGATTTCATTCGTCAGGCGTTGCGACGCCGAAGGCTCACTGTTTTGTGCCCAGTCTGTCGCTAATTCGGTTACTTCGCTCACTCGTCCACTGATTTCCCCAATGTCAACTCGCAATGCCTTTAAGGAAAAGTCAAAAAGTCATTAAAAAAATCTTCATCTTCACAACGAATCTGCTCAAGAGGTTGCGTCAATTGGAGGAAATCGCCAGTCTGAAACTGGAGAGCCCCTGCATATGACTTCAACCTGATCTTACGACAAATATTTTGCTCCTGTAAAATTCGCAAGCGTTAACGCATATTTCCGTCTTTTATTTGGAGCAAAGAACTCTCTCGAATCAACATTTGACAATGCTTTTGGTACGCTTGCTGAAAGAAACGAATTGTTCGCTAGCAGTGTTGATACCGAACCCAAATTAATAGAGTTATTTTTTAAGACGCTGAAAAGGTATTTAATTGTCGTCACATATGTTTTTGTGGTAAATTTCCTGAAAGACCGTGGCAAAGCTACGATTTGACAAATAATCACATCCTTTGATCTTCATGATAACAATGCCCACACACGTAAAAACGACACAAGAACAAAAAACTCATCTTTTCTTTCGAGTATACTGTAGCTGCAAGTGCTTGCATGCTTCTCTGGGATATTTCAGTTCCCTTGGTCTGGCTGTGTTAACCGTTTAGTTTCATTACATATTTGTTAAGTATCAAGGTTGTGTCACAGTTGTACGAATTCAGTTGTTAATCGTACATAGCTAACAAAGAATAGTTAAGAAGCCGTAAACACGTTACAAATTTTCTTACTTGTAGCTGTTCGATTTGTGCCTTCAGTTCTTGAAAACTTCCATCGTTTGTTCTTTCCAATATCCCTTCGGTATCGCCCAGTACGTTCTTGATGTACTCAATAGAAGCTTCGTACTGTTTACATGCCTGTACAGAACTTTCCAGCCACACCTCATATTCGTCAACTTTAGTAGTCAGTTCGGACCATCTCTCCTGAACTGTTTCAATAGTCTCTTGTACTTCCTCTTGGTCGAAAGCGGTATCTCCACGCAGACGTTCAGCCGCTCTCACAACGTTCTTCACGGCCTCTTGTTGCGTTACTAAGAATCCTTTCATTGCCTTGGTAACGAGAAAAATAAAAACTTAATTAATTCCGGTTGCCGCTCAGAGCTTGCAAAAAATTCATTTCGGTGGCGATTGTTTTCAGTATTGAATATGATTGGCTGAAAGTATGAAGTGCGTATGCTGGACCAATCACTGAGCAAAGTCAAGCAAAATCAATAACATACCGAACCGCTTTCAACAAGCAAGTTTAAATTGCTTTGAAATGACTATTGTGTGCACCTGGCCCAGGAAGACTTGATTCGTAATTCATTTTACCAAAGAAAAATATTATCTTATCTTGTCAAGTTATCTTCGGAAGCAAATGCCGACGAGGTCCCTTTTGCTTAAAAATCTAAAATTTTCCTTAAGAAACCACGCGACTGTGAACTTAATCCTTTCTATGTTTCCTTTATCAATCAGCAAGAAGGTAAGACTATTCCTCTGGATGACTCATCGTCTGAAGCATGGTAACGCGTGTGCAGGGAACTCTGGCAGTATCAAGATACGAATATAGCTACCCACCTTGACATCTTCCAAAGCGATCTCGAATTCCCTCTGAGTCACAATCCTCTGGTACTTGCTCAGCGTCTCTTCTCTTTGTTCAAACCATTCATTGATATTTTTTAGCTCCTTGTAAAGTTTCTGGAAGTCCACCCAACGGTTGAGCGCCTGCTTAAGCTGTTTTTCCTTTTCCGACAAAAAGGTCACGAGTTGTGTTTTCTGCGCGTTAAGCCGCCGCAATCCTCCGATGACGTTCCTTACAGACGCGTTTCTCCTCTCGTTTAGTGACTGGTCTACCCTCTTGTTAAGTAATTCCAGAATTTCCCGTTTGCTGTCGAATTCCTTTTCGATTGTCTGAATTATAGAGAAATCATAATCAGTGCCATTTTCATTTTTTAATCCCAAAACGTTACTGATAATGATACATACCTACCATAGACAGACAATTTTCAAAACAAAATTCACGAAATACGACGGAAATGAAAGTACTTCTCAGGCCACTGTTAATAAAAAACAATTTTAACCCTGATGTTTCTTGAGTTCCTTCTACCTCTGTTGCTTTGTAAACGTTTATCAACAAGATTGCTTTATGTGTTCGAATGAAATACCTAATACACGCTAACACTAAATGGTCTAATGATACTCACCCTATATTTCCCTAACTGTTCTTTAGCATCTTCAAACGTGGCGCTGCTGAGAACCAAAACTGGCTTCTCGATTGTGTCCAAGGCGCTTTTAAACCACGCCTCCAATTGCTCAACATCGTCTTGGCACTTCAAGATTAGCAGATCGGTTTGTGCTCCTTGAAGCTCATTTTCACGGTCCTCAAGTAAGGCACACAATTCCGACCAGTTCTCGTCCAGTCGGGACTGACTTTCTATCAAATCTTCCGCATGTCCACGAGTTGTTTCTTCCAACTGCGACGCAATTTGATCCAAGTTGTCTTTGATGGACCGTTGACGCTCCACTTCACTTTGATAATGCTAAATAAAACGAAAGAAAACAAGTGTGTAACTGCTTATGACGGCTACATTTAAGCTAGCAAGGTCCCTTACTAAACTCATCCTGACAAAGAATACTGTGGCACTAGTTTTGAACAGAGAGACTTGTTAAAACGAAATTTCTTAGAGCTGTGAAGTAGGTGGCACTTTTCAGGGGTTTGCGTTTCCTCGTGCCTTTTTATTTTTTAAAAAATAACATCAGTATGCATAGTCTCCATACTGTTCCCTATACATTCCCTAAGGTGGTGATGAGAATTTGTTTCATAATCCAGAGCTTCTCTAGTTGGTGACCATTTTCTTTATTCTCATTACCTTGAATGTGTCATTAGGGGGTGATATTGTAAGGAGAATTTAGATGCTAGTCACTCCTAGGGGTTAAAAGGTTAAGAAGTGCCCATGCTAACTTAAAGGAATTAAGTGCAGAATAAACAGGCTGTGTCCGTGATTTACCTTGAGATCTTGGCAGAAAATGGCGCAAAACTCATTCATAAATAAAAAAAATGACTTACATGTAATTCATCTATTTGTGAATACAACTCGCTTTAGCTGTACTCGTCAACATAACATCAGATAAAATAATTTGGTTTTGTTTATACGACACTCACTCGAAGAGCGCTCTGCTCAATATTTTTTTAACAACAACAAAGCCAAAAAAATTGTACATTTTCGGGAGGTTGCCATAGAGAAATAACTTACCCTTAGTTGTTCCAACTGCGCCTCTAACATATCCAAACTGTCATCGCAGATCTCATCGTTCCTCATCAGACTAAGTATGGACATAAGCCAGTCCACCAGTTCATCGACACCAGTCTGATATTCCCGCCAAAGCTGCAGGAGCCGTTCCATGCGTTGTCGCTCGCTACGGGTTTCTTGACGGAGGGCGCGCCATCTCTCTCGGAACTGAGTAAGAGAAGCCTGGACATCTGCATTGCCTATGAAGATAACAAATCAAATCAAAGGGATACAAGGATAATAAAGAGGAGAATTCAAGAAGAACTGTGACAGCGTAGAGGTAAGAACTCTCGCCTCCTGCAATATGACTGGTGTTGGACTCTGGTAGCTGGTGTCACAATTGGGTTAAATTTGCTGTTAGTTTCCTTCTTGCTCAGAATGTTTACCCCCTTTCTATGACTTGACCCACACTAGAATTCCAATTCGACTTGGTATCAGTAGTAAAATAGTCGCGTCCAATTCATTTAATTTTTATCATTTCTTACACAGCTATGTTACATATACTCTGCTGATATCACATGGTTCTACTTGATTGCCAAAAAGTTCTTCCAACCAATCCAGTACAAACGACAATACATCTACATTCTCCCTTACCTGTTGCAGTAAGAACCTGTTCCGCCTCATACACCAAACCATCCTTACTCGGCTGTCGCTCCGTAAGTTTTCGATCTAGTTCACGATACTTCATCATTTTGATCAACACAGCATCAATATGATCTTCACGCATTTCTCTAGCGAGAGCAAATGATTTCCGAGATAAGTTGTCCAACCAAGAGTTGAACTTTCTCGAGGACTCCTCAAAAGAATGCCACTGGATTAATACCGACTTTAGCCACTCGGCGCTCTCCTCGCAAACTTCGCACATGCTATCAGCAATCTTCGCAACATCTTCGTACCTAGGGCCGACGACATCAACATCTACGTGTTCTCCGCTTTGTGTCGCATAGTGTCGCATCATATCCACCCTCGACTTTTGGCTCTGAATGCTTCGGGAAAAGCCCTAGAAAATACACGATTCCCCAGTAAAGTTGCTTAGATTGAGTTTGGGTTGAGTACCCCAACAGATCAATCCTGAGCATTTAATTTCTTTAAAGCTGCGATGCTTTAGTCGAGATCAAATTTCGAACTCTTTTCGATACTTAAAATTGGGAGACACGGATACTTTAACCCAGGAAAACTGAGAAATGTTACCAATTTTATCATGCTTATTTCTCAAAAGTACCTTTTTTCGGGTCTCTCCTTTTTTTATTAATTCAACTTCCTTCTAAAATAGAGTGTAGAGAAACAACGACCCCATGATACAAAAAAACAAAAAAAACAAGAGATACTGATACCTCGATATCTTTTGACAAAGAGAGTGAAACTTGAATGTTTTCAGCCGTTTTGGTTTTGTAGTCTCAGAAAACTAAGTATTCACGAAGCGAAAACAACGAAAGATTTCAACATGATTGTTTCTGTTTTCCCAGTAGGTATCGTGTCTAAAAACTAGGATACCCACCATGGTTTTTTTTGCTTTAAATATTCTAACCAAGAAAAGAAATCAATTATTAAAGTACAACTTCCTTCTACGTTCGATTACCTGGAACTGCTGCAGTCTTCCCTTTAAAGCTTCCATTGTAGGCGGCAAACTCTCATCACCAACGAGATCATGAAATGCTTTCTCTTGACTTGTCAACCACACGGAAAATTCCCGCAATTCTTCTTCGTATTGTTTCCTTTTTGTCCTTGGAGACTTCTTTTCCACGCTTGGGGGCGTCTTTATTTCCCGGGCGGGAGAAGTAGATTTGCTCCGTGGGGTAGTGACCCTTGGGTCATTAGCCTCTGGCGTTTTCATTTCTCTGGGCGGTGAATCCAAAACTACTTCCTCCTTCTCAGGAACGATAGCGTCCTGTAGAGGTTGTCTTGGAGGGGTCTTCACCTCGGAGATTAACATACCTAAAGCCTTTAATTTCCTCTCTCGATTTTGCAGAATGGTGCGTATTCTGCTCCAGCGTTTATTCAGGTCAGCGAGACGTGCCTTCTTGTGAGGACTGGCGCCTCCAGAGGACTCTTTGTTTAAAAAGTCATGAAGGAACTCTTGGATTACCGCGTGACTCTGCAAGAACTGTGAAATTATGAACACAAGGAGAAAAATCGGTTGACTCTACACGGCAGCTTAAGTCTGCTCTACTTTAGTCTTAAACAACATTAAGCTTCTGTACAAGATATTGTGGTATGTTTGCATTCAAAATGCAAAAAAAAAAAAGAGTTGTGGAATTCCAATAACCTTGGTTTAGAGTTCTCTTTGGCCCAAAAAATTGTCATTACATCACGAGGATTTTGTGGGTTTCTATACATGTGTTTCCTTTTTCGAGGGTTTTTTATCATTTTTGTGTAAATAAAATTCTTCCTTTTAAAGAAATACTATACTCCAAAGTCATGATGTAGCCACGATGCATTGCAAACAAACGGTGACCACAACCAACCGTAAACCAACAATAATATTTCCATAGGTCAGGCTATTTAAATTTCTTGAAGTTCTGGAATATATTTTGATGAGGAGAGAGCTTTCCATGACATTTGACTTGCTAGCAATCATTTTACCCCGTGATAGGTTTCTGTATATAAAAAAAGTCACGATTTTCTATTTAGATCGGGAATTCAACGCAGAAGAAACAGTGACACTTAAGTAGTCATTGCAACAAAACAATTGCCCCAATTTAATTTTGCACTTTGTTACCTCGAAGTAAAGAAACTCCAAATCTTTGTCATCCTCGTTAAAAGGCCCAAAGTGTTCCACAAAGTTTTCCATTTCACCCAAAAGCTGTGACCATTCCTGAAGCTTCGCTTCGAAATCTCTTCTATTCAGTAACGATGTCTCAACTTTCACCATCTTTTCCACTGCTGACCGCAGGTGTTGTTGTTTGGACAGGACTAGCTTGATAACGCCTTTCATTAAACTGTTAAGGTCCGAAACTTGCTGCCGGAGATTTTCGTCTTTAGGTGTAGATGAAGACAATCGTCGCGAGACGCCATCCAACTTATGCTTTAATTGCGTAAGGTTCACTATGAGTTCCTTTACGATAAATAAGAAAAATAAACCTACATTGGTATTCGCAAAACTGTTTGAGGGAACAGGAGTTGAGGAATAAACACACGTGAAGTTCTCCATAAATAACCACCCATTTACAGACCACCCAATTACAGGGATAAACACCTGGTGCGCCGATGAATTCAACTCTTCACCCTCGCAGTAAGAGACCTTATGTCTCTCCAAACAATGCCAAAACATTGCTAAGCAAAGAAAATATCATGAGGAGACAAAGTTGATTTACACCCACCTGTAATCGTGTCAGCTGCTCCTGGTACTTCGTTAAATCACCTTCAACTACCAATTCGGACACAGCACATTCCTCCAAGGACGCCAATTCCTCGAACAATTCATGAAGTTCAATTTGATTACTTAGTTCCTGATCGTAAACCTCTTCAAGCGTCTCTACTTCAAGAGCATCAGCCCGCCTACTATCACAATCTTCATCGCAGCAGTCGACAGTTAGATAAAGCGACCTCAAAAATGAGAAGTTTTCAGTGAACGCGGTCACTTCTTTCTGTCGAGTGCTCTCTAAGTTCTGCGTTTGCTCTTGGACGCAGCGTTCTAGAACTTCTTGCTTCGATGACGCCCGCATTTGAACCTCTTTCCAAAGAGCGTTTATCTCTCGAAGTCGCTCTTCAAGAATGATATTCATACTGGCACTACCATGAAGGAAACTGTTAGACAATATGTTCATTTGATCAACACGATCTTGTTGCTTCGACATAAGAACACACAGAGCCTAAAAAAAAAAAAAAAAAAAAAAAAAAAAAGAAAAACGTGAAGGCGGGAATAAATATAAGCACAAGTGTTTTATATTTTAGTGCAGTAACCGGAGAATATTTCTGCGCCATCCACCGTCAATATTTAAAGGGGCAAACATTGGAATTCAGGCGGCTAAACATGTATGTGAAAAAAAAAAAATACAAAACGCAATTAAAGCCCAAAATATTTTAGGAGTGGAAGCGGTAGGGTAAGGACAGCACTAGTCCATTTTACAGTTGCGTGCTTGGTTGCCAAGGAGTGACGCTAAGGTGACCTTGTTATGATACAAACGTTGCTGCTTTTCAAATGTAAATTACTTTGCTATCATGCTAACTAGATGCTGGTCTCTACCACAACAAGCTTGTTTTCAGCCTCACTCCAAGTAAAAGGCCTGGCAACTAAGTACACAACTGTAAAATGGCGTATTCCCAAATGTGTACACATCGTTTGAGGAAAGTTGTAATATCAATCACAAGCACGGAAAGGTACTAATCATACTCCAAACTCTGAAAAGAATTAAACTTGAAACTTGAAATTACCACATGTTTAGCCAGCTCATCTTTCACATTGTCCTCATCCTCCAAGTCAGTCGTAATCAGTTCCTCAATGGAGTGCAACTTTTCCAATAACTTTTCAACCTCCACAAGAAATGCATCCAAAGACATATTTTCATGCAGAATATTTTCGGACTCATCAAGATCCTTTAATGGGGAGCTTCTATCAATAAGGTCTAAGGGCCGAGAGGTGAAAAGCTCATAGTCAGCGTCTCTAACCGAGTTCTCTGCAAATCGGAGCCTTTCAGCTTCCTCCGCCTTACGACGCTGTGATAAAATGGAGGCGATTTTGTCTTGTGGTTTTTCCCCTTCAGTGTTTCTAACGTCGTCCTCGGAGGTATTCCCGTTGATATTCAGTAGTTTGTCGAGTTGATCCATTTCTTCGTTTGGCCCCAAACTCACAAAACTTGGTTCTAGATCGGATCGAGGAGCCGGGTCGCGTGGATTCGTTGGAATTGTGTCTGCGGTCGAATTACGATTTTGGGAGTCCGCATGTAGATCTCTATCAAGAGAGGTATCTCCTTTCATTTTCTTCTCAATCAACGGGGGCACACAAGTTTCAGTAACATTAGCAAACACCTCAGTAGAATCAGTAGTTCTTTCCAATAGATCTGGAGTGGTGTTCACATTATCCGCGGTTGTCGCGACAAGCTCAGTAGGAGTGCTATGTCGCAAAACGCCCTTTTCAAGTTCAGAGTCATCGGAAATGTCAAAATCATCTTTTAATTTACTAACTCTCGGTGTGAGTGCAACTTCTGAAATGTCATTCACATGACTGCCAGAATTTCCACCAGTTTGTGAAAGATCAACAGCTCCATCTGTGAGTGAAGAGTCCGAATTACTCTCCTTGTTTGTAACAGCATCACTTTTTGGTAGGTCTCCTTCAATCTCTTCATTGGCCATGCGGTAACGCTCAGATACCTCGTCTATATTATCAACAGCTTCCGAAGGGCGATCTCCATAATAGACATCAAAATCATCAAAGAAGAAGTCACCCGCCTGATCACCAAATCCTTCTTTACCCAGACTTTTCTCCGTCGCGTTCTCAGCAAATTCTACCTCTGCAGGTGTCCCATTCTCGTCTGTAACGGTCAGGATGGGCAAGTTAACTTCTGATCTCCGTGACTCAGAAAGTAAAATTTCTTTAACATTCTGTGCGTGAAAGCCGTTTTCCAAACCGACAGATTCAAAAGAAGCCATAATTTCCTCGTTTGATTCCCCGCTTTTACTCATTCGTATTCGCTGATACTCGTCCGGTGAAACAGAGATCCCGCCTTCAAGAATTTCATTATCGTCCAAATCTACGTTTTCAAGGTGATAGTTTGAAACGCCGTTTTCTTGCAATCCGTTTTCGTTCGAAGCCCGTCCGTTTTCTTTGCGAAGTGGGACTTCAAAGGATTCCATCGATGAGACACCGCTTTCTGAGTCTCCTAAATCAGAATCTCCATTTTCTGCCATGTCATGCACATTCATCGGACCAACGAGAGATGACGCACCCTCACCCCCTGGGGGTTCTCCGTAACCAGGCTGAGACACCGACAGAACAGGAATCTCTCCAAGAGCAACAATGTCTCGTTGTAATCTTTCCAGCTTTTCTATCACAGCGTCTTTTTCTACGTCGGTTATTTCTGAGAGTAATGCTTGGCCTTGTTCGTGTATATTTCTTGCCATACTTTGGAGGAATTCAACCTCTGAATGAAGATCCTATAAACATAACAATCCAAGAATAATAGTATAGTGACTATGAAATTCAAAATATTACGCAAGTATAATATCTAAAGAAGAAAAATTGGTTTGTTGCATTTCTAACTGCCAGTCGTGGGACGCACTTCGATCTCATTTTGTACCAAAAGTAAAACATTGGTATAAATAACAAAGCAACAAGATCGAGATATAATAGCACGTTTAACTCAATGAATCAGACGACGATTCTACACAATCCGTACAAACTAATCTTCTGAGGGCAATTTCAAATGTTGTTTGTCTTTAATTAAATTTTAATCCTCCATAGGTAAATTAAAAAATTTGTAGGAATGTAAACCGAGTTGTGTCAATTCATATGACACAGGGACGTAAAAAATAAATAAAGTACCGTACTTTTTCACTTATGTTTACCAAACATCAACAACTGTAAAATTACTAGGGACTGCTTAATCGTATCTATGGCTAAATAAATTGTGATATTCACCTTCGCATAATACCCCTAATCTTCCTGTTATTACTGTCACCCAAGGTTATTTCTTCAGCAGACAGAGATGATCAATTGTCAACCAAAACTCGTTATTTGGTTGTGGTAGGAAATTGTTTAGAGAGGCATAGAAATTCTCTTGAGCATTATTTGCTGTGTACGCCTTTCCCATGGGAGACATGGAAAAAAATGCCAAACCCTCTGGTTTGTGCGGTTTCATATCAGACTGATTCACCTGATATTTTATAAACTAGACCTGTATTGGGGAAGTCGTCAAAATTTAATACGAACGGCCGTTTGTTTGTTGCACCATTACATTTCATTGCCAAACTTTCGTCACAAGCTGCCCTATTCTGAGAAACAAACTGGTGTATTAAGGTTGCTTGCTCTTTACGCATGCTCATATTCGATAAAAGCCAAAAGCAAGTCATGCGCACTGCAGAACGTACTTCAACATAACAGTAAGAACCTTTTACACAGTGGTGATCCAATTTAGGACCGCTACTTCATATCACACCAAAATACCGCCTATCAGAAGACAGGAAAGCTGTGTTTCACGGTTTTACTTAAAATATTCTACCTTGCACTTTATCTGTTATGCTGACCATGTTTAAGTATAATTATTACTGCTAGGTTTAGCGGCTGACATAAGAGGAGAATAGTCACTGTCGACGGAGACAAAACTGCTCCGTATGTGCTGAATTCAAAGCTACACGACGCCACGCAATTTAAGTCAAACGAGTCTGAATTCGTGAGTCTCATAACAGAGATAGTTTCGGTAGGAACTTTCATCTTAAGCGGTGTCTCGGTCTTTGGAGCTAACTTAAAAAAAGGCGGATGTGTTATCTCTCCGAAGAGAATATTGTAGAGATTTGACAAAGAATCCATTAAAAAAAATTTTAAAAAATCAGGAAGTTAAATTATTAAAAAATTGCACAAAAAGTATTTCCATTTTCTTGAAGATTTTTTTGTTGTAAATGACATTTTTTATAAATTCAATCAATTCTATAACTAGCAAAATGAAGTAAAACAAAATCAGAGTCCAGTCCTCGTGCAGCAGGCATGACTGTTTCAAGTCGATTAAGGTATTCTGGTTCTGGTTTTATAGACTGTGCTTAATTACCTTTTCCTTTAAACAACTGTAATAAATCCCAAACGGTAAATAAAAAAGGAGATATAAAGAGTAGTCAAATCTCATCGCATTGGAGATTTCAAGCAACTGTTCCATCGAAAAATAAACGTACTCAGCTTTAACTTGCTGATGATCGGGAAAGAGAATTGTCGAGAAGACATTTTCACTTGATGAGGAGGACACTTCGAGAGCATATTGAGCGTGATTTTGACAACAAACAGAAAAAAAATAATTGAAAGCAAAAAAAGAGATTAATTCCATTTGAGCTCCTAGCGATTCACATGGAAACAAAAGAAGTATACACCTATTAAATAATAAACAAATATTCGCCCTCTATGCAGGAAAAGGATTTTGTTCCTAACGAGTTCTCAAAGGCTCAGAGCGTGACAATGTATTTAAATTCGCTTCAATGAAGCGTGTCAGGCAAGTTCTGTTAATCTTAGTCATTACTAAGAAGAGAATGAAAAGATAATAAAGAAAATAAGGCTTTGGTCGAGAGAACAATTGCGGTTAAAGACGCAAAAGCGAGAAGTAAGTGCGTGAATGTTTTGAGTTCTCTGATTTCAACCATTGCGACGGTTATCTCGCAGCATGGTCTCATAATTAATCGATTCGTCTTCAGTAACATACGACTTTCCCATATTGAGCCTGTAGCGCCCATTAGATCGCTTTAAATAATTTGAAGGGCGAAGCAAGGATACCGCTTTAACGAAAAAAAATGTTGTTTTTCAAACAATCTATTCCGTCGGTGTGTACGCACATCATGCATATCATAAGACTCAATCTTTCTCATATTAATTTCACCAAATTATTCGCAGCTGCTTCCCTCTCCTTATTTCGGATCAGTTTACAGCAAACAGGGTTTGCGGTGTGATAAATAATGACTCGAAAAATATCGAAACAAAACTTAAACCTGTGGTTTACCTTTAACTGACCCACCTGTGACTTATTTTTCCCTTCGTTGTTCGATTCCAAATTCTCCATTTCCCGCAACTTGCTTTTAAACTGGTCAATTCTATCGTAGCAAACCCTCAACGACTCTTCAAATTCTACCACTCCGTAATGACTTCTCTCGCCGATTCTCTGTCCTCTGTCATTTACCAGATTCTGGATACGATCCAGTCGATCCGAAATGTCATCCATCTGCTTTTGAAGCACCTCTCGTTCGGACTGATCGCTGAGCTGGCAAACCAATCGGTCGCCTTGGCTGCGAATGCTCTCGAAATCACCCTGCCGCACATCCAATTCATCGCTAAACGCCTGAAAATAAAAATAGTGCAAGTACAAATCTGAACTGTTGCTCGCCATGAGATTTCTCAGGTAGCCACTGTCGCCTTCATCGTTCACGTTTTCTTGTCCTAAAAGATCTGCAGGATCTAACTATATAGTATTCCATTCTGTTTAAAGCTCGGCCAGCCACTGTTGTTAGTAATCGACCAAAAATTGAGATCGCCGTTTCAAAAGCAATAAACCGCGATGAGCCATAAAAGATTTGATACTCCACCAGTCTAAAGTCAATTCTGCTGCTAAGAAACCATATTTTCGACAGCAAAGAAGTTAAAATGGCTGTTGTACAACCAGGAAAACATGGCTAACACTCATCCGCATACATTAACCAACGCAATACGTTAATTAATTCAAGCTTCGCGATTCTCGTAGGCAACGTGGCGCGCCAAAAGCGCTTTGAAATATAAAATAAAGAAGATATTTTCACAAGTCAGAATTCACCATTGAAATGAAGAAAATCAACAACTTAGTACACTCACAACATCAAACTTACCTAAAGAGGCGTAAATATGCCGATTTAGCCTCGATTTGCGCTTTCAGTGAATTTAATATTAGTCGGTGCGATTCACAAATTGTGTGACTTAAATTAATAAATGCAATTCTTCTTCAGATATCACCTAATACCGGCGTGTTCAAAAGAAATTTCCAGGCTCAGTGTTTGAGACAAAAAATATCACCAAAACGACCTTGAAAGGTGAAATGAACAATCAAAATTGATAAAAAGTTCATTTTAGAGCTGCGGTGAAAGGTAAAGAAAGATTTATTTAACCCCATACAGGGCGATCAATATGCTAAATAGTAACTGTGAGTTTATTCACAGGAAAAATCTCATTACATCTAGTATTCCAGCAATGCATTTCTCAAAGAGAAAATGGAAGAAATTGTTTTCAAAGATCAAGACAGCTTATATTCTCTAGACTTTCCTTTTGGCTGAGAGAGAGACAATTTTATCGATATCACTTCTAACTGATAATTCACGCATTATTGTACCTGTTACGGCGAGGGAAAAACTCTGGTAACTCAGAATTCGAGGAAAATGGGTGAATTTAAAGACTTCATAAGAAAAATAAATGCATCAGTACCGCCATAGGGATATGAATTGAGACACCTGCTTGTGTTTGCTTTAACGCGGTAATTTATGCAATACTTGTCGAAATACTCTACTACGTCGAAAGTAGGGCCATTAATCACACTTTAAATAACAAGCGCGGATTTCTGCGCGCTGAACTCTGTAAATAGTGACCCATAACCACAGTCTTTTTCGAATACTTTGTACAAAGGTTGCTTTGTTCGTGACTTGAAAGAAAAAACGTCAGCGCGTTGTAAGATAGGGTCTGAGGAGAGCGTAAATACTTGCTTGGGATTAAAGAGAGGCGCGAAAAAATACCTCGCCAACTAACGTTATTTAAATTTCACTTACATAAGTGGTCACAATAAGACTTCAGGAAAGGTGGTCTATTAAAGGTATGCGTGTGTGAGATTTGAGAAACTTTTAATTGGTTTTTTTTTTTCTATTTTTTTTAAAATTAATTTATTTGTTCTGGCTTGTATTCGCTTGGAAAATTATGTATTAAAATACCGCCGCGAAGCCAACTTACTGATGTAAAACACAACTTGGGAAACTCTAAAATTTAAAACAATCTGGCCTCTCTCCCTTCTCTTGGTTTAGTCGAGAACTTAGCTTTGCATAGTTTAGAGTACGTAACGAAAGACCCTACTTCACTAACCTTGAGCCTTTCAACATCAACCTCGCTTTCAAGCAAATTTAACTCGCCCGATAAGCGATCTTCTGCCCTTAGTGCCCATTCCAAACAGCTCTTGAGCCCGCACTCAAACTCGTGCCAGTCGACGGAAGACTTCAGCATCTCCTCTTGTCTTCTCTGAAGGCGTTCTTTCACAAGAAGAAACCGCTGATCAAGGGAAATCAATTTGACTTTAGCTTTATCGACGTCTGCGAGAGGGAAAAGCTCTAAGACGTCACTTGCTCTGTCTTTGATTTCAAGAAGAATAGACTCCTGGAAGTCCAAATTGTCTGAGAGCATCTGAAAATATGATGTGCAAAAGGCAAGAAAGCGAAGTTTTACCATGAGAGGACGCACAAAAACAGAGATGAATATTTACAATAGTCGTTCTTTAGATCATCAAATACAAACAAGCTATGCGAAAAATGTAAGAAGAAGTTATCAATGTATAATTAAGCTCTACGACCGATAACACAAGAAAACGATCCCTTTTCAAGCTAAATCAATAAAACCCTTCCACACGGCTCGCCGGTGTATCGGCATTTAAAAGTTGTGAGACCTGACAATATTGCAAAATGATAATATTTCGCTAATAGCATGATCAGCCAAGCACCTTTCCCCTCGCTTTCAAGGTTCTCTCGGCAGTCAAACCTTGCAAGTCGAACCGCAAAAAAATTGCTGAATGACGTTTTCACGATTGGACACAATGAGCATTGTTAGGTAAGGCTCTGAAGTTTTCCCGCGCTTGGAACCTTTTTACTAAGGCCTTGACTGGTTCTAACGCGATCAAAGCTCGTCCTAACCTGATGTGTCTCTCTTCGATCCTCCAATTCTCCATCATCAATGGACTGGAAATCCAAAGACTTTTCGATCATGGCCAAATTGCAAAAGCATGTGTCCATGTCGCTCTGGAATTCCTGCCACTTCCAAAGTGTCTCTTCAAACTCCTCCTCTTTCTCGGCCACGTGATCTTCAAGATGTTCGCATTTGGCTTTAAGCGTGACAAGCTGTTCTCCAAGCTCCTCGCTTTCTTTCAGGGGAACGGAGTTCATAAGTTGTTGACACCTGCTATCCAGGTCTTCGACTGAACCATGAAGATCAGAAACTTCTTTGCTGATGGACTAAAAGTGGATTAACTTAATGAGTTCTGACTATTCCTTGCGCTTGGAAAAGCACTCTTCCCGAGGGTTCTGTTTATTCATTTCTAATGCGATCTGGAAGCTGGGTATCGTGGCCATCCTAAGTACATCGAGTGTTTCCCAAATGATTCACTTACAGCAAATTTCAAGTGAAGCATTTTCAAAGGAAAGAAAGTTTCTTAAAAAATTCCCCTCTCACAAAGGGTTGAAACTGAACATTCCAGCTCTTACCTCATAATTCTCCCTTTGCTCTAAAACTCTTGTGCAATCATAACTGGATGTTGTTAGGTCTTCTGTTGACGCTGCCAATTCGTCTAACCTTCTGGCAACTGTCTCCATCTCGTCATTTAGAGCATTTACTGCTTGACACTGCTCTGTTTCCGCTATTTTGTACTGGAGTTTTGTCTGCAATGCCTCCCATATCTCAGCTAACTCGTCGACTTTAAACTGTACCTCATCTCTTCCCTGCGATCCATACGGTTCCATCATGGTGAGAACTTTGGCTTTTTCTCTCGCTGTCTGAAGTAGGGGAGCGACATCATCTAACTGTTGCCGGCATTCCTGGACGCAACGGTCAGACAAAGAATACTTGAAGTAATTCTAAAGCTACATCCTTCGCATAATCTTATGCGTGTTTAGCATGCATACATTAGTAACGACGAATTTTTCTTCTTGGCAGGGTTTCGCCGAAGTTTTAAGTGACATATTAACAACTTCATCAACTTGAACTTTGAGCGCAACAATAACAGCAATGTCTATGAAAACAGAATTGAGCTGAAGGACAAACAAACCACGGAACGGTACTGATTTATTTTCGCAGTATAATTTTCTTAGCCTGAAAAGGGTTCTTGCTGGAGTAAATTTTAACCCGCACTAAAGGGCTCATAAATGAGCGAGGCTAAAATATCAAGCATCAACGGCGTAGGTCATAACATTATGAGATACTTTCCAGAGGAAAAATACCACACAATCGAGATTTTACCTCAAAGTCGGATCTGTTTCGCGTTTCATCCTCGAGCTTCTCTTCTATTTCACGCAGACAATCATTTGCTTTAACTACTGCCTCGCGGTACTGTTTGTGAAACGAAATAGTCTCATGCAGTTCTTGTTGTTTCTTTCTGGCGTCGTTCCGGAGTGCTTCAAAACTAACCACAGCGGACTCTTGATCAATCGACTCCTTCCATGGTATTGTTGAGGCAACATCTGTCATGCTTCCCATAAGGGATTCAAAAATCTCTAGTTTCCCTCTTAAATCCTAGAGGGAAAAAAAACTCATATTTACAATTAGAGATTCTGAAAAAAAAAAAAAAAAAAAAAAAAAAAGCAAATGGTGTTCATTCATAAACAGATTGTCACAAACTTACAGAAAAGGAAAAAAAAGTGGATATCTTAAAAAAGTAGCAGGGAATAATTAAACCCAAGATAACCCCCATAAATGTCCTAAGGCCCCCCTCCTCCCTCCCCTCCAAAAAAAAAAAAAAAAAAAAAAAAGCAAAATGACAGTTAAATGTGCAGAAAAAATATCCCAATAAAGATCACCGAGATAGTTAACTGATTAATCAAAAGATTTCTTGGTTTCAAGTATATAACATTGATGGGAAGAACTTTAGTCATAGCTGAAGGTGCTTTAGACCCAAGCGACCATTCCTAATCTTTTAGTCTTCTAAATGAAGTGCTCCGCGTTAAGTATTTGCATTGTTGAGAGTGTAATAAATATTAGTCATAACATATCTACACACATAAAATACATAACACCAACACCAACACCAACGGGGTGATGTAGCAGCATTTGTTCAGTTGTACTTAGTTCGAAAAGGGCCAGCACGAGCGACTTATCATTCTTACAGAATACTAAACAAGACTTCAGCAAGTCACTGTAGAGCATGTTTTCTCATGTCAGCCGCTGGTAATTTAATGAGGCAGATCGGAGCCAGTTTTAACTTAGGCGCAGGTTAGATCGCGTTTCCTGATCCTTAAAGGATTTAGCTCGCTAAGAAACGTCCTGTAGTTTAGTGGAGGAAAATGGACAACGATGGGGTCAAATCTTTATTGAAGTCTCATATTTTGGAATAGTTCTTCACTCTTGAAAACCTTTTTCACTGCAAGGAGCACGTGGCACGCTTAAGACGAAACTGATACTAGCAGAAAGGACGGATGTGTCACACATCCAGCTGAAATTTAACCCAGTTCGATACAAGTTTCTCTCAAGCTCTAATTCAGTACACGGGCCAGTTCAGTAAACGATCAGTACACGATCAGTACACCAGTCCATTACTGTAAATGTTTTTGCCGCTCAGTACAACTTGAAGCGTTAAGGACGCATTTTTTTTACGGGGATGCTGCGCTTAGCGTTTCTTCGTGACACAACTTTAGCTCTCTTTGTTTATATGTACTTCCGAATATTGACGTTACATATTTCGCCATCTTCCTGTTGTAAATGCGGCGATTATAGAGAGAAGCCTTAAAACTGTCCAACTTGCTTAACATCTCGCGTGTTAGGTAGTTAATTGAAGGACCACTCTTTCAATGACAACTTACAGAAGAAATACCCAGGAAGATTTATAAGACATGCACAAAGTACAAAATCTTTTATTCCCGGGATATTGCCCCAATCTCGTTTAATTAATAAAAAAAATTCTATGCAGTCACGGCAAGGGGTAGGGTAGGCTAATGAGATCATTAAAAAAACGGGAAATAACGAAGCAATTTATCATTTCTTCATCCTGGGGCAATCAACTGTGTCGGAAGATTCGCAGTTGGTTGTCGAATGATAAGTAAATTCTTATTTTAGAACATTTTGTGAATATCAGTATCCAGACGCTAATATTAAAGTAAATTCAAACGTATTCAACGTTTCCAAACGCTTGTATTAAAATAAATTTCTTTCTTTCGTCGCACGGTCTGTTATTTTAAACAATGCTTGTGTCAAACAACGATATTTATATCAGCACGAAATGAGTATGGGTTTTTTTCGCTTCCAATGCAAATTTTTGTGTTTTACGAGCGAGTAAACAAAACCTAACTTCACCTGGTGAAAAAGGTCGCCTCGCCAACGTTCAGCATATATTGTAAGGAATATGGTCGAAGTAAATGTAAAATTCTCGAGTGAATTCTCGAGTGGTTACATATGGGTTATAAAAATTGAAAAATTCGCTATGTTCGCGATAAAAACCGGAAAAATGACCTCAAGGAGGTTGGCGGAACATTGTGGATTTGAATATGCTAACTAATGAAGGCTCACACGATTTGGCGAAAACTACACAGACATTTAGCCATTAAAAAAAATCAAACGCTGATTCAAGATGAACGAGTAATGATAATGAAGATCACCGAGATCAAGAGAATGTTTCAAAGAAAACAATCATTTTGGGTAAATTTTTCCTTCTTGTAAAATAATTGCCAAGTTTCCTTCAAGGAGACGATTTCTTTGTGGAAAACTACTGTGATTACTGTTTAACTTTCACAACAGATTGTCGACGGTTCTTGAGTAGAGGTATTTCTAATGTTTAAGCCACAAGGATTTAAATAAAATTATTTTAATATATTTCTGAGGTATAAATTACCTGAGTTTTCGACTCTAAAGCTGATATGTCTGCCTCCGTAGTAGAGTTTATCTCATCGAGCAGTCCGTCAATTTCTTTCGCTTTTGACTTTGCTTGCTCCAGCATATCAAGATGCTTCATACAGCTGGATATTCCATCTTCGAGATGTTTACGTTGTTCATCCAACTGATCTTTCGCTTTCTGCCATTCTTCGTTCAGCGTTCGAAGTCTGTCCATGAACTCTTTCTGCTCAACCTTCTTCAACTTTCCGCTGACCTGTTCACCTCGTGTGTTCAAGGATTTTTGTCTGTTTTCGACGTCTTTTTGTAACTCCTTGGAACACAATAAAAAACAGAAATAGGTAAGGAAAAATCCTTATCAATGCACATTTTACAAAAATAGAAGAGGAAGCGTTTTTGATGGTTTGTTATTTCTGTCGGTGTTCAGCGGACATACGGTGACCTGACATGACGAATACTGCGTGACATAAAAATACAAAACAATGACGACCACAACAACCACAATAAACCATATAACAAAGCACAGCAAAACCAACCAAGCAAAGTACACCAAAACAAAACAGATAGCGGCTAATAGAAATCAGTCTAGTGCGTCTATTTTTCCTTCAGTGCGCAACGCGAAAACCAGACACGTAAGGACACTTTGAATAAAGTTTCTTGAAATAAAAACAAGCTTAAAACTACGTTGCCTACAAAACAGAAAGAAGAAGTAAAAGCAAACCCAAAATTCTCTTTGCTACCTGTTTTTATGTAAGGTTATCGTATAAATATGATATTAGAATTAAGACTACTTCAACGTATCCGTAACGGGTTTGGTCTCCAATGACACACAGGTTTTTAATCTGGCGCGGTCTCTGTAGCTCTCAAAACCTTTGCCCACGCCATTTATTAAAACAAAATTGGAGATCAGACGAGTGCAGTGAACTGTAGGTACCTGCTCGCACGTCACAAAAAAACAAGGCCTTAATAAAACCTCTCTCTTGACAAGCGTAAACATTGCCGATAAATATTGTACAACCTGTTGTCTAGCAGAGGAGTTCCAAATCTACACTGACACAAAATTAATTCACTTCCATTCTAAAAAGAACAGTCGAGATCGTTCAGCGCTCCCACTGAAATGGTCATATCTCATACCAAACATAATACAAACACACTTGAAGGAGGAACAGGGAAGGAAGACACGACGGCCATCGAAAAACGCAATAAGGAAACGATGTCATCAGTACACTCTCTTCTCTGCAACCGAATTTCAGTCGGCAACATTTTTAAATTAAATATTTTAAACGATGTTATATGACAAGGTCATAAAGTGGGCATTGGCAAAAAGATAATAAAAACTTGAGGGAAAACATCCGACACCGCAGAAATAATGAACCGGGATTCATTTAACACTTGACTAACCTGCCTATGGGGATCATTGTAATTTTTAGCTTCAACGACATGGAAAGTATATTTACGAAATAATTACCCTATCTTAGGGCAAAAAAAGTCCTAAGTTTTCTCAAAATCCACTGAAACAGCTGAAGAACACAAAAAATAATTAACGAATTCGCCGTCGTTTCCTAGTTTGATTTACCGTTGTCGTCGACTTAGTAAACGCAAGATCATGTAATAACATTAAAGAAGGCCTCCGAGTACGTTCAATATTCAAATTTTTCTTTGCCCTGCTTAGAACGACTTAAAAAGTGTTTATTGAAGATAAGATGATGCAAATATTTTGTGACAATCTTTCAAGCCATAGCAACGACCGCCACCGTTTTGCTTCCCTTGGACAATCGTCCTCGTCAAAAGCAAAATGTCAACCGGAATTACAAAACGTGTTCACTCACCGCATTTCCTTCAAGGTAAATAAAATAAAAAATGTCGGGGATCATAGTCATGTTGAAAAGGCGATAACAAGTCTTTATCTTCGGTCCATGGGGTTGGTAGTCGTTTCGCAGTTTACTCGCAGTCATAAAATGATCAATCGCATGTGCTATTGTTTTGAAAACAAAGAGGAAGCGGTGGACTTCATTTGAAATTCAAACAATGTGGTTGATTATTTTTCACGTTGAAAACTCTCGCGTCCTGTCATTTCATCAGCAACAGCAATAGAAATTGCGTTAGCTTATATCACTCGCTCAGAGGGCGGTTTGAGGCGCTGTGAGGCCGTGTTACGAGAGGAATGAGGAGAAAGAAAAATCTCCGTTTTTCTCAGTTCAGCTCAGCTCGAAAAAAAAAAAGAAAAAAGAAAAACCGACTCTTCTTTAAAGATCTTTTTTAAAATCTTAGACTAGACTACTATTGGAAGTGATACTCATATAAAGGAAATTAACTTAAAATCAAGCCTAAACTTCGCTTTTAAAAATCACTATCAGCAGGAGTTTCAGTAACTAGATTGGGAAATTGAACTTTTATTTACTATTGATTTTATTTGATATTTGCTTACCTTTAAATTTTCCAGTTTTTCTTGAGCCTCTTGTAGAGATACAGGAACTTGGTGTTCAGCGGCACATCGTTCGAACGTCACCGCGGCTTCCCTAGCCTCGCTTTCAAACAGCTCACAGTTTTCCTTAAAATGCTTGCAATCATTATCGGCATTTTTTAACTGTTGCTTCAGTTCAGACATCTTTGCTTTCGCTTTTGCAACCTCGGGTGCCTTAACCCCACCTTGAAAGCTTCCGCCATATTTGAGATATTCATCAATCTTGGCAATGTGGGCGGCAAGAGTCTCCAACCTCTCGGACATTTGGGAGCTGTCAAGAGTTTGGCTACCCTGGTTTTCCTCCAGCACTATTACCGCATCAGCGACTAAATTTCCCGCCGTTTTAAGCCAGCCTTCCAAGGTCTGCTGTTCGGCAACCAGATTTCGTAATTCATCGATTTGTTTGGAAATCAACTCTTTCAAACTAATTCTCGTGTCATTCATCTGACGAAATCGTGTTCTTATTTCTTCTTTCCTTTCTTGAGGAGCAAAACTCAACGCCACATCCTCATTCCCAATCAGTGCTTCGTAATCTCTTTCCCTCTCCGAAACCTCTTGATCAACAGCCTGGCACACAACGAGTTCTTCCTCGGTCTGCTCAACCTCGCCTTTTTTGGCAATGACGTCTAAGTCAATGTTACCAAGCTTCACTAAAAGGTTTTTGTACAGTGTCAATTGTTCTATGCACTCGTTATCAAAGTCCTGCAGTTTTTCCAGCTGTATTATTTCTTCACCAAGCTGCTGTTGTGTTACATGTACATCTTCCGTCAACTCACGTATATCTTTTGCTATCGCATTTTCGCCGATTTCTTTTCGCTCTGGGCTTTCTTTAGCAATTTGATCGGTCATAGAAACCAACAGCAGCTTACAAGAATCAAGTTTTACCAACGCAACTCTCCGTGATGTAATGCCTTCATCAATCCAGTTTTCGCTTTCAAGATTTTCAACTGACTCAGGGTTATATTGGCTTTTTACTTCCATCAACAAGTCCCTTGTGCGGTCTAGATCTGTTACTAGTTTGGCATGTTGCTTACTGCGGCTTTTAATCTCAGCATCCCTGTCTGCGAATTTTTCTTTCAAACCTTTCAAACTGCTGGATATCTCTTGAAGATTTGTCAGCACCGTCTCTTTACGCTGTCCTTCCCCTTTGATCTTGCTACACTGAGCCAACAATTCTTGAAACATTTTGTACTTAGTCTCCAGAATTGAACGTAATTCAGTGTTAGCCATAAGAGCGCTTTCTAATTCGTTCATCTGAACTACTGGTGGAAGGTCTGTGTGGATAAAAGAAGTACACACATCCTGCACCCAACATTGCAAATTCGAGGTATCTTGCGCAAGTTTTTGTATCTCGGCCTTCTCTTTCTCTAGAGCGTTTAGTTTTCCCAAGGCCTCGGCTTTAACCTCTTCCCATCTCCTAACAACGGTAGCCAGCTTTCGTCTAGGATCAAGATCTTTCTGATCATAAGCGACGTTTGGAAGCTCATCGCATCTATCTGTAAGAAGATCAAGCTTGTTACGGTAGGACTTGATCCTAGAGCAGAGCTCTTGCATTCTCTCCACTCGTTCCTCCACAGATCCTCTATCATTATCCCTTGCTATGATTGCAGCTTCAAGTTCCTTAATACCTTCTTGGCAAGTGTTGTAGTCGTCTTCGAAATCTTTCTTTGTCTGAGCTAAACGCTCAAGTTCGCGTAGCTTTTCTCCTACTGAGGCCTTGAGCTTGCCCCAATCTCCCTGCAGATGTCCGATTTTTGCGTCAGGGTTACTGCCACCGCTTTGATTGATTTCGTCAGATAACAGTTTCGCTTCCTTCTCCTGCAAAGCTGTCATGTGATTGTCACGTGACTCCATGTCTCCATAGAGTCTTTTGAGCTTTTCCATTTGATCTTCCAAGGTTTCCACTGTACAAGAAACATCAACAGGGACAGCCGCTTGGTAAATGGTTAGCAAGCTTTCACAGCGAGCTGATTCTTTATCTAACTCGATGATATTAGTTATGCGTTCTTCTGCTCGATGGACTCTTTCTTTTGAATATTTTGCTGCCTCATTCATCGCTGTTTGAAGCTCCCGAATCGAATTCTCCAGCTGTGGCTTTTCCCTGGAATCGACCCTTGTCAAAAGCACATCCCATTTTTCAACAAGGCTGTCCACATTTGCCTTCTCTGATTCAAGTTCTGAAGCCGCTTGCTTAAGTTGACCGAGGATTTCGTTTGCAGTTTGAATATCAGTTCCCTCCGAATCACAGTTCTGAAGCGATTCATGCAGCGCTTTAACGCGAGCTAAACAAACGTCAACATCACCATGAATGTCACCCACTTCGCAGATCCAGGATTCAAGTTGTTCATACCTAATACGAGCATCTGCACTGATATTCTGCCATTCATCCTTAACTTCCTTCAACTTGTCTTGCAACGCTCCCCTCAGTTCCTCGCACCTGCTGCTCACATGATCACCTTCCTCTTCTAATAAACGAATCTGTTCTTCAAGTTCCTGGCATTTCTTAACTTGCTGTCTCTGTTTTTCGAGCTGGACGTTTGAGTTGTCTTTATCAGCTGAATATTGACAACCATCGACAGAAAAGTTCTTTAACTCGTCCAAAGCTACCTGACAACGTTCTGAGCAAGCTTGGTAATTGTCTCTCGCTTGAAGAAATGCCAGTAAGGTTTCCTCCTTATCAACTGCAACCTCTCTAAGTGTTTCCCATTTCTTTCTGAGGGAATCAAGTTTTCCCTGAAGATTGCTGTCATCTCTCTCTTCAACAACATCCGAACAACTTTTTTTCTCTTCCATCGAGGTTAATACAGCCTCAAATGATTCAATTTTGAGCAGCAAATCTTTAAGCTCAGCATACTGTTTTTCCGCTCTTGTATCGTCCAAAGAGTACATAATATCAGAATCAACTATTTGGGCGGCACTGTTTAACCATTCTTGCGATTCCTCTAATTGTTTTTTGCTTTCTGTGTATTCGTTGATCTTTGCCTCTGTTTCCTTCAGAAGCTGGGGCAGTTCTTTATTAAGATATTCAAACTTCTCACTTGCTTTTACCAGCCTGACTTGAACTCCGCTACGTGCAACAAGGTCTTTATTCCTCTCAAGAAAACTGCGGAACTCCTCTTGTTTATCATCCATATCAGTTTGCAAATAACGCAACTCATTCAGATGCTCAGCCAAGGTGTTCAAACTCACTGGACTCTCTAATGGCTTTTGCAAGACATCATTTGCTTGGTGCAACCAATTTTCATAATGCGTCACTTTGTCTTGAAATTCCTTTGCTTCTCTTAGATGCTTCTCCAATTCCACGCACTTGGCGGACGACTCCTCATGTAATCCCGTCAAAGTGTCGCACAAGCTGTTAAGTTCTTTCGATAGCGAATCTTCTATTGCAGTCGAAACTTTCCCAATGCCTTGGCCAACCTTCACTTTGGCTTGCGTAATACCATCAAGTGCTGTGGCCGACTCGTTACTTAGATTTTGGTATTTGAAAAGCTTTTCTTCTAGCTGCGGTACGTTTCCAAGCTCGTAAACTTGTTCCTCATTGGCTATCAATTCCTTTTTCTGCAATAACCACTCTTTACATGAAGATATTTGCTCTGTAACGTCACTAAGATCAGTCACGCAGTGTTCTACATCTCCGAGCTTTGCCGCCAAACGCCTGTGCATTTCTTCGAACCTGGCCTCTAACGAACTAAGTCGACCTTCTTGTGCTGATTGAAAACCCTCGTTTGATTCAAGTGGCGAATTTTCTACCTTACCTCGTAAGCTTTCCATCATCTGTTCATAAGAGGCGCATTCGTTACTTAAACTTTTAAGTCTCTCAACTTGTTCAACGACCTCCTCCTTTTCTGGAGCATGGTCGGACACGCAAGATATTTCCTTTTCGACATTATCTATCCAACTGATAACATCTTCACAGCTGTCATTAAGTTCCTTCTCTAAAGCAATTCGACGTTCAGTATCCGCTATCTTTTCTGAGAAGCGAGCGAGTGACATTTTCCATTTATCTACAACTTCTGAGTAACCATCTGTGGCATCTTTTGATGTCGAAATTTGATCTTTCTTCTCGCTAAGACTAAAAATCAAAGATCTTTGAGACAAAGCGTCTTCAAATTTCTTCTTCAGTTCTTCAACGTAAGCCTCCATTTCCTCAATGTCAGTAAAACATGGCGTCTCGGACAACACGGTGTTTTCAATTTCCTGCACGATATTTCTGCACTGTCTCAACTCTGCTTCAAATTCTTTCCCTTTTTCATGTTCACCTTGCAGTGAGGACAGATTGACATCCACCTTGCATTTTAGCTCTGTATAGGAGCTCTGCAAGTTTGACAACTGATACTGAAACGTTTCGTTTTCAGCTTCGTCAGCGTTGTTCAATAGTTTCTCTGCCTTTTCAAGTAAAAGTTTAAGTTCGCTCTCCTTTGACAAGACCAACTGTCGTCGTAATTCAAGTTTTTTCAGTCTTTCCTCTACGGAGGAACTTTGGACCTCTTCAGAGCAAGTTTCGATCAACTCACTCTCAACCCACGACTCCAATTCCTGATAAGCCTCTTGGAAAGTTTTACTTTCGTTAATTCTCTCCTGCAGCTTAGCAATTTCCATTGCCGATCGCTCTTCTACTTCTTTGACAGAACTTTTCAATTTAGCCACTTGCGATTCGTACATTTCATTATCCATATCGTCGATATCTTTTAAAAACACGTCGCTCTTCGCCAGCAGTACATTCACTACATTCTCGGAGGATTTACTCTCACCAATGATGGTCTTCAAACTTGCAACATGCTCTTCCAGAGAGGCAACATCGCCGGAAACAAACTCTGACCGCGAAATTTCGTCTGTTGCTTTAACGATCCACTCGTTGCAATTTTCCAACTCTCGGCCAAAATCTTTACAAGATGCAATACGCTTTTCAAGATTCTCGACCCTTTTACAGGTATTTTCTCCAACGTACTCCCACTGTGACCTCAAATCATTCACTTCTGCTCGTAACGCAGACTGCTCCGCTGGTTTCAATTTACTGAGAACTTCTCCGGTTTTGGTGTGAACAGAAGCCAACGCGTTCTCTGTAGAAGACAAAGCTTCTTTTGTGAACACAACTCCTTCTTCCAACAACGGTATGTTTTCCATTTTTAACTCTTCGTTTGCGGAATTTTCCACTTTATTAATCAACCCTTTACATTCAAGCAACTCTGTCACTAACTGCTCTCTCTGGTCTAGCGTCTCTTGGTCTTGCTGAATCTTTCTTGAGATATTCTCCTTGACGTTCAGAAGTTTTTCTGTCAATTCGCAAACGCGGGTGTTGAACGCATCCTGTATTGCTTGACAGCTTGAAGGCATCATCTGGCTCCCTGCCTCAATAGATGCAATTTCGGCTTCGCACATTTCAACATCACATAAAAGTCCTTGCAAGCTCTGCAGCTCCGATTCAACGGCTTCGAATTCGTCCTCACTCGAGATATTGTTCAGCCTGAACTGGGCATCCACCAAACTCCGTTCCGCTTTTCCGAAATCCGATTCTAATTGTTGAGCCTGAGTAATAGCATCTTGAAGTACGTTAGCTTGCTTTTCCATACTTTCTCGGAAGTTTACCCATTCCGTTTTTAGTCCGTCCATCTGGCCTGTAACGACCTCCTCATTACCCAGATTTTCGCTCTCCCACTCGGCTGCTATTTCTTTTCCTGTCAACATCAGTTCTTCAAACGCGGCTTTCTTTTCAAGAAATTCATTCTTCACTCCGCAACAGACTTTCAAAGCTTCTTCCAACCCCTCAATACTTTGAACTGACGTTGGATGAATTTGATTGGCTCTCTCGCGCGCCTCCATAAGCCAGCCCTTTAACTCACTCATGGTTACTACAAACAAGACATTCTTTCTCTCAAGCTCACTACCCAACCTAGCCTGTCGACTTCTCTTGCATCCGGCCTTCATTTTTAGAGACTCCCAGCCCTGTTTAAGCTGCAATAGAAAGGTCTCCAGCCGCTCTCTGTCTGGTGTTGCAGTCATTTTATCCAGCATTTCTTCTCCTTTAACGATGGTTGCCTCCAGATCATTGTAATGGTTTTCTATTTCGGAAAGCATCACCACCATTTCCTCTGAATTTTCGGCGCGAGTCATTAATGCTTTTACCCACTCTGACCATTTACCTACTTCTCGGCAAAAGGATTTCACATCCTGCACCATATTCTCATCATCCTCTTCCACATCTTCGACTGTTTCCCCGAGACACCGCCTCAACTCTTTTTCCTTTTCTTTAGATTCATATTGCAGCTTTGACCATTCATCTTTAACACGAGTCAGTTGTTCCATTACAGCTGCTCTCTCCTCGGGAGGGATTTTTTCGCAAAGGTTCTTTCCTTTTTCCATTACCGCCTGCACCATTTCTTCTCTGCGTGTTAATTCCTGACAAAGCTCTCTGTGCTTCCCCAGCTCGGCCTTAATACCCTCTATATCACTAGGATGAGCTCCGTCGGCTGCTATGGCGGCGCTTGCTTCTTGCATCCAAAGAACACACGTTTCCAATTGTTCGTAATAATCTGTCTGTTCTCCGATGCACCGTTCAATTTCATCACCCTGTAAATCGGATAGCGTTCGAACTTTGTCCCATCGTGAAGACAGGTCTTCAAGTTGTTTTTTGATACTGGCTCTCTCCTCCTCGTTCATTCGAGCAGATATCTTTTTGCCTTTGGTCATTATGTCGTTCACAAGCAAACTATGTTGTTGGATTTCGTTATACAGCTTCTCCTGTTTCCGAATGACGTCCATCTGCTCTTCTTCAGGAACAGAAAACATGTCTATCTGTAAAGTACTCTCTGCTTCTTTTAGCCACGAGCTAAATTCACTCACTTCAAGCAAAAAGTCTTGATTTTCTTGATTTAAACTTTTAGCCTTCTCCTTCTTTATGACTTCACGTTCCTGCACACGCGCAGATTCCTCGCGAACGCCACACATCTCTTTCCAAGTTACACGCAGCTTCTCAAGCCGCGCCTCCAAGATTTCCCGCTCACTTTCCGGGAGAAGATACGAGATTCGAAGTCCAACGCGAAGCACTTCATCTACCGAAGACTCGACGTGCGATAAGTCTTTATCTGTATCATTCATTTCCGTCGCATCGTTTGAGAATTTCTCAAGAACTTCCATACATTCATTGTATTTCACCTCGAATGTCTCCACCTCTGCAATACATTTGATCAGGTAATCCTTTTTCTCAGTGGCCAGCCTATGGACCCTTTTCCACTTATCGCCAACAGCTCTCAGTTTTTCTAACGTTTCTCGTTTCTTTTGAGGATTATCTTGAACGATTTTCTTTCCCTTGTCGCTGAGATTGTTGACAAATTCTTTCTGCGTCTGCAATTCCGCAAGTAAAGGCTGAAAAAATAATAAAGCAGGGAAAATAATTTTTTACTTATCTGATGAAACTTTGCTTTCAACACAAACGGGTACTTAAAAAAAAACGCTCTCTCTGATCATTGCACCAAAATTATCCTCGATTGATGAAAAGACGGCAAAATGAAAAAATGCCTCTAAGGTAAAATTAGAAGTTTTTTTTCTTTTTTAAAACAACACTTTCAAACACTATAGCATATGCTATAGCTCCTGTAAGAGGGCTTGCTCACTTCCTGTAAAAGGGTTTGTTCACTTCCCTACCTCACAAAGAGACAACTTTTCCTTCATTTCATCCAGTCCAGAAGCTATCCCAAGCTCCCACTCTCCCAAAGATGTTTCCACCTCCTCCAGCACATGCATACAACTCTGGACTTGCGTCTGAAAATCTTGTTGCTGAACGATACACTTTATAAGTTCTTCTTGCTTTGTTAAGGACTTTCGAATTACGCTGGCTTGCAACTCTTCAAGAGCATTTAATTGGCTCTCTAGGAAGGCGCGGTCTTCATTCGGGACCTTGTCCAACAGAAGGCGGCCATTGGTCAATAGTTGTCCGATTTCAGGCTGGGTTTGTTCAAGTTGGTCACAAAGGGTCTACGCGTAAAAAAAGTCAACACACTACCGTGAACAGAGATCTAATCTCTAAGACGTGATATTGTCATAACAATGAAAAAACAAACAAAAAAACCACAACCAAACAACGAGAAACAGGTAGAGAAAATCAATTTTTTTGGCGCCAAACCTTAACCGAAGCAAGTTGCTCCTCTAACACTTTGAGTTCCGCTGTGCTGATAACTGCTACTCCCAGACTTATGTCTGAGTTGCGCAGTTCAGTTAACCGTTCATCCAGCTCCTTTGTAAAATTCGACCATTCGCAAATCTCGCCTTCAACGTCCTGAACTTTGCTGGAGATCTTTTCCCTTACATCTGACCAGCGGCGTTGAAGTGTCTGAAGTTTACCGTCGATTGTCACCCTTCCCTCGCTGTTGCAGCGTTCCCTGAGGCGGTTGCCTCGCTCGTGTACATCGGAGAACTGTGCCACGTGGCCCTCAAAACTGTTTGCAACGGCCTAGAAACAAGCGAAAGGCAAAATCTTAAGAAAAGAAAACATTTTTAGAGAAGATAATTCGGTTTCATCACCTGAGTTGTTAATATAAATTGGCCACCGTAAAAAGCTTCAAAGCTGACGTTTCAAGCGTTAGCCCCTCGTCAGAGCGAATAAACTCAGTTGATAGAAGCTAATTAGCTTATTTCACTCCCCCACCGACGCTGCACCAAGTTTCTTTTGAGATCCACCCCTTTACTTTTTAGTTTCTCAAGAAAACGCTTTCTTCTAGATTGAAGAAAAACGCAGAGTTTACTTTTAAGGTTACTTTTAAACTCTTCTACACTGTATGCGCAGTCATTTTAAAGAAAACTTGGAAATTAGTTGCCAAGTGCCTTTTCAAACATTATGTCCCCGTTCTTTGATCTTACTTCAAGCAGCAGATCAAATTCAGATGGAAAAGCATAAGAAACTTCGATTGCTTAAAAATGAAAATAGTCGAAATCAGAGAAAATGAAGCAGCTGGCATTTATTATTGCTTTATAGTTCTCTTTTTAATTTTTTCTTTTTAATTTCATAAATATAGACCCTTCTGCAATTAGTCAAGAATTAAAATTGTAAATTTACCTTCAGTTTAGCAAGTTGATTTTGAAGTCCATTGTAACCTGGAACTTTAGAGCTCTCGCTCTCATGAAGGCACACTTCTGTGTAGTTCAGTACATCTCCGAGACGACCAAGGTCCTCTTCAAATTCACTCAGCTCGGCTACCATACCTCTGAGATCTTCGGTTCGTTCTGTAACCAGCTCTTGCACGTTGTTCCACATGTCGTTAATTTGCTGAAGATCAGCTTCTATGGATTGATTCTCTTCAACTTTATTGCTCAGTTCTTGGCCTTTCACGTTCACGAAGTCCAGTCCAAGTTCTTGGATGTCCATTTCCTTGCGTAAATTCTGAAAAAAAATATTTGGTAAAATAGTATAGTCGAGCCTGTGTGAAGGGGCACCGTATTATGCGGTCACTCTGTATTAAACGGTAAGTTGTCGAAGTTCCGAATTTGTTTTCCCTTAATCACTGTCGCAGTCACACTTTACTTAGTTCCAACGGCCTGTTTTATTGTCTTTTACCTGTATTGAAAGGTCATTGAAAGTGGGACTACTCAAATAAAATTAAGAATAATCTTTCACGTTGTTTTTAATCCATGTTTTTCTCCCAAAATCAAAGTAAGTAGTATTTTAGAGCGAGAATTTGTACACTTAGTGGTTTAATTATGGCATAAACTGACATTGTTATCGATTTTTTTGGTAATATCCCTAATCTGTGGAACCTGTAATAAGCGGTCAACCTGTATTGAGCGCCATTCCCCGTGGATGACCACTTCATACGGGTTCGACTGTAGTTATCAAATAGGCTTCTGCCCCAACATACACGCGCCAGGGAAAGCCTCTCGAAAATAAACTTCACGAAACGATATCTCCTATTTTTCCTTGGCTGTCAATCGATCTATCTTAACAACAGCAATACAAGGTACAGGGAAGAATTCTAGAACGACACTTAAGATTTAACTAGCCATGTGATAGATAATATGACATTACTAAAAATTGAACCAGGGCTCGACATGCAAAGACATGCCGTTTTTTGACATTTGTCTAGAAGAGGATAATCTACAGATATCTTAACTCTCTAAAATATTATTGTGCTTTAAATAGATTTACATCACTCGAAATACATTTTAGCCTTAACTGACTATCAAGTATGCACATGTTAATTACCTCTTTCTCCTCCAACTTTTCCTTAAGCGCTTCAAGATTTGCCGGTCCAGTAAACAACCCTGTATGCGTTCGCTCCAATTCTCCCAGCCACTCGGCCAGTTTGTCTCTGTTCTCTTCAAACTCGTTCCACATTTGAATGGTCTCCTCGATCACGCCTTTGATTGACAACGTGTCCTGACAGAACGCTGCCCAGTCTTCTTCTAACTGGTTCAACTCGCTTTCCACGGTGGCCTTACTATGACCCGAGATGACCTGGAGCACAGTGTCGCCCTTGCTGTAAACTTCACCGATAAGTTGGTCGTTTTTGTCCATTTCGTCCAGAAGTACCTTGCAACGAAAAAAAAGATAATCACTGCTTGACAGTTACACAGATAATTTTTTATGTCGTGGCAAAATTCTCTATTTCTAGTCAGCTTAATTCATTGTGATATGCAATAACCAGGAACAAGATAAACTAGATTTTTGAGCCATGAATAAAGTTGAAACAAAAAAGGGGTAATAACAAACTAAGAAGGACTGAAGATGGGTTAGACACAAGAACAATGAAAAGGAAATTCGAATGGCGAACTTAAAAAGTTGGGCTCCACTGTTTCGACGCACCAACCTGTAACTGATCGTTTAAATCCTCCAAACTCTCCCTGTTCTTGTATGGTTCTGTACAATTTTCCAGTGTGGCCTTAGCAGGACCAAACCACGCACCCCACTCCTGCACGGCAACAATGTACCCGGTGAACTGCTCAACTACAACGTCTATTTCCACATCCATTTCTGGGGCGGGTAGAATGGCCTGCTCAAGTTTAACTCCAGCTTCTGCTAAAGTTTTGTCAACAGACGCTACGTCTAAGTTCTTCTTGAGCATATCCTCCTTTAAGTCGTCTAGCTCCACTTTTTGACTTTGCAAGTCGTCTTCTAACATCTAGGGAAAATGAGAGGATTTTAGAAAGAGAATAACAAACACGGAATATTTGAGAAATCATTTATTTGAAAAAGAATGTGTTGCCTCTGCAAGCCGTTTGCATAATCGGCGAATATTTACATTTACAAAGGATATATTCAACTATTCTTCTACCAATTTAATTGTAGCCTTGCAAGAAAGGAGATGTAGCCAGACTGAAGCACATTTGATTTCTATTTGATTGGTTAAAATGAGGGTGGGCCTTACTAAAGTCATCACAAAAATCGAGTCCGGCTAAATGAATGCCATCCCATTTTCTTCTTTTCTGTTTTTGACATTCAATCAAAGATTGCTTGATAAGAAAGAACTTAAGCAAACCTTGCCCTCTCGAAGTTTTCGCTGAACTTCATCCACAGAATCATCGGGCGTGTAAGCACACACTGAGAGTTTCTTACAAGTATCTACAATCCTTTCTAGAAGGTCATCCAGCAGGGATTTAATCTCGTCCTCTGTCCTGTCAGGCCTTGATGTCTCTTCACCAGTGACTGTCTCCATACTCTCTTTGGAGCATTCCTCTACCTCCAATGAATGGTCCATTGATTTTGAAGCTCCCACCTTAGTATAGTCTTGATCCGATAAAGTGCCTTCTCTCGAGCGACTATCTAACAAATTCGGTTCGCTGCCTCCAACAAATACCTGGTTGCCTCGAAGAGCGTTCTCGATGAAGACTCCAACGTTTTCATCGAACTCGTCATCTTTGTTTTCTATGTTGATCGAGAAAGTGCTACTCGAGCTCCAGAGCGTGTCCATCGAGCATTCATAAGAACTCTTGCGATCACGAACATCCAAAGAGTTTTCGCTTCCGAATGAAAAACTCCGAATTCCTAATCTATGCAACGGAGCACTGTTGGGTTTGTCCGGAAGGAATTCCTCCTCACTATCGTCTTGGATACTGAGTTGCGGCGGGACGGAAGCAGGACGTCTAAGTTTTTCTAGTGTTTCCTTCTGTTGCTCGTCTAACGGGATGCCGGCAAGTTCTTGTACACTGCCCCATTCTTGAAAGAAGGGTTGGAAGGACTCGCTTACGTCGACATCGACATTATCAGAAAACTCTTCGACTATCTTTAAGGCTTGAAGACTGAGCCTTTTCAGCTGTTTCTCGCGTGAAGCTACTTCATCCTAAAAAAAATAAGCAAAGCAATTGTCAATTGTTCCCCACAAGTTCCGTCAAATTTGCCTTCTACCCATAAATCTTCTCATGTAACAAGCTCGTCATTGATTTGAGCCAGGTAAATTTCTAAGGTGGAGCCAAAACTGATCCATGCAACTTAAAAATCAGCACCCCTTTCCCTCTTGTAAGACAAATATAGGTGAATATTATCAATCCTATGATAAACGAAGAATGAAATATTATTCAATTCTACTCGAAGGCTAAATCAAGCAACGGTCATTGCTATATTTAATATCGTGTTCAACGTTGTTTCGGCAACTTTAACTATGAACAAACCTTAAGTTTGCGCCTTCGTATAACAACATCAGGATTCTGGTCCTCTTGATCAGCGGTTGTGCCCAGTTCCTTCTTGACGTCAATTATCCACTGTTGAAGTTCCTGTGTGTCTTTCTCCAGAACTTCGAATTCAGTAGCCACTTGTTCCAACGCCTGCTGCCTGGCTCCAACCTATTGGGATGATAAATACCCATTCCTTGTTTTTTTCTATTTGCCACATGGCTACACCTGTCCCTTAAACTTAATTTAAAAAATGTACATCCTAAAACACTTTTTAACGAAGCCTAAAAACCGGACCTCTAGCGGGTCATCTATACCTGCCTTCGTTACATTTGAGGTTAACTTCTCACGCAAACGTAAGTACCTGATAACCATTTATTTCTACTTAAGAGTTACTCTATTCTCTTAATTATGGGACTCCACCATGAGGAATACATGGCGAAAAATCAAGAGATATCGAGAAATATTTGTCACGGGAAGGATAACAAATCTTGAAAACGAAAAAAGTGAACGATACTCATGTTCTACCTTAACTTTGGCCTCATTCCACTTGGCGTTCACCAATCTGAGCTGTTCCTCGAATCCCTGCATATCTACCAGTCCCTGTCCTTGTTTCAGTTCTTCCAGTAATTCAAATGCTTCCTGATTCACGGCTTCCAGAACCAACTCGTTGTCCACCAAATCTTGTCCCACAGCCTGAGAAAACGACATAAAAAAAATACATTAAAAACAGCAGCAAACAGAGAGTCAAAACTCCAGATATGCACAGCACCTTCACCAGACTTTTCTGATACACGGTGGCCAATTTACATAATAAACTCAGTTCATGAGACTAAAATGTCTTGTTATGCTTCCCCACTGACGCTGCACCAGTTTTTTGAGAAACTTCCCCCTTTTATTCATTTCTTCCCATGTAAGGCAGGTAAAGTTAGCATACTTGGCAACGCAATGAAAGGTAGGGTTCCACTGCATGTGTTAACACAGCCATACAGAAACGTTTGCTTTCATGTTAATTACTATTTAAGGGAAACCACAGACAGACAGACACACAAAATCCAATTGTAGCTTATTTCTCCTTACAAGGGTCGTTATTACTTCCAAAAGAGTTGCCAGAGAAATTTCAAGGCAACAAAACAAAGAGCAAGTGGTTTGTCTCAGTTATTGACCGAAACAGAGTTCCAGCGCTGAGACATCACGCGATATGGCGTATTTCCATTTCATTTTCTGAGGGCCTTCCATGTTTATCAAATGAAACACCCCAAACTTTTTTTTGTTTGTTTGTTTACACTCTTGCTATCCTTTCACAATGCTCTTCATTGAAGTTAGCATAAAACGACCCATATGATAAAAAGAAAATTTCCTGTTAAAGGCCTAACAGTACCTTGCACTCTTCAATCTGCTTTTTGCAATCGTCAGCGTTCCTAACTTGCCTCCTTGAAACAATCCCTTGCGTGTTCTTAAAGAACGCGTTCATCTTGTGCTTCTGTTGAGCAAACCTGTGCCATTTTCCTGTTACCCTTTGAAAGAACTCTCTCCTCTCCGTGATGTTTTTTTGCAAAGCTTCAAATCGCTCGATCAGCTCCTGGATCTCCTTCATTGCGTTCCCGTCTGCGTCGACCTCCATCATATCCTGTGCCGCTTTGTTCAGTGCTTCTAGGTCACGCTTATGTGCATTCAATCGGTCAAGAATGGCCTGAAATACGACAACAGTAACATTCCATCTAAATCTTAAGGAAGCAGAGTTTACAAGCTATGTTATATATCATATTGCACAATCAATTGAACTAGAGGTGAACGTGACTCACTGCGGCAGGGGAGGAGGGAGATGGGGGAGGGCAACTAACCAATATAAATATATCAAGGATGACACAAATAGCACCTCAGAGGAAGAGTAAAAAAAAAAAAAGGCCGACATAATGACAGAAGAACACAATAAGTATCAATGTGAACAACAATAAAATAAAGGACAACCATATCAAATTAAACCCCCGACTACGCTAAGAAGAAAACAATGAAAAAATCAACCGGCTCGTATTATAGCGGAAATACTTGAACGTAGCAGTATAGCTGAACTTAGGCCTAAATAGGTTTTTGAAATGTGCCTTTACGCAACTTTTGTTTTCAGCATTAGCAGTTTAAGTTGTATGTTAATCTCGAGGTAACGGAAAAAAAAGCATTTGGTTATACCTGATAAGCAGTCAGCTGATCCTGGGCACTATCGATGCGATAGCTAGCAGCGTTCTGTATCTCCGCGTCTCCCTCTTTCTTTTTCAGCCACCGAATCATTTTGAGTTTATTCCTGGTAAAGTCCCACCACTTCTTGGCTGTTTTCTCGATGCTTTTCTTCTTCTCCTCCACATCCTGTATGACTGTGTGCCACTCACTGTTGAGATTATTGAGCTTCTCGTCGAAAGCAACGGCTTCACCTGACTCTTGCTGCAGCATCAGATGTCCTTCCTTCACCACCACGTCCAGATCAAGACATTGCTGCTTCCAAATATCAACCTTGGCCTGCATGAACATTTAAACAACAAATAATTTGGTTTGTCCAAGTTCGCCGAATTAAGGTCCACAAGGCGCTTCATGCAATCACATTTTTCTTCACAATCTGAGATAGCTTTCAATCACAGCAAACTCATTCATATTTCTTCCTTTCACAAAGTGCTGTTCGCGTAATGGTGGTCACTCCTATCATTTCTCAGACATATAGAAGTGACTACATCTAGCATCAATCAGTCGAAAAACACACGTTAACAAATTGAGAAAAGAAAATTTTATCATCTGCTCAAAATACTACCCTTGTAGGGAAATTTTCCACAAAGCCAGAGTTTATAGATCCAACGATCTTTACCCATGTCAGTTAAGGGTCGACGAAGAGGCGTTGGGTAAGAGGAGGGAGGGACCACAAATAGATATTTTGAGCTTCTGTATAGCAGAGTTTACCTTGACCCAACTTAAAACACCAATAACATTTCAGTCTCACCTTTGCTTTTCTTGACTCTTCCTTTATTTTTTCCAGCACTGCGGGAGGTATGTCTTTAGCGGTACTTAGCTTCTCCTCGATCTTTTCCAGATATTGCACCACATGCTTAGACGTATCTAAGTAGTGACGTGAAAGAACAAGCAATTGGTATCTTCCAGCAGCCCATCTCAACATTTCGTCCCAACGATCGGTTAAGTTCGTGAGTTTCTCGCCAAGTCTTTCGGCTTCTTCACCTTTACTAGCTTGAAGTCGCACTTCGCGTCCTTCTTTCACGAGCGATTCAAAGGAGTCCTGACGACTTCTGAAGCTGGACTGAAATTCCTGGCAAGATAAGGCGAAGATTGTTCTCAATGACTTACTACATAAGCAATAACAGAAACGTATACAGGATTATTTTTGAAACTTTTCTTAAGATGTGACTATAGTTGCAACTGCTTAAAAAGAAAAACTATACGAGATAAGATTTTGACCTATAGTCAATTTTAATTCAGCGTTCCAGCATTTCGGGAGTGTACTGTTTTTTGTATTTTTTTTTACTTCTCTCTGTCTTCAAAACTTGTGCCACCTTCACCCAACGGAAACAAACCTTAAACCGATCGAGACATAATCACTAACGCTTACTTAAAGATCCACATGGTCATTTGTTGTCATTGTGTTTGTTTTGATTGACAGTATTTCTTACTTTACTTGGATTTGAATATGTGACATTGAATAAAAAAGCACTCTTCTGAAATTTCTCATAGCAAGTTTGTTCACATGGAACAGTACTTACCTCCAGTCCCTTCAGCTGTTGCATGACCTCCGTCTCATCACGTGGTTTTTCAATCTTAGTAAACCCCTCCATTTCCTCGACCCAAGCTATAAATGCGTCCAACTTCTCATGGAAGCTTCTCCAATCGCTCAGTTCCTCCTTGAGAGATTCTACTCTCTCTGGAATGCCGTTTGTGAGGGTGTCCCATTTTTTTCGCAATGAATCACACTTCTCGTCCACGAGCCTGTCTTGGATGTAAAACATGTACTTGCTGGTGTTTGACAACTCTTGATAATTTTCAACGGCTGACTTGAAGTCACCTTCACAGGTTTCCATCTCTTGTTTTATGGCCTGAAGAAATATACGTTTTACAGTGACATTCAACACCTCGTTCTTCGTAATTACTTAGGATCGCTTGCAATTTTCAGGGAGTACTCAGTATCATTCTGCAAGCACCTCTCCGTGATCGAACACTAAGTACCGTACCTAACTATTTTGCATGCTTGATTCGAACATTTAGCCCAGACCTGAAGAGAACCAAATGTTACAAAATTATAAACACTTTTCTATCCTAACAGTACTATGCAAGTTTCCGTCACACAATAACCTTGTTTATCCCCTTGCTCATCAAGGAGGTCCCAAGCAAAACGCAAAATCGCAGCCGAAAAGAAGGGTTTGGAATCTCTAATACAGCTTAATTCCCACGCTCGTGAGAACTTTTCACTATCTTACCTCGTAATATTCTAGTGCCTCTCTCAAGCTTTGTTCGTCCCTACTCGACAATCCTCTTTCACTCTCCAGTTTGTCTTCAGCTTGGACTACCCAAGATTCCATATTGACCAGCATCTCTTCCTTGTCCACCCACTCCATTCTGAGGTCGTCCAAGTCTTCAAGCTTTTTCTCGGCATTTTGCACGGCCTGGCTCCATTTCTCTTCTAGTTGCTTCAGAGTGTCTTTGATATCAAGATCCTTGACTTTCATGCTGGCCGAAAGCTCGGAACCTTTCCAGATTAAGTTGTCAAGGACACCTCTTAATTCACGCAGATCTGCGAGGAGTATCTGAAACAAATGGCCACCAAAAATGGTTGGAGGATCAGGACATTACTATGATACATTAATACCTGGTCACGCTTACCCTCATAACTATTAGCGCACATTCGACCCTTGAATCGGAAGCAGTTAGGGTTCGAGTCCTCATAGTGAAAGCTCTTGACAAAGATTGAACATATTATTAATAGATTCGCCGATTATGAACCGCATGAAAACCTTTGGTCCATAGTTTTCCACTTATTTCAACGAAATCAATGCCGTAAAAAAAAAACCAGCAACAACAACAACAACAAAAGAGATATTTTACGACGTGATAATTCTAAATTATCGGCAGGGTCGGAAATTGTCTAAGAAAACCAAAAGGGGGCAAGATGACAAAAAGAACGCAAGTGAGCCAGTCGCAATCGGTTTTAAAAAAGCATCTTAGTGGTGTCTGTTTTCTGGATAATTTTCGTCATTCAGTAAAAATTTACACGCTCGACGCATTTCAAATAGCTTTTACTTCATACTTTATCTCCTTCTATGAAAGTAGCGACCTCTTCCGAACTTCCAAAATAGGGAACCTGGGAAGCCAGTTTCTCTTCCAGTTCTTCAAACCGAGAAGTGAATTCTTCAAACACTTTTTGATACTCATTTAGTGGCTTCAGACCCTGTTCTGCGTTGCTTTCAGACATCCTCGCCTTATCGAACAGTTCATTCCATCGCTCTCTCAAACGGCACAACTTTGCTTTGAAGTGCATCGTTCCCGCATCATTCACACCTTCGGAAAGCTTGCGGGCTTCTTCCTGGAAGACGGTGAAACTTTGCCGACGTTGAAATAATTCATTTGATACTCCCTGTCAAGAGGAAAGAAAACAAGAAAAAAAAAAACAAAGACTTTTTTAGGTCATTCAATTGAAACGTGCAGATGCTAAGAAGATGAATAAATGACTAAAATAATAACCATTCTTTAGGTGTATTCATAAACTACATGTATGTGGTAACATAGAGTGATGACGCGTGACCTCTTCATAGTTCCGTCAGAATAAAAATTTCGAAGCTCCTCATGATTTAGAAGGTACATGATCTCCTCCTACCTTGACTTGAGCAAGCCATTCCTGTGACACTCTGCTGTCTTTGCGACTCCTTTCCAAACGGGAATCCACCTTGTCCATGTACTCCTCAAATTTGTCCATCTGTTCCTGAAACCCTTCCCACTGTTTGGCTTTGTTGTCCAGGTTTTCAAGAAAAGCTGCTATTTCGTCGAAGAGTGACTTTTTAAGTGATGAAATGCTGTTCAGTTGGTCCTCGATTCTCGCTTTGCAATCCTCACTGGCTTTCATTTTGATCGTAGTTCCGAGAGGAAAAATGAAGTTGAATTCCGCTAATTGAGTTTGGAGATCTCGTTGAAAGTCCTACAAGATAAATAAGAAGACACGCAAGCCGCGGTTTGATGGCACTTAGTAAACAAAACAAAAAAACCTTTAGATTTTGTTTTTAGTCTGTCTGTTTGGTTATGTGCCTATCTTTCGCTTTGCTTGTTTAGTATACCGTGCACGACCTGGAGAAAATGTGCTAAGGAATAATGTATTTGCCATGCTATTTCATAATGAAATTTCATTTCTTTTTTAATCATGTATCGGAGTTCGAATACCATGGAACGTTTTCTCGGAATAAACAAAACATTCTCTCTTTTAAGCAAACGTTGAATAATTTCTTTAGAATGTGTGCAATAAAAATAATCATCCCATCGTTTTCGTTGGATGTGAGATAGTTGCATCTAACTGTGCGCGCTTTACAATCGTATCCACATGGTGTAATTGCCTCGCACGTGTTCGTGACTCGATTTCGCACTATTTGGCGTGTAAGAAATAATTCGACAATCGTTGTCTTATAAATCTGCGGTTAAATAACATCTAAAAGAGTTTAGTTATCCGAACGTTTTCCATTTTGACGGGTGCATTTCCCATCACCTGCTCAATTGTTCGGTGGCCAGGATCACCACACTCGGGGAGCAGTCTCACGTATCCTCAACTTATCAACGCTTTTTATTCGTTTTTCCTCTCCAGTAACTCACTTTAGTTGAAACTCTTATACGAGGTGGCGTGTTCATCTTTTTTTAAATTTTCATACCTGAATTTCTTGCTTCTGTTCTTCCACTGTCTCGATCCCAGTGACAATCAATGTCTTCCTTCGCATAAGTTCCACTTCCCCATTGGCGAGAGCCTCTTTAAAGTTCTCCAAAGCCGCATTATAGCGGGTCCAGTTCTTCAACGCAGTCTCCAATTCCTCGTTCCTCTGTTGACAATCATGAGATACGTCTCTTGAGAGAGATTCCAGCCTAGCCACATTTGCCTGCATCATATCCAGAACGCCACCCACTTGACTGAGTTCTTTGCCTTTGGCGATCTCCTCTTCGATTTGGATTTGGTGAGAGCCTAAAGATTTGATAATGTCCTGCGGCATGAAGATAAAGTTTATTAAATCTTTTGCTCACAACTTCCGGAGCCATACCATACATGGTATGAAGGCATTAAAATTTTTCCCAGAGTGAATGCTTATTCACATCAGGTAAACCCAACAGGTTTCTCTGATAGCTCGATCATATCGTGTAATCTTCAAATAGCAAGAGACACTGTGAGCTTCTAGTGTGCTTTAAAAGAAAGCGCTAATCGCTAGACAGGCAGCGCAACCCGAGATTCGAATTTAGCAACACCAAGTCAAGATTTACCCAAGAGAGTTACATTTTCAAGGCAAAAATTCGAAATGACAGACATTATTCGTGACAATGAGAGAGATGTATTCGACAGTACTTTGTTATTTCAGTTACTTTCCCTCTCATCGTTATTTCTTTATTCCTACTTATTCCTGGTCCCATAATAGCCCCGAGGAAGTGACATTCTACGACCCAGACTCCTCACCTTAATATTCTCAAGTTCGTTCTCTGCATCCACTACGCCATCAACACAAAACTCAACCTCGAGGCGACTTTTTACCTCCTTGAGAAACGTGATATGTTTTTGAGTACACTGCTGATGTTCAAAGCACCGGAGCATGGTAGAGAGTCTGTTACTTTTGTCACGCACGGTAGGTAACGCAGCTTGTACTCGCCGTGTAACGCCTTGAACCTCATCGGTGAACCCTTGATTATTCGAGGATCTCCCAAGATTTTGTGACAGCTCATTCAGTCTTTGTAGTGATTGAATTTTTTCGTCAATTTCAGACGAGAGAGCCTGCGCACACAAAGGAAATGTAACGTCTTCTATCAGTATCAACATATCACCAAGCAAACGGATGCGGAGACAAAGACAAAGCATCAGTTTCAATTAAAAATAAAAAAATTGGGCAGTTAGGAGAGATCAATACCAATCCAAACCTGGCAATTAAACTTATAGCCGTGCTGAGTCGCCATTCGGGCTGAGGTGAATTTACAGCAGAATTTGTCGTTGTCAGGGACCGCGCAGCAAGTTTTCGAGTGGGGGGCTAAAGAAGAATGCGTGAAGGAAATTTTTTTGTTAAATTATTTTTTGTTTAATTTATTTTTATTCTAGCAAAAAAGTGGGGGGGGGGGGCTAAAGCCCCCCCAGCCCCTCCCTCTGCGCGGTCCCTGGTTGTACGATACTGGCGCATCATCATACTCGAAATAAGTTTATCAATCCAATGAAAGTTAAGCAACAGATTGAATTTTTCTCAAGGAGTTTTGCGACTTAAACTGTTTCTCCGACAAAAAAGAAAAAACTGTGCAACAAATAGAAGGTTTCGAGACATTACTGGTGGATTTTTAATTGAATATCGCCTCACATAGTCTGCAAGTTTAGGGCAGATAGCGTGAGCTCATGTGCAGTCAATGGCTCTCACATCAACACTAATTAACACCGACTTGTGCTTATTGCTTAACTGTAAAGCTGATTAATAAATACACAGGCCTGACGCGACCCTAATTTATGCGGGCTGTTGTGTATTCTGCAGTACGAGAACAAAAGAGCGTGGCCTTCCGCACTTTTTAGGATGTAACATTATACCTTATAAAGATCATTTTCCATTAAGAAATAATGAGACTTATTCCTAATATTCCTATTCCTAATGTTTCCTAATAAAATTCATTTGCTCATCTCATTTCTTTCCACCATGAGGGTTAAACTAACCTGAAATTTCTCCATGAGAGGTTGAAATTCACTATAATCTTCCACGCATTCCAAGGCTTCACAGGCTTCTTCTACCTTGTCTACCCATTCCGTCAGTAACCGTAGATTCTCCTTGTATTCAGAGTAGGCATCTGCCATAACCTGGACTCTGGGGTGCAGTTCTTTGATCTTGCCCTGCACATCTTCCCAGCTAGATCGAAGTTGTTGCATTATTGCCTCAAACTGTTCCTCTTCTTGTGGGGACTTCACTTTGGACTTAGTTTCCTGAAGGTTATCGAAGTCTTCCTCGATGCGACGAAAAGCTTCTGGGGAAGACAGCACTCGCTGAAAGGACGAAAATGCGTTACAAAAATTACGTGAACAGTTTAAGTTGAACTCTGGAACTAATAAGTCCGCTACCCCCCAAAAAAGGCTTCGATGTCAACTCCCTATTAAGTTCTTCGTAATTTTTTCACAGTGTAGTTGGAACATTCTTAAGATTGCGTTGCGTTTTTCAGAGCTATCATTTGCAAAAAAAAATTTGCTTGGCGATGTCCCTATTCAGACAATTTTTTTTTTAAGGCAGCTTCTTCCTCAAGGAAAACTGTAAAGACAAAAACTTCTAGGGACTACTTTTTTGCGTAAAGAGGATATATACATGAAAAGAATATCCAAATACTGTTCTATGTAAGAATAAAAACACGCAAAACTTCCAGAATTGTTCCTTGCAAAAAAGACCAAAAAGCTTATGGACTTAATCTCACCGAAAAATTTAACTTAAAGGAAATATTTACCTGGTAACGCTCATGAAGGTCCGCAGTGTAGCCTTGGCTGCTAAATTGTTCATTCACTTCAGCCCACTCTTTATCAAGAGCCTGAATATTCCTATCTAAAGATGATCGTAACTCCTCAACATGGCCTCTTACCACCCGCGATTTCTCGCGATTGTACACTTCACCCCACTCCTGTGTGATAAAGGAAGCTTCACCCTCCAAACGTCGCTTGACTTGTTCATTGGGAATGATGGTTCGGAGTTGTTCATGTGTTTTTAAAAGGTCTTCGTATGTTGCTTGTGCGTCTTCTAGCTCGTCGTGTGATGCCTGTTAAGGAAGAAAATATAATAATCTGTTTCAGTCATAAAAAACAAAGATACCCTTTTTTCATATTCATAGCCTCGATTTCATTAATTGCCGCACATATATCATTTCGAAAATTACATTTTGTTTTCTTTAAAAGTCCTGGCGGACTTGGATTACCTTCGATAAATCTGCTTCCAGAGTCCACGACCGCATTTTTTTGGCGTCCTCTTCAAACTGTTTCAACAGCTTATAACATTCTTCTAGATTTTGAGAATGTGTTTCTCTTCCCCCTTGCACTATTTTCCACTTGGTGTTGAGGGAATGAAGTTTCTCTTGTGGCTTTGAGAAGTCAACATTTTCGGCCACAGAGTTTCGAAGCTGGAGGTACAGGTGGTTTCTGGACTCCACATAGTTACTATGCTGGTCAATGTCTTCAAAGAGTTCCTACGTGAAAAAAAAAAAAGAAATTGTATTCATATTAAGTGTAAGATGATGGGGTTCGGTTGTTTATCCAAAGTCGCCAGGAACACAAGTTATCAAATGCCCCGAAGAAAAAGAGAATGAAAAGGTTATGGTTATTCGCTTTGCTTGGAGCGTGAAAAAATCCTCCACGAATAATCAGACCCGACACCTCTAAATTTCGCGGTCCAGTACTCAGTAACTCAGATTCTCCCGATTGGATAGCTGTATAAAGTTCATTAAAAGGAGAACATCTTTCTTGTCAAAACGATCGAGCTTAACACTCAGCATCTTGGTCCTCCGATTTTGAACACGTTTCCACAGGACAAGAATTTTTGCTCTCTCAAAACAATAGTGTCTGGCTTTCTTTCTTTGGAGCTTGAAGAATTGTGTTTTTCTCTAACCGTTCCCTGACCTGTGACGGCCATGTTGTAACGCTTACACGATTTTCCGTTTGTTTTTCATACTTCACGGTACAATTCCATTTCACCTTAAAAATTGCCAACTAGGTCAAGATAATCTCAAGCAAACTGAATCACTACGAGGATGGTTACGGATGAAGAAGCTTAGCTTGGATTTTGAAAAGCGAACTTGAATCATTCCGGATACTATATGATCTATAAACATGGGACTAAAGGTGACTTAGCACTCCACCAACCGTGTGTCTTCCAAGTTCTCTTTCGACTTCCTCCAAAGTGCTCACATTTTTATACGCTTCCAACGCCACCACTGCTTCATCCAACCATTTTAATTCGTCATCGAAACCAGTTTCAAAGAGTTCCAGCTGGGGTAGGATCTGCTTCAATGTGTGATACCTGAAAACACCCAGAACCAAACAATGTTCCGAGTTAAATAAATGTTTCAAATTCATTTGCTGTGACCACGACGAAAAGCTTTCATAAATGTGAACTTTTCGTTTAATGTACTTTTTTTGAAGAAGAAGAAGAAGAATGCAGTGTCATCAAAAAAGATTTCAAAATCTCAAAAATATATTTATACGCATTTTTGTGGACTTACGCGCGATCGAGAAGCATGTAAGGTTTCAGAAGACGCAAGGGGTACTATACATTGATGGTTTTTACTTCGATCACACAATATAGACGCTGAGGTGCATTCTGAACAAAATATTCACTTTGCACATTAAGACTAAAGAAGGTTCACTGTTAACTCACCTATGGGGAACTGAAGCTTTAATTTTATCAAATCTTCTGTTGATGTTCGACAGAGTTGCATTAATGGAAGAAGCCATATCTGTTTTGAAGTCTTTCAGTATGCCTTTAGTGAGTCTGTTTAACGAGTTCACATTTGACTCACATTCTCCGATTTCTCTCTGTGTCACCTAAAGCCATGAGAAACAGAGGATATTTCATGGCCGCGCGCGGTTATCAATTTTATGGACATCAGAAGATAAATTCGTATCCAAAAGCAGGAACACATTGTCCTTTTTAGCTATAGATATCAGTTACATATTTAAATCAAAGACAATTTAAAGAGCACGAGTTTGTCCCTTGTAGTAAAACAAGTTGGTGCCCCTCCCTTTACCGGTTCACCCCCAAATCTTTCAATTAGTTGGAGCAAAACCTCTAGATTCACCCAACTATAGCCCTATGCCGAGAGTTTTTCAAGAACATATCGATAACCCAGGCAAAGGTTCACGCCGACACCTTCACATCCAAAGTATATTTTATTTAACGCCTGTCCACGGTTCTCTCGCACCCCAACAAAAAACAAACATACGAGCAAAACAGAAGCCAAAAAACAAGCATTACCTCAAGTCTGTGAGTCCGTTCTCTGACGGCCTCATATGTCCCCTCTACAGCAGAAGACACAAAAAGCTCGGCGTCGTAAATCCAGTCCATCACCCCGTCGACTGTTTCTTCGAACCGCTCCAGTTTAGAGTTACGCTTGTCGCATTTCATGATTCGCGAATTTCGTCTGATGATCCGGTTTAGACGTCGATCCATGTCACGGAGCCTCTGGTTTATTTCAATTTTTACCCGGTCTTGGCAGTACACTGTGATTGTTTTACTACAATCCTGCACCGTTGACGCGTCTGCTTGAATTTTCTCGATATCTTTCAAGTATTCCTATAGTTTAGAATGATGAGAAGTTCCATGAAAATGTTCGCATAGTTGGCTTTAAAATTCATGACCAGGGCGAATTAACGTCGCTTTCAGTCGATTTCCCTGAACTGATTCTCTCGTTTTATGTAAAAGTCTTGGAGGCAAGGCATAAACTATAAAATATACTACTTTAGAGTAACCCAGGTCATTAACCTACATGCTATGAGAACAAAACAAGTCGCTTTCCTTCGGTTCCTTGTTCTAACTACTGCTGTTCTAACTGTTACCTTCCATGAAAATAGTCTAATGCACAAATCTTAGGACTTCGCTATTCCGCACGATGTTACATAAGGTACGCACCTTACAAGCTTTGAGAGTTCCGTTTGTGATTAGCGCTTCAGCATCCTCCATCCATTTGCAAACAGACTCAATCAACGTATCGAACGTTTTCCACTTCTTGTTCACATCTTCAAGGTGTCTATGTCGTGAACTGGCCTCTTCCATGATCTTATCCACCTGTTGATCTACGTTCCATACAAGGCTTTTGACTTCCGTCGTGCGCGACTCGGGAAGGATGTTCATGTACGCCTCGGCAGTGTGATGAAGATCTCGCCGATGTTTCTTGCATTTCTTGAGGACGTTTTTGTCGACAAAAAACATCTGTAGAGAGAGAAAAGGGGATTTTTTTCATGAGAAGCCTAGGAACTTCGACAAAATGGTGGTTTATTTGATAGCTTTGGGATCGTCAATTAATTCTTCCACTCTCGTCTGTGATAAGGTTTGAATTCCCTAACTTTCCGCACAGACAGCTCATGGGAATTGGGAAAATTATCAAAAGTAGGATGCAGTATGCCCTTAGAATATGACACCATGCTCTCGAGACAATGGAATGTGTCTTCACCAGTTAGCTTTCACATCTTGAAAGGGTTGGAAAACGTCAACTGGCGAGATACCGCTTTAGCAAACTGTCATGGCAAAATCAGCAAATAGTTCGAAAGACTAGTTGTTGTGAAGACCACATCTTAACAATTTTAACGTAATTTTGGGAAGGAATTATCCTTACAACTTCTAAGTAGTTCTCCTTACAAACACAATCGAGTACTATGTAACGAAGTAAGGAGGATTTGTCTCTTAACTTCGGGGCAGTAATCTCCTTAACTCACCGTGTATTCTTTCAGAGCCTTCTCCACGTGACCCTGCGAGGCGTACTTGATTGGTTGACAGTTCATTTGCTTCCGTCCAGCATCAAGCTGTCCTAAGATTTTCGACCTGGATTTCTCATAAGCGAGCCTCAACAACCTGTCAGCGGACTTCTCTTGGACTGCTTTGATGCGCATGTCGACTTCTTTCAGTAAAGATGCGTCCACTATAACATCGTCGTCGACGCCAGATTGAAGAATGGCATCCAGGCCCTTGCAGTGTTCATCTAAGTCCTTGAAGAAAGTCTGGATACAAATAAGACAAGGCCGGTTACTCATCACAAACAAATAGCCACCAAGGAAGTCAGATTATTGCTTATCATTTCTACATCCGTTAAAAACCCCTTAAGGCCTAGGTCCCCTGAGCAAAACCTCACCTATTAAGGGGAGGATTAAAATTTAGCGCTATTGTCTACGCTCGATTTCAAAATCACTGACACCTTAAAAGCGTTTACAATGAACGGTGAGACCTTACGGCCTTGAAGGTCAAATAAACATGAAAACTGCCATAACTTGCACGAAAGCTATCAAAGCTTTCCTGAAAGAAAGGATCGTCATAGAAAAATATTTTTTAAAAGTAAATAGTGAGAGAGGTGAACCACTAATTATGTAGCTTCCCATGATGCCGTTGGGTCTCAACGCTTTTGCATTCGAGTGTATATTCTATACGTGAACTTGGTAGCCTCGAGCACGAATTCTATCATCAAGAAATCACAAAAAAGGCATAGTGTCTCATCTTGGAAGCTCGCCATACTGCTCAGAACAAGAACTTAAACGAAATGTGAACGCAGGACATGTCAATGAATGTGTTACCAGTCCCAACCGTTACCAGTTCGTCCAGCCCTTAACCCTTTACACCCTAACATCAGTAGGCATATTCTCCATACTGTTCTCTATACATTTCCTGGGTTCTAACGAGGAGAATTTGTACAACCGTAGAGAGCTTCGTCAGTTTCTGATCATTTCCTTTATTCTGGTGACTTAAACATTTGATTCAAGGGATAGATTGTGAAGAGAAATTAGAACCTTGTCACTCTTAGTAATTAAAGAGTGAAGCAAATTTTTGATAAAACTACCTCGCAGACGATCAATGTCATCAATGTCACTCAAGAAAGCTGTCGAATAAAAATCGTCCTATTCTTTTTCCAAATATACGAAAGAAAGACCCTCAAGCCACCTATTAAGGCTAACCTCGTGCTGCTTCAGTAGAAATTTTGCGGGAACCTCGCAAAGCCAGCTCTCGTCCGATTCATAATAGTTAAGAAGGGCCTCGGCTTCGTGTAACCACAACAGCAGGTTACCAAGCTTGCCATCTTTCTTCACGTAACGTCCTACTTCCCAGATCCTCTCTTCCAACACGGTTACTTTCTGTTTGACTATTTCCCACTTTGTGACCAGCACCTTAAGTTTGTCTTCAGCGAGGGTGAACTCGGGGTATTTTTTCTCTACAATCCGACTAATGTGATACTCGCGGCGCTGAATTTGCTGTCGAAAGATTTGTATCTGTTTCTGTTGAAGAAATAAAACATTCTCAATGATAATGCCTTCCAAGTTAAGAACTTTGCTGTAAAATCCCTCCAAACTATGCACTTTTCCTCTAGAGGAATTACTGTACCGGAAGTTAGACTTTTAATCTTGGATCAATACGAACTGCCTTTCTGACAAAGGTCAAGCAGTGGGTTTCTACAGACATTAGAATTATGTGGGAATGTAGCGCGACTCATTTCTCCACTTACACATTTGGGTGTCCCAAAGTGCGTGGCTTCGTGTGCGTGACCAAGAGAAAATAATGGTCCCCTAATTATTTCTTTGGCGTGACCCAATGTAACGACCCAGCAGAATTACGTCATTTATCACAAAAACAATCCCTAAATAACTTCTTTCAAATTTCTTATTTAACCTGAACTTTTTCCAGTTTTTCCTTTTGGATAAATTGGTAAGTGACAAACATTCCAAGCTATTAAGCAGTTAAGAGAATCTGTGTTAACATTTAATCGTGGTATGACGACTATAACTTGTGTTAAAATAACACAGTGATTAACGGTTATCATAATAAAATTGGCTACAAGCCTATCGCCTGATCAGCATCAATGCCCCCGATGTATGCAGCGATTGCCGTTGCATTGTAGTCGAAACGATGTCCATAACAACAAAATATCTATGTATAATCGGTGTTTTACGGTGAACAACTTAAGCGGCAAAGTGATCGTTGTCGGTATCTTTCGCCTTTTTTGCAAGCAAACAATCAGCGGAAAGAGAGCTCTGGATTTCAATCTAACCCTCAATTAACAAGTGCAGTCACGACTTCAAGTGGCCCGTATAACTTTACTGATAATTTTGTCCTAAGTTTGCCATTGCCCTCTGGTTATGTAACGAAGGTAGATTTTTGAAAAGGAAAACAAAAAAAAGACGCTGGAACATTCCGTACATTCACATCCACTACATTCAAATTTTAATACCATGACGAGCGTTTTCGTAAAGCGCCTTTCTCTTCAGAAAATTCATTCGGGTTTGTGTTTAAGTAGGAATACCGTTACGTTTTGAAATTTGTCTGGTCAAGTGGAGTGAAGACAGAGCTTCGCTCTTCACTTGCTTAAGTAGGTTGTTTAAATGTTCCTCGTTGACTAGGTGAGTTATTTAACGTACCTCGAGAGCGTTTGTTGACAAATTATCACAACAGCGACGTGCAGCGATCCAGTAACCAGAAGTCAGAGTTCCATGTTCGTAAAAAGTAAATGTTCCCAGAAAAACGTACATTGAACGACAACGATCGTAATTTTGAGTCGTAAAGGCAGCTTACAGCAGGCTCATTGTCGTTTTCTTCGATGTTAGTGCATAAATGGTCGAAGATTTTATCAATGCAAATTACGTGAAAAGATAAGTCGCAATTGTTTTTTTAAGTTTTTACCTATTGTGTGAGCAAAATAGCTTGAAATTAAACAATGGATTAACAGTTGCTTAGACACATCACTCAACAGAAAAACATTAAAAAGCGACGCTTAAGGTGGAAAATGGCAAGCGTTGTTTTTGGTAATTATAGCTCTGTTAAACGGATCAGTAATTACAGATACTACGCTTGAATGAATGCATGAAATGCTACACATTTTAAATCCTACACAAGCTGACTGATACGAATTTCAAATTTATTCACAAAAGGAAAGCTGTAAAAAAAGAAAAAAACCCCTGATCTTTCTGTCTGCATGCTACGGATTGGTTATCACATATAAAAGTGTTATTTTCCTTTACCAGGGTGAAATAAAATAAATGGAAAATGTCTTCCATACAATTCGCTGGGGCTTAGAAAAGGGTCATGTGACTTTTGGTAGACAGTTGTTTTTGTGGCATCTGCCACTCAATTGACCTTTTCTATTCACCCACGAAATTTCAAATTGTACTGTATAGTCATTAGTCTTATCTTTAAATCTTGTCGAACGGTTTAATTCATTTTTTTTCATGATGTGCCTGAATAGTTTTGTTAAGATTTCAGTAAAGGTCAGCTTCGGGCGGTCAGTTTGGTAAAATTACCGCTGGAGTGTGACAAAGCCGACCTCTGTGGCTCACGTAGTCACAAATGATGTAATTCGTCACGTTTTGACTGCATCAACCTAATAAGGGGGATACGGTCAATTGCATACGCGTCACGCCATAAATTTCAAACCGCCAGATAGATAATTGATTAATTTTGATTTAAGTTCTGTTAAATGTCTGTAATGCGTAGAGATAATTTCATTGTGTTTTCTACATGTCCGTGTCCTCAAAGTTTGTGTTTCACTGCCACCCAACGTAAAACCCACAGAAAAATTGACATATGTGTGACTGTGTAATAAATCGAATAATCGACAACATTTGATCTATGATTATGGTTGGTTACCTGAAAACCAGAGCTAAGAGCAAAAATGTTAGAAAGAACTTTAAAGACAACAAAAATTGCGCTGAGGGAGGGGATGGACCACATTGAACAGACTACCAACTCAGCGTATGCCACTAAAAGCTTGATTAGACAGAACCGTGAGTCATGTATGCTTATAGATGTCAGAATTAAATTGATCAGATGATTGCTTCGTAAGACAGAGGTGCACTGATAACTTCTTCACCCATTTACTTACGATCCGACAGGATGTTGGCGATTGTCATCAGAATCTCGGCAAAAACTGCATCGAGCATGTCATCTAAATGCAAGTGGAAGATTCACCCTTCACTATAGGAAGGGGCATGGAAATACAATACCAGCCGGTAAGGTAATGAGAACAAAGAAAATTTTCCAACAAGGAGGTATTGCTCGATTGAGCTGCTCTAGCATAAAATTCCCAAAGCTGAAATTATAAGAATGTATGAAAGACAGAGAGGAAAATAGTAATGAGATCTTTAGAGTAAGAGGGTAAGATAAGATAACCATGCAGTTTCTGTTAACATCTAAATCAACCCTGAGCGTCTTTTTCCCCTTATTTGTTGCTAATTGCGCATGGCAGTTCAACACTAAACAACGACAACATCACGGAGCGATATCAACATGGACTTTTTTGCTTGCTTTTTGTTTTGTTTTTCTCGTTTTGTTCTAATTATCGTCAACTTAAATGCTGCTAGCTGAGTCAGATGAACATTTCAATCTCACCCCTTTACGTTTCTTTTTGGATTCATCTTCTTCGCCTTCCTCGCTCCATTGTTGTTCCATCAGAGAAGCTCGACTTTCCACATCGTTTAACCAATCTATGATCTCCTTATATTCATGCTCAACGTCTCTCTTCTCGCATTCCACCTCAAACTCGTCACCATCATCCTGAAAACGTAAAGTAGAAAAATGGTTTCGTTTTCATAATGAAAGCCACTCTCTATGTTCCGAAGCTACACCTAACCAGTTTTTCCAGTGATATGCATCACCTATCGTTAGCATCAAAAGAAAAAACACAGAGCACTTTTAAGAAAATATACCGACCTCCTACCAATGAAAGATTTAGGTACACCTCTTGTCAAGGGGAAAAGATAAAAAAAAAGGATACCTACAGTAGCCTTAACTCTCAGTAACTGATTTTGCTGGCGAAAGACAATTTACAGTATTGCAAACCCAACAAGCGATTTTTTTTTATTTATTGGAAGCGTTTTTGTTGTCCTTGTTGTCCTCGATATCTGTGTTCTTTGATGTTCCGTGCCGCACTAAAACTTTATCTACTGCTTGATGCAGTTCGTATGAAAAATTTTAGTTAAAATTCCAAATTTACGGAGCACCCTTGACTCTCAGCTACTATTAAAATAAATGTCTAGCTTTCTTTCACTTCTAATAAAGAAATGTGTAAAATTGCGTAACACCCAAGAATAAAAAACCTTTTTCTCCTCTTTTATTTGGATTGAATTTCATAGTTCAAATTGAGCGAGTTTTTTGGGTATTTATTTCCTTAGGTGAAAATATGCTCTCAAAAGGTGACGATAAAGTCATTTCCATGTCTTTAATGCCTCTCAGCGGTCACGCAATTGTGTGATTTAAAGCGCGAGGTATTTCCTTGAGCTTATCGCTTCGGTTGAGTAAGGAAACTAATTTCAGGAAACTTTAAATATAAGATGTGAAATTGGAAGAAGTTTTACTTGATGTGTTAAAAAACACGTGCGATAGAATGCGTATTTTATCACAATAACAAGATTTTCCTTAAACGTTGCAAGTGTAGAAAACCTTTCGCCATTTAAACGACATAAGAAAAACAACAGTGCGGTAGGAAGCTCTCTACCGAGGCTTCTGAGCATAACTAATGTCCTCTTATTGTTCACTGTTTAGCCCATTGTACGAGCACATATAATACTAGACTAGTGTAACAATAAAACTCACAACACTCCTTACCATGGCGATACTTCTGATAAGGTAATCATGGAGAAATCTTTTCCTTTCCTTGACTAGAGCGTTTTCTGTTCGTTTGTTTCTTAAACGTTCAAGAGCTTTTAGACCTTTTACAGCACAAAGACGCTGATGATAATGCGTTTTAACATGAGTGGCTGATACTAAACTCAAGCGAGGAAAAATTACACGTTCACTTCGATCAATCGCTGCGCTTGAACTTTGTTCGTGAAAGATGATTGCTGATAGTGACACGAAAACAGACGCTACCTCAAACCTACCTTACCCTTGACACAGCGTTGTTTTCAGGCCAGATTTCTACTGGGAATTCTTTAAGAAGATTAAATTCCGTTGCATTGTTCTTAAGTACCTCCAAAGTAATTGGAAAACTGGTTACAATGGTGCGTACCTTGCACACGAGGTACGCTGTGTTGTACATCGGCGAAAATGAAAACAAACAAAGGCTAACAAAAGAGATCGTATCGGTTTCATTCGCAAAACACGATCTATCAAACAATACGTCAAAATCACCGCTGATCAAATTGTGCTCTTTCATCCAGAAAATTAATTTTGACAGGGACTTAAGAAGCATTTCTGCACAGATTATCTTAGAGTCACAAAGTTTCAAGCAAATTTAGAAAACAGTTTTATGAAAAGCACTTCTAAGTTTACTTCAAGGGCAGAATCGTGACTAAAACAGATAAAGAAAACATGAACTTAAAAACGTTTACGTCAAAACATGAAAAACTTCGCCAAACAAAACTAAGTGGTTAAACCTTTCTCCAGCAAACAAAAGTTTCATTAACAGTCTTGAGACTAGCATGTCTACTCCAAAACCACACCAGCTGGATTACTAAACTTAATTACAATTAACTCGTTATCTAGAGCATGCGAAAAAGTAAGAAAAAAAACCTCGTTCTTAGTCAGAGCTCAGCTTGACGTCCACCCACATGTAAACAACATTGTCTCCTTGGTAACCACCTCCTTTGCAGTTTCGATGATTTTGAGAAATTTTGGCTGGAGAACTTTAATGCCAAAGAAATAATTGCGGAAATCGGGAATCAAACCAACTGAGCAAACAAGCCGAAACAAAACCACCACATATAGTCACGAAAGCGATCATATTCTAATTAAGCGTCAACGAAACATCTCTGGAATTTTAAGATTTTCAAAACTGTAGCACAAGCTACTTACAATCGTCGATAGACTTGAGTGCTATCAATAAACACTTAGACTTTGAATCATTTCCTCGTGATGTAACGCAATCTAACTTACGCTGTAAACTGAAGGGCCGTCAGTAAGTGTTGAAGCCTGCACTGCTTGGGACTAAGAGGGCAATTAAGAAACAGAGTGCGGTATCCAAGTATGACACCCCTATACGACAAGATTTACTTTGCTGCATCTCAAAAGCTGAACTTGGTAAGTATATTATATATAGATTATACTATTGGGCCACTAGTATGACAGTTCAGTGTAGAAGAGTAATCAGATGTAGCTTGTACACAGCATTTCACTATGAATGGTACAGACGATGAAATTACAGCTCGCTTTTGTATCGATATCAGTCTTACGTTAAAAAAAAAATGTTAATGTTATTGCTTGTGTTTATTGTTGTTGCTATCGTTTCTGAATTTGTCACTTCTGGAACCACGGTTCATAACCTGCTTTAAACTAAATGTACTTTTTACTGAAAGCTCAACCTAAGTACTCCAAATTCAACTGTTCTTAAAATTAAGAAGCTATATAGTTTTATCTTCATTATTTGGGCGGAGTATATATATTTTTTTGTTTTGACTTTGCCGATGTAATAAAAAATGTATTAAAAAAAAGCGAAAAATTAGCCTCTAAAATTCGTTTGTAAATTACTTCATATGTAAACATTCTTTACTCTTTGCTACTCCTCTTCACGGCACAGATGTTGATAAAAATGTCCATACCTCGTACAGAATTTTACTTCTTCCACAGCACATAAAATGATGGCACATTAAAAATTATTCCAAGAAGTTGTAGCACATAAATTGTAGAAAATACTCAAAAGTTTTTTCGATGTATGTGTTAAGGTCATGGCAGCTTTGTTTCAGTCTGTTCCCGGAAAAATAAATCGTATAAAATAGAATGACAGTGTAAAGATTAGGTCGCTAAAATTGAGTTTCCCGTTAAATTATTTTTCAGTCTGTCCTACCTTACCTTAATATTCAAACGACAAGATGAAGGTTCTTACAGTTTAACTGTTTTAACGGTGTTTGATCACATCTCGCTTTTCTTCCATATTTACTTTAAAATAATCAGAAATATTTTCAATCTTTCAGACAAGAAACGAAAGTCAAAACTCGATAGGCAATCGTCACTTCATTGACGATTAATTTGCATCGTAAATTTAACCAAAAATTCATTATGCCTTTAATACTTCAGTATATATTCTTACGGTAAAAGAGCCAGCCTTTGAAATTAATCGCGACTTCTTTTAAAAAATAGGTAACTGAAATAAAGTACCCTTTTAAAGCTATGTATAAATTAAAATTGAACTCTAAAATTTACATTTCTACCAAAATTTTTAATGTGTTACTGTCATTCTCACCTTCGAATTTCCATTTCCATTTGATAAATCTCTATTTCCTTATGTCGGAGGAAAAGCAATCACAGAAACAGTTAAAAACCTATATATCTTACACAAGAGTCCTTATCTGATGAGTTAATACCCACCTCTGAATATAAAATGCAAACCAAATACTAATGTCAACATTATCCCGGCGAAGGAGCCATCTTGGTTTTGATATTGTTCTCGATACATGAATATTCATCAGGCTTAAGTCTGAACATCTGTCTAGCGGAGAAAATTATTGAAGACAAAAAAAGAACGGCTGACAGAGCTTAGACGAAAATGTCAATTCAATGAATTCTACGTTTTGTCGCTCAAATGTTTTTTCTCTCAGTGATATCTAGAATAACGTTCAATAGACGACAGAAGATCCTCAGTTAATCTTTTAAAGTGTTGAACCATTCAAGGATGTTGCCTGAGGCATACTTTTAACCCTATTACCAGAGAACTATACATTAAATATTGTTTCAGCATTTCAAATCGAACGAAATAAATACACCCTTTTAAATCAGCGACGCCTATCGCTGATTTGCCTATCTACAAATGCACAATTTTAAGAAAATATGACTTTATAACGAAACAATTTTTTTTGCTTGAAAATTTTACATGTCGCTTTGATCTTAAAATTGTTTTCTTCCCAAACCTTGGCCAAGGAAAAACAGAAGGTTTTGTCCTCAACATTGCAACGTCTACATTGGAAATTCACATTTAACATGCGTTTTAAATACGTTTTATCAGATAAAAAGATACGGAAAGACCGAGAAAAAAAAATAGACATGTTACACCACTTAATGACACTTCATTTCTTGCCGGAAGTATAGCGGGACCCTGACTGCCTTTGAATGAAGTCAATAATATCACAAAAAAATGATTACGATAGCATGCGGAGACTCATCTCTCCAAATTCAAGTTAAATCAACAGCTAATAAATGAACATGCAAGTTTAAGGAATATTCCTTGCCATGGCGACGACTATCCTAAGTTAATTGACAGAGTTTCAAATGAGAGAGGAGTATCATTAAAAAATACTCAACATGTAACAAAAAAATGTCCTTGTAACTTCATCGAACTATTGTACAGGCTTAAGCTTTGTCCGAAGTGAACTGGCAGTCAAAACACATAGGTCACGTAAATAATATGGCATAGTCAATCGTACATTACGTGACAATGAGAATATCCGAACCTGATTTTTAAGACTCGTCGCGTGCTGTGACGCGTGACACATAATAACGATTCGATACAGACATAATATATATTCCCGTATCAAAACAAAATGCGAACCTTGGGAGGTGAGGAGGACTTTGTAAATTAGAATGTAAACCACATTGTTCGACAAAAAGCATAAAAAAAACGGATATCGCTTTGAAGCAGCAAGTTTCTCAAACTGAGAAAAGATTAGCTGATTTGCATCCTAAATAGGATTCAACTGGATATATAAATTTCAGAATAAATGGAAGTTCGTAAGAAATAATAACTCCATCAGGAATGTATCGAGAACAATGAACGTGAATCATCGTATTTTCATTGAGAAAAATATCAATATTCGAATAGGGTGCTTTATAAAAGTTCGCACGTTTCGAACGCACCAGTTGTTGTTTTGCTAGATTTTCTCCGCAGTTAGTCCGTAAAATCGAAGTTAGAAAAAAGTGAGTATATTCTCCGAATCAAATGTAAAGTTAAGTTTGTTCTTCTGACGTTTCACATTCGTCTTGAACGGATTAAGTCTTTGCACAAAGCTACATAACGAACTGGAGGGCTCATCTTTAGGAAGGCAATTCTCTGCCAGTAGTTGTGCGAAAAGCTTACAGCATATTCCACGGTATTTGCATTTGAAAGCAAGATCGTAAGTAGACTGCTATTGCAAGTTAACACCACTTCATCCATGATAAATCATAAACATAACCAAAACAGAACTGAAACAGTCACAACATGGACATCACAAGCTTACGTCTAAAAATAAAACTGGTTTTCTAACTCAGGTGCAGCTAAAGGTACTTAACAGTCTACGTAATACCGCAATTCAATGTTCAGCTGAAGCAGTTCCTCTAAATTAATCTTGCCTATCTTGGACGAATTTGGCCTTTAAATAATTAAAACAAAACAAAGCACTCAGCATTTGTATAAAAATAAGCTTAACGCAAGTTTTAATGGACACCAATGAGATGAATCTGACTTCTTACTACCGCGATTAGGAATGTTAACGAGGAAGTTCTCATTCCAAAACACTAAAATTAATCTCTTTTACGATAACTGATTCAATCGAATGAAATTTCCCGCGACTGGAAGAAGATTTACTAAATTTTATAACGCAATTAATATGTACTGTGCCAACACTCCAAGGCATATAACTATAATATAATAATTGTAAAAACAAACTTTAACGTGTGCACTTAGTAGTATCAGCAGATATCTAAGAAAAACGTACTTCGTCATTCTCTAGCAAAAGAAGGCTGTAAATCTGCTCCAAATCGCCACAAATTGTGGAACTGATTTCGCGTCAAATGTTCTCACCGCAGGCAGACATTTTGAATGTCTTTTGTATATTCATCAGCATAAACACAATAATTACGAAGGATTTTCTTGAGGCATAAATATTAATAAGAGCTGGGATATTTTGACGTGATGAGTGGTATCATAGAAACGATGATGGGAATGAAATAATTCACGAAAGATTTGAAATCAACGGCACCAAAGTCTAACAGAAAACTAATACACCACGTTTAAACGAAGGAAAAGATGAACTCTAGGAATATGCCGCGAATTTCATCTTAAACGGCAACTTTTACACTGGAGAAGCTTGCAATTCAAAATGTAGTGTGCATAAAATTCTCTTTTACACAACCAGGAAAAAAATTCTTAATAACCGCTTACATAATTTTAGCGGTAGAGAAACGACAGCTGAAAGGTTGGTGTCATGATTGCTTTTGAGCCCGCTGTTGTTTTTTCCCATCTTCATTTATCTATTAACTTCTTCATTTTCAATATTTTTTTCATCAGTGTTGTGAGTATGATGCGGTAGTTTACTCTTGCTGCCAATTCAATTCAATAATCGGGGCTATTCCCCTTGTTGCTACTATCATTGCTTTTGTTATTGTTATGATAAAATTCAACCGACCGTCGTTGTGCGCCGCGACCCTAGTATTAATTACACAGAACTTGTATAACTGCATGTTTTTTTGCGAAATCTCACATCTTTCAGTGTCTTTTCTTAACCCTTGTCTGTTTGTCTGTGTGTTTGTCTTTCTTTTTTCCTCTTTTAATGGTTCTTTGCTAGTTCTTTCCGATGATTGGTGCGCTCACGTATTGTTTCATTGAACTACTATCAGGCGCACAAGTAAAACAAAAATAAAATATCGAAAAAGTGATCTCACCTCGGACTCTTCCAAATCACTCGAAGAGGAATCAACATCCATCGGCGCAGGTCCCGTTGAGCTGAGCTTACGCACCGAACTGAGCGACCCGGCAAAGCTTGCCCTCTTCTTGCGGCCGGAATCGCCGGCTGCAGACAGCTTCTTGCTTTCCACAGCGAGTGAATGCCTCTTGTTCTTCAACCTATCAGCATGATCCGATGCCACCGACAGTTTCCCATGGCTTACCCGAGGCTTTTTCGGTGCAGCCGAAGTTGGCGAAGGGCTGGGCGATCGAGTTTCGCGTCTCTTCGGCGGCGAGGGATTCGTTTCTCTAGTGGGAGAGATGTCCATGGGTTCCTCCACAGTAGACGTTTTAGGACTTGGGGTTCCGTTTCTAAAGCTTTCCTTGGTAGCTGAGCTTAAGTTGGGTGTAGTCAGCTTTCCTCGGACTGTTTCGTTTCCCGCGGAGGAAGTTTTCTGATCTTTGGATTTCAGAGGCAATGAACTTCTTCTAGTCTGTTCGTTTGTTTTTATGGGAGGGGTAGGTGAGGAGGTAACTGCCTTTTCGTTACCTCCCTTCGTTGGAGAAGTTGTTCCTGTTGATTTTGTTCTTGCCGGAGAGGGGCTCCTTCTGGCTTGCTCTGTCGGCGACCCGGGAGAGCTGGGTTCGGGACTAAGAGTTCTAGTCCCGACTCCTTTTGAAGAGGGGCTCGGAGAGCTCGAGGACGGTCTTTTTGGTGAGGTTTTCGACGGTGAGGCAGGTCGTTTTGGGGACTTCGTTTTCTGTGCCTCAAGAGTGTCACAGAGTGTCGCCACATATGTCATGACAGATCTGTCATCAGGTTTTTCCACAGTAAGGTCTGTGAAGAAAACGTCACACGCTTGAAAGAATGTCCTAAAACTCAAAATTTAAACTATTGATTAACTTTATCATTCTCGAAACGGTATCTGGTCTCTCGGACCAATCAGAGAACAAAGAAGGAAGGCGAAACCAGTACCAGGCGCACGAGAGTCGCACGAAAGTCACGCGAAAAGTCACGCGACCCATTGAACCTGTTGGAGGTGTGAATCTGACAGAAGAGCCTACGAATAACCAACGTTGATATTAAGCCTGTTTTCAAAACATAACCATTTACGAAAAGTTTCCTCTCATATCGATTACAAGATTAAATCCTATTTGGTGTTTGTTTAGTTTGAAGACTGTGTCTAATTTAGTGCAAGGTTTTTACTAAGAAATCTTTCTTGAAGAACATAATTTGTTGTTGTTTTTTTTCACTGTTTTCAACGAAAAGAAAACACCTGTGTTGTGGACCCAGAGACAATTATTTTACTGCGCAGAAAAATCGTTCCATTACTGGGCCACACTTAACCCTACCGAAGTTTATTTGAAACTGTTCACCATAGGTAAGTTAACGGAATATTCCCACACCTTCTGGATCCAAAAGTTTGGGCACTTTAAGATGTGTCTCAGCCATATCGAACGCTTCCTTCAGATTTGTAACGTCGCTACGACCTTGCATTGAGCCGATATCCACCAAATCAGGCCTAAAAATTCAAACCACAGTAATGCATATGCAAGTTAGAACTTCAATGAGTTATACACACAATTGTACGGCAGTCCAAAAAGACACGACACTATGCTACACATGGAAAGTTCAGGGTTCGAACACTGTTGCATATCATAAGACGTTACGTTTCTGACCACGTTTTTTCTGCTGATCATATAACAAAATCAAACTCTGAGGTAAATTGTAGCGAGCAGGGAGACAACCATCCTTGTTGTGATGATTTTACGAGAGCTAGCACCCTCCTAAAGAGGAGCAACAATTCTCACGGCGCCTGCTTCACTTCGAGACAGTCGACCAAAGCTAAGAATCGGTATTGACTAGCCTCATGCCTCTAGTGTGAATGCATTCTTTAATTGTTAATTTTAGCCCAATTTACCGCTTTCCAATCCGCCTTCGTAAACAACTGACCAAACTTGTACAACCGCCCATTTCCAGGTTGCAGTTAGAACGAAAGATTTCGAGTTTAAAGCTTCAAGCGTAACACTTGACAAAAAGGGAAATGTTGCGAAAACAACCATGTTTTCTAAACACGGCACTAATTAAATAACTTCATCTATTAAAACAAAACCACCTGCAAATTAATTTACTTGCAGATCCATAAGTGTATTTAAATGAGGTTTAATCTTCATTTCCAAACCCCTTTACGCAGAGCGATTCGTGCCATTAAAAATGTGCGTAATTTGAAAATTTCATATATACATCTACTTCATACGCACACACAAAAAAATGAGCGCTTTTTGTTCGCATTGAAAACCTTTCTGGCTACTCCACATGATCTCTTGATGTGTTAAAATTTACACCCCAGACTTGAACAAAAAAGAACCCTAAAAAAAGAAGCTCTTTTTTTATCGCTGAGGTACATGTATTATGGTTGATAGGTGACAGGTACCCTGCACAACGTCATGTATGTAAAAAGGATAGGAAAGATTTTTAGTAAGTGGTTCGTCTTGACTCAGTGATATTAGACTGTCCTGATTACTTAAATCTCCTTTACATAACGAGTCACCATCACTAAAATATGCCCAAAAATGCCTCAAAAATCGTACATTTTGTCCTCATTATCGTTTTATTTTGGAAAAAATAAGCATACAGCACGAATATGCAACTTCATTGAAGTGTTCATGCAGTTTAGAGTCCTGTGCTTATTCAGTCCCTTCAAATATCAATACGACTAAACTAGAAATTCCCACCAACAATTAATTCCCAAATGGCGGAGGATGAAACAGGTGATCATTAAAAGATACAGCGGAAACGTCAAACACGCGACAAACAACAAACTTTGCACTCACTTTGCTCGCGGGGTGCTTGTCATTACCTAGTGCATTCTGGGAGAATAATGTTGAGGCTGTGAAATGTCTGAACACATAGCCAGGTGGCAGAGCAGATTCGACCTCAAATTTCGTGAAATACTGAGATACATTAATGAGGTTCAGCTATTATGTCAGTTATGTCTAATATCTCCAAAGGGAACATCACTAAACTAGTATTTCACTGATAAGTTTTAATTGATAGGGCTGGTTGTATGATAAATTTTGGCCGCACGTTGTTTCACAGAACAGCATCGTAAACCATCTCCAATTTAACCCTTTAACACCTAAGAGTGATAAACACGTAATTCCTTCCAACGGTATAACCACTAAATTAAACATTAGGGTTATAACAATTAAGGACATGATAGTAAACTCAGGAAGCTGTTGATTGTTAGATAAATTCTCTTTATAAGTACCATAGGAAATATAAGAGAAAAGTGGAGAACTTGCATTTTGATGTAAGAGGCGTGAAGGGTTAAAAAAACGTTTCATAAACACAGTAATTTTTCCAAAAGACTAACCGCTAGTACTGCAAGAAAAATATGTATTCAGTTCAAACAAGCCAACTTAAAAAATTTTGAGGTTAAGCCTTTGTCTTAATAAAATCATGACCTCAGTTTGACTGCATACAAAAAATTGAACTATGAAATTAAAAGGCATTTGAAAGATCAATTCTTGCACTGTTTTAAAACTAATAAGATAAATGAAAAAATTATTCAATTCTGATTGGTTAAGATAATGCGGTTTTCTGGTAATCCAATGCAGAAGAGGGTTAATTCAGTGCAAAGAAACTGACTGAACAATTCCTTGAACTGTTTAGCCTGACTTTGAACTTTTTGTGCCTTAAAGATGTGAAAATATCATTGTATATTATTGTTTTGATCATATGCAGTTGTTTTGACCAAATGCACAATGTCACTCGCATGGTTTGAATAAATTATTTTTGCACTTGATGCGTGCACTTTGCTTCTGCATAATTATGATAAGCTATCTCATATTTTTTCATGTATATCATTAGTACGTAATCACATGATTTTTCTCGTGCAATTTGGAATAAATAAGCACTTGTAAATTTTTTCAAAGACCACAAATTACACTCACCCTATGGGCTTATACAATTTTGTTAGTCTTTGGAAAAATTTACGTGTGCTTATTTATTCAAAAATGCATTTGAAGTCATGTGATTGCCTATACAAATATCATATTTAGAAAAAAATATAACAGAGTCCCCCATGATACAATCTTACCTAAATGCATGAATAATCTGCAGGAATGCCGTGCCATTCTTCCAGCTGGTGTTAAAGTTTTTCACAGCTTCACTAATCCTGTGGCGATATGATAACTGAAGTTACATAATACATGAAACATCTGTAAAATCATTAATGTCACTTGATTTAGAGTCAGGCTATCAAATGCATTCATGACTACTGCAATGAGTGTACTCTGCTAGTCTTCATCAGGTGACCAGATATACACTGGTAACCTTTGTCCTGACTGGTAGTTGTGATTACTTTGGCTTTAGTTACTTATTTGAAAACTGCTCTAATATATTAATAAGTATCTTTGCTCTGAATTACAATGAAGATGAAATGGAAGTTACCCTGTAGCTTTTTGGATAGCTTTCTGAGACCATTCCAGGAGAGATTTCTTTGTCCTAGACTTCTTTTTGTTTGCATAAAATCCTTCCACCTGGTACACAATATAAATGTTTATCAGACAACCTACTGTCTAATCTTAGTAATGAGTTGCCGGGTTGATTAATAAAAGTTTGCATAGACAAAAACACTAATTGTGTAGAAAAAAAGGTCCTTTGCTAAGAATGGCAAGCCATAGTCATGTTGAGATGTATACTTAAACCTTTAACTCCCAAGAGTGACCAAGAAAGAATTTCTCCTTACATTATCGATACAGCATCAAGCACACAAGTGTCGAGAATAAAGAAGAAAACTCACCTAAGGGATTACAAGTTGATCTAATACCAAATTCTCCAAACTGACATCATAAGTATTGACAGGCAGTAAGGAGAATTGCTCATGAGATCTTGGGAGTGATATTAGGTTAATTGACCACTCCCCCAAGGAAGGTTTTCAAGGATAATACAGAAGAATGAATGAATGAATGAATGAATGAATGAACATCCAGGTTAAAAATCCAAACTAGTAGGATGCAGACCAGTCAAAGACAATACACAAAGTGCAGCCAAGGAGTTGGAGTTCATATGCTATATTATTTATTTGGTTCCAGCAGAGCCTAAACCCCCATACAAAGCTTTATAATATTATCTTCTAATAGATAGCTTGGTCCCCCTGTGAGTGGAGGACTTGTCAGACCCAAAGACCACCTGATTACAAGCCTAACCAGTAGGGTCTTCAACACTCAGCCACACTGCCTCCTCATGACATACACTAAGTCTGAAAATATTTTACACACACAGGATGTCATTAACAGAAGGTGGCCACAACCCAATTATCTTTCAAATGAACTATGCTTGTTGAATCCAAACCTCTCCCCACTTGGGTGAGTATGACTTTGCTTACCTGATAATGGTTAATAATGCCCCAGATCAATAGAAGAACAAATGTTTGGTTTCCATCAACTACAGATTCTCTGTGGATGCTTACAATTTTCACCTAGAACATGCAAAAATTGATATGTAAGTTCTCTAACCATATCTGTGTACATCTCACCATAATTTACACATTTGTCTCTGTTCCTATACATTACAATTCTTGTAAGAATAACTATTCTCTAATCCCTGAAAAGAACATATGGAAAGAGGGGATTGTAATCCATACATTCAAGTTAGGCAAAAGGTTTTTGAGTTCATTTCACAATCACTGGATTACTAAGACCATCTCTGTTAGTAAAGACTACTCAGAATATGCCTGCCGAAACCACAAAAAAATTGTATGACCTCAGCATCATAGAAAAATGAACATTAACTAATAACTAACAAATGTACTGTACCTCTTGAGAAAATGTTTATTGATCTTACCTATCAGTGTTCCCCTAACCTCCTTCTTTACACGACTTAAAAGCCTTTTTAACTATATTTTTTACCTATAACCACGAGCAGTGCATTTTAATAAAGTTAACATTCATGACTGATACATTTAGGTTCACTTCTCTATATTACATATGCTTACATTTTTGGTTGTCAAAAATTTCAAGGCAGCTCCAACATTTGCAAGGTGATGTGGTCTCTTATTTCCTTTTTCTTTGAGCTGAAAGTACAAATATTACAGTCATACATGCACACTGAGATCAGTTGAAATGTTGGTTACAAATAATGAGTCATGAGCTTAAGTGTTGGCCCCTCATCAAAGTGAATCAGGGCTAATGCTTCCAAACATCAGATTAACTTTATAATCTCTTCATGGTGGCCAATTCAATGATCAACTCAGTTGATAAAAGTATGCAACATCACAGCCTCTTTAAAAACCTTGCCCCTTTAATCCCTTTATGTGCTAGGTTATAACCTATTTGGCTCATTCCTCAAGACTTACGGGAACAAGATAACTATTGCAGTTGTTATTCTCACCAAGTTTTCTCCTGACAACACTTCTAACAGAGCCAGTAACTTTGTGCCATCTTTAAGCTCCTCAATTAATTCATCAATATGTAATGGAGGCTTGTGCTGTTTTGAAAGTAAATGAATTTGATAGTTCAAATGTAAACTAGATATTAAACTGTCAAACAAGAAGAGAATGACTAAAAACTAGTTGTCTAAAATACAAGGATCTTAATATTACTAAGAAGACTTGGTTGGTCTCTCATTGTGTCAAAATTGATGTTACTGAGTAATCAGCTGATTTCATGATGACTATCACCAAATAAGTCACTGAATAAGAAGCATCACTTTCACTAGTGGTTGTAGATATATGGGTAAGAGTGAACGATGGTTCCCCTTTTTTCGGCTGTCAGTGACCTGTCGGCCAACTGTCAGCCAACAGGTTACCAACACATTACCGACAGTCGGTTGACAGTGTGATGTAGACCAAACATTGACTGAAAACAGAGTCAAAACTTTTCCAGTCGAAAACAGTAAATAGAAACATGTTGATCGCATTGTTCATACCTATCTACTTGATTCTGTTTAAACAGTAAAATAAGCTTGTTTAACCCATCTTCCGACCGTAAGTACCAAAATACCTATTTCCTATATCCTTGTTTGTACACAAAATGGCTCCTTTTCTAAAAGTGAAAGAGCCAAACACCACACAAGCAACCAAAAGATTCATAAAAAGAGAGACATTAATTACTTGTTGTGGGTGAGAGAGAAAGAAAACATCTGTGTACCCTATGAGGAATCACACCCGCATCATTTGTGACTTTGTAAACAGATGATCTACAAACTGAGCTACAGGGAAGCAGGAAGGTTCATATAAATACTAAATACTAGAATCAGCAATGTCAAGATAATGGAAGAATGTTAGAGTTAAGAACAACATTAGAAATATCTTTCAAGTGTGGCACACACACAAAACAAGAAATAATGGAGGAAACAACAGACAAAAGGAACAACTATAGATTGACTGAATGAGTAACTGATTGTTTGACAGATCAGTGAACAAGCTGACAACTACCAGACAGGATACTAGTATGAATGAGTAACTGACTATCAACTGACCGAAAAACAGACTGTCTGTCCATATGCCTCTGACTGAACAGATAGCAGAAAGAAAATTCAGACACAACCGAGGAAAAGCTGAAAGCAGGTTCCATTCCTGACTTCCCAACTGACTTCATTACTTCAGAATGAGTTTGACTTATTGACACAATTAACGAAATGATGTCTTGTCATAATCTAATGAACAAAATAACAATCCTGAAACTGCATTTGATGCTTATCAAATTGACTTAAATCTAACTCAGCTTAACAAATTGGAAGGGGATTACCAAATAACCCTTACCTTTTGAAGAAAGTGATTAATCCATCTTGTAAATGTCCTCTTCTGTATCAATAATTGTTCCTCTATTAAAACGAAAAAGATTTTAACAAAGCAAACTTAACTTAATCCTAAGAGAGTAACCAAGAGTCTGGCAGCCATGTTGGAATCCATAGTAACCATAAACGTTCTCGAACTGAATGATCTTCTGCAGCTGACGAAGTTTTAACACTCCTTTAAGCCACAACAAACGAGTTATAAGGACGAAACATTCGGCCCCGACATGAAAACGCACGAATTTTGCATTCATTCCGAAAGTACGGTATGCGAAACGGAAATAAAGTTTCACATCGTATTTCACGTGCTCATCGAGCTTAAAACGGCTTAGGCACAGTCGTGTTTCGGATAATCAGATTAAACAACCTGTAAAATTCCTGATACAAGTTTATTTCTTTCTAAATGTTTCAGGTTTTGCGGGATAACTGAGGCTAACTAAGCTTATTTTTACTATGTAATCAATAAAATAAAAAAACAGCGACCGAAATAATTCAAACTAGGCTTACAACAGCTTATAATAATTGATTCGCGGAGGAGCTGTTGTGTCATAGCTCTGTACTTCAGACCTTTGAACAGTTATTTTAACGGAGAAATTCTACCTGATAAAGAAGCTGCTAATTTCTCTGTCGACGCCAAAGGCGATGGCGTTGCTGATCCCAAAGATTTGTCCGGCGAAGAACTACGAGTGGTCGAGGAGAGTGAGGTTCGATTCCGTGACGCCATAACACCTCATCAGCGTCCAGCACTACAAAAGTACGCGCCAAAACTTTCAAACAAAATTCCCCTCATGGCACCACTTCAATGATCTCAATCAGCAATTTCTACCAGTATTACCATCTAACAAATCACAGTAACGATATTAGCCATGTTTCACAGTGTTTGGTGATTCCACAATTCGTGTTACTGCGAATTGTTGTAAACATTCCACGGGTCACAGTTGGTCGACTAGCAGGGGTCCCCTTAGGCACGAAAAACAGAGTAATGTTTTTGTGTCCCAGAGTAGCTGATGTTTTCCTTCCCGATTAGTTCATAAATGGACTTTAAATTGCTTAATTTGTAAATTGATTAAGAAAAGCGGGCAGACTAAATTGAACGGAAACTTAAATGGCGAAACCGAAATTTCGTACGTGTAAAAATAACACAAATTTGGCCGGGGCAACAACTCACATAAAAGATAGTGTAAGAGGTAAAAAAATTGCAGTTCGGTTGCATTTTGAAATTAATAGTGATCGCAAAGTGTGGATATTCTCTCAAAAGTACATCACGTAAAATTATTCCAATCAAGCGTAAATTAAAGGAAGCCATAACAAGTTGTAAAATAAAAGGAATGCAAAGGTCATAATCCCATTGTTTAGCGTATCATTTTGTTTCAACAAAAGCCAGGTTCTGAAAATATCTTTCAATTCGTTATCAAGAACGCTAAAACAAAACTGAATTCCAAATGTCTTTGGGGTGGAGTTTATCATTTCATCGATACTTACTCCCTTCTTAGTTTCTTGACTTATCCAAGGGCCCATCATTAACAAAATAACTATGTGTGTGATTGTTTTGTTCGGATATTTTCTATTGTTTCGTTTGTTTGTAAAACCGTAGTTTATCTGATTCGTCCGCAGTTGATTGGACGTCGCCAATCGCTTTACAAAACCAAACTTTAAACTTAAACATCCTTTTGTGAACACAACTGAGGGATAATTCTCAAGATGTGGCTTACAAATTTCTTTATGGATTGGATATTCAAACGCGAGCACTGATCTCTAAGGATGGCTACTTAGGAACAATAATGTTAACTACTAAAAATATTTTTCCTCGCTCATCTCCGGCATTTTAAAGTTATCTACTCTACGCTTATCCATTCCTGTTCAAAACGGGGAGGGGGCTTTTGTTATTTTCCCTTTACTAACATCAATTTCAAAACACATGCAACGAGCCTTACGGACTTACTAAGTCACTCAGTCGTATCATGGAACTCACGCCAACGGAGCTCGAAAGCGAGGGCCAATATTAGTACTTGCGTTTTCTCACGTAGCCCATATGTTTGTACACGTATTTTCGAAAAAAAGGAGTGCCTTAGGTCTTTAAGCATTCAAAATGTCTTTGTTAATTAAGAGTGGAGAAACAATGAGGATCTCACTAGGGTGGATTGCTCTTACGGCCGAACGGTTAAAAATTTTGGGCATTTTTCGGTTGGCGGTTAGTTTCTTAAGTCAATTCTAGGACGACAAAAATACAAACACAAAGTAATACACAGGAATATAGCATAGTGAAAATAGTGCTGTGTATGTATATGAAACAGTAATATATGTATATGGAATAGTACTGAAAACATTTTGGCACTCTCAAAATGATAAATCGTAGATAGGAAAATTTTGACGGTTAAAGTTTTTTTACGACTAGGGGTTAAACTTTGTCAATTTTCACGCCTCTCAGCTAAATTTTGGCCGTTTTACGGTTAGCAGTTTACCTGAGACCATCTATTCTATTCTATTCAGACCTGTTCAACGCCTAGCATTTCATTGAAAAGGGAAAGGTTCGTTTCGTTTCGACGGAAATTTCCCGGAAATTACCCTTCTTCTGTAAAATTGTGATTTAAAACACAGTGTAATCACAATATTTCCTGCCGTTTTTTCAGATCAGGTGGAATCACTACGTGAGCAATGAAGTAGTTTTTGGATTACCTAGTGTGGAATTAAGAGGAAAAGAAAAGAAAATGGAGAAGACTTCGCAGTTTTGGACATCAGGATGGGTGACAACAGCTCACAGAGGGCACTAATGTTGAGTAAAATGTCCACAAACTGGCGTGATAAACAGGCGTACGTTCTCGAATATGGTTACATCGACCGCAAGAGGTAACAGCTGCGGAAAACCGCCTTGTCTAATCCAGCTTGAGGTCTATAAAATTTTATTCATTTGGTTTGCAGGTGTAACAGTGGAAATAAATTATTCTTGAAACTTATCATACATTATTGCAAGAAGTACGACTCACTCTAATTCGTCAAAGGAAGAGTGAATAGGCTCCAAAATAATAAATAGTTAAATAATTAAAATCATCTAAGAAATATCCTCTATCATCAGCCCTAGAATTTAACCGTCAGCCGTCAAAATCGGAAAAAATTAACCATCAACTCAGATTAAACTCAGCAGTCAAAGCTACCCCGCCCCCACTCCCCACCCCACACCAACTGAGACCCTCAAATAGATATAGAAATACATAAGGTTGTTAAAAAACAAAAAAAAAGAAACAAGTCAATTGACGAAAATGTTTTGTCCAAAATTCTTGTGAAGTTTCGCAAAAGAACAGTTTATGATCATTTGAGTTTCATTCATCACGACTGCCATACCTGCCCTGACAAACAATCTATCGTCGGTTTCTTTGACTTCTTGTTCCCATTAACCGTTTTTTTTGTTGTTGTTTTTCAGTCTTTTGGCGCTGCTTTCTTCAGATCATTTCAATAGACGTCATAGGAAAGAGCTGACTGATCATCCGCTAAAGGTGAACAATAAGTGATCTTGCCGCAAGGTCAGAGTTTGTAAAAAATAACGAGTTCAAAAAATGAAAATGCTGCATTTTCACCAGCGCAGTGCAGATTCACTCCTTACTTACAGTGAGAAGTTTCAAAAACTGTCCCGCCCAAATCTTCCGTAGACCTCTCTCCAATCGTTTTGGTCATAATGTAATCATTGGTGTTCGTGACCGACCGCTGACCGCTAATAAGACTTGTAATTGGCTTCTTCTCACCTGACTAATGAGAGTAAAGATGAATTCTGATGTCAGGAGTTTAAACTTTTAATAAAATCGAATGTTTAATCAAACAAGATGTTTGCCACATTGACAGAGTTTGTAAAAAATAACAAGTTTTAAGGAGGTTCCATAGGGTAGGCCTTTCCCGATTATAATACTAAAACTGGCATTTTATGCTCCTAGAAATTCCGCTTTGCGCCAAAAAAAATGCTCAAATTATGCTCGATTCTCAAAATAATGCTAATTTGATTTCAGAAAATGCTTTGTTTAATTTCAAGCAAAACGTAGAAACTCAGACGTCATGTGCGTATCCGCAACTGGATAAAGTGAAAAGTGTTTTAATTGTTTGTTTACAAAACTTCTGATACAGTCAAAACTTGTCCAATGATAAACAATTAACTAATGTTCGAAGTCCTTAGCGCTTGTTGTACTGTGACATGACGCTGGCTTGGAGGTAGTCAACAAGAGCACAATTCTGTTACTCGTTGAAGGACGCCTTCAGTATTGAAATACTGTCTGCCGTAGCAGACGATGGTTGGACAAGGAGAACTTGCTTCACTGCGGAAGCCCAACGAGGAAGTTGCTCCTCGTGCTCACATCACAATTCGACTTTCTTCTCTTCAATCGGGATAACAACATCTTCAGCGGAAGCCAAATAGGCAGGAAGCTCGGCTTTGAGACCGTCGATGGTAGAATCATTATCCAGGAAAGGAAATGCTCTCAGAGACTCTACTAATGCATTTGTGGGCTTAAGCCACTGGATCTTAACAGGGCAGAATGGTCTGGCAGCCTTGAATGCTACCACTACATCATAAAGATCGACATTGAACTTTCTCAGAAACCACGTAATTGCCGGCTCAACACAAGCCTTCGCACTCCGTTCAAGTGCTGTTACGTTCTGACATGGGTTAAGGAACTAGGAACTTGACAAAGTTGGGAAACGGCGCTTAGTTTCTCATAACAAGCAAAAACCAAAGGACCATCCCCTTCCAAAAAATACGTGGCTTTCACAAAATGTTCGCCAACATCAATAGTAGCGGCAAGCTCAAGCTTCAAGCTCATTAGTCGCTGTGGGTTAGAAAGTATTGCTTGAAGTTGTGCTGTGGGCAAACTTTTGCGTCCTTTGCCTCTCCTATGAACCTTGCGACATCTCCAAACTGTCCATCAACTGATGATACACCTCCCATTTGGACCACCATCTAGTCTCGCTGTATGATCTTGGTGTTTGACCTGTTAGATCCTTCCATAACAGCTTGGCTTTACAACTACGGCGAAACATTCTAATCCAAAGGCTTTCGAACTCTACCAGTGTTGGAATCACTAAATGGCTTCCCACGTTATCAAGTGTATGAGAGAAGCACACGTCATTCAGTATCTTAGGGAATATAAATGCTATTCTGTCCACTGCTACTTGGTTAACGCTTGCACCGTCTCTCATGGCTGCGAGCTAGGAATTTGCTGTAAACCCCATAATCAACAGATAGGCACTGATTAAGAACTTGTACTAGTCAGTT